AGGCAACAGGCGGTGTTAGTCGGTAGCACGATTCAGGAGAGCTCGTCTAGTGCCACTCCTAATTGTATATCAACAAACACACGCGGCCTGAGACAGGCCACAGGGATAGACAGGCCAATCCATGCAATTGTTCTCCAGTTCCTAGGCCTGACTTGCGTACCAGAGCAAGAGATATACTTGTAATGTGCACCATAGCTCTTTTGTCCCCCGGAACCAGGGTCGTCGGTTATCGGCTATACAAAACCCCCCGGGCGCTGGAGATTGCGGGGAGCGAACCACTGACAAAACTAAGTGGGGACGGGGGTTGCGTCTGCATCCAACGTCCTGTATGTTTGCTCATTGTGGTGCTTCAGAAAGCTGCTGTGTATGTTGTGGTGAGACTTGTCTACAATGATCTCTTCCCAGAAAGATCCGGGCCTGGATATGTCGATGCATAAGCCTCCTCGTCAACGTCGAGCTGGAAAGGCCTGTGAAAACTGCCGCGCACGTAAGGTCCGTTGCGATGTGACCGTCCGTGGCTCTCCGTGCCGCAACTGTGAGATCGATGAGACACCGTGCCTCATGGCTCGGTGCCGTCGCGGCAGGTAAGCGATCAAGTCGAAGACACAGAACGCTACTAAACGTCGGTACAGGAAACACAAAGACTGGTATCTTGGACTGGGCAGATCTCGGGGTGAGAATGCCGTCGCCAGGCCTGTTGATCGCAGAGAGGACGTCTACTATACCAACCTCGACAGAATCACAGACGGCGTCGGACCCTCCACTAACATTTCTACCAATGCCATGGCGGTTCTGCATTCAATGACATCTTTGGGGGACGTGCCACCGAGTCTAGACAGACTTCAGCAACTATCTCCCACACCCATTCAATCCCCAGCAGACATCCCTCCACCAGAATTACAATCACTCTTCCAGTCGTTCCCCAAGAGCTTTACAGATATTGACATAGCGTATCTCCGAAGCAAGGGTGCTCTCGATCTGCCTCCCGAGAGGCTTCGAAACGAAAGTATTCGATGTTACTTGGAATATATTCATCCCTTTATGCCTTTGCTCGACCCCACGGAGCTCTTGACTGTGGTTGATGGAAATTGCAGCCATGGTTCTGCACCGAGGCTCAGCTTGTTACTGTTTCACTGCGTGATGTTTGCGGCGGTGCCGTTCGTCGACGAGAGCCTCGTCAGAGAAGCAGGTTACGCCAATCTGAAGATGGCTCGAAGGGCATTCTTCGAAAAAGCAAAAGTATACCTCCCTTTGGCCCTTCTGGACTGGACATTCAGCTCACACAGCTAGCTCCTGTACGATGCCGACTTTGAACACGACAGCATCACCATCATTCAGTCTGTGTTGCTCATGAGTTTCTGGTCCGACAGACAAACACAAGAAATCCACAAACAAACCTGGTATTGGGTCAACATTGCGATTTCAATTGCCCAGACCATTGGGCTGAACCAAGACCCTGAGCCGCTGCCACTGCCGCCAGAGAAGAAGAGTCTGCGCCGACGTCTGTGGTGGTGCTGTTTCATGAGAGACCGGGTAACGTGCCTATACTTGAGCCGTCCGTTGCGGATCCAGCCAGAGGATTTCAACGTGGCTCTGCCGACGGTGAAGGACATGGAGATTGACAGGCCTGTGGCTTTTCTGAGCTCAGAGGTGTGCTCGCACCGCCTCCTTCACCTCTCTTGTTACGACCAGACTACGCAGGTTGAGTTGGCCGAGATCTTCATCTCCTTCTTGAAACTCTGCATCGTGATAGGAACCATACTGTCTTCACAGTACTCTCCCGTCAGACCACCTTCGGGGCCTCGAAACAGGGCTACTCAAGCGGCTATGCCGACCATGCTCTTCCCGGTCCACAGCCCGAGTTCGGAGCAGAGTGCTGCAACGCCAACAGAGTCTACGATATCCCCCCTCGAGTTCACACTTCAAGAGTGGTACGACAACTTGCCTCGTTCTGTCTCCTGGAAGACACAGCCAGAATCGCCAGGTTCAGTGTGGGATGGCATTGCCCGGGAGGACATTCCATCTGCAAAAAGGCATCCAGACACGAGGACAGACTCGACCAAACCGTCGAGCGTGGCGATTCAGCGCGCCATGTTGCACATGTGCTACTACACGGCTGTTTCCGCCTTGCATCGTTCCCAGAACCAGTCCCGCCACTCGCAACACCAAGTGTCGGATTCTGCGGACAAAATCGCCCAGATTTCAGCCTTTTTGAATGATAAAGGTCTCGTACGCTACCTTCCCGTGACTGTCATCACAATGTTGGTCCCCAGCATCATCACGAGCGCTATGCGCATCAAGGCGATAGTTGAAGCGTCACATCGCGGAAGAAGTGCCCCTGTCCACGACGACGAGCTGGTCCGAGTACGAGACAATGTCAATAGCCTGTTGGTCTCCCTCAAAACCTTCCAGAGGGTATACGTGGCAGCAGACTTGGTGGCAATGTTGGTCGAGGCCATGCTTAATCACGCCAGGATGAAGATAGTTGTTCCCCAGCCTGGTGACTGGGGAAGACTCTTTGCAGGAAATAGAGCGAGACATCGAGCCTTCGAGTTGGACGTGCAACTTGAATCGACAGATTCACACAAAACCACGTCGGCGAAGAATAAGCCACCGCCTGTTCCCGCCGTTGTAAATATACAGCAATCCCCAAGCCTAGAGACCGACACCGCCCTTTCGGCAGACATACACAGCACTGACCTCAGTGCTTGTGCGACGGACGGGGACAACAGCTGGCAAGAGCTTATCGATCCCAGCGCGGGCCACGCCTTTGGTATTGGCGTAGGTGAAAGTCTGTGGGACGCGGCGTTTAATCCCGACAACAATGATTCGATGGGACAGTGGAACTTTGGCAGTATTGGGATTGACGGCTTTGACGAAAACATCGACGGCATGATACACTGGGATGGCACCGAGATGGACTGGCTTGCATGACGCGGGAGCGGGACAGAACTATGAACCTGGCAATAATCACTCCCTTATATGCGTTGATACGTCCGAAGATGTCTTGTATGTAGATAGCCGCTAAAGCGGCACATGCAGAAGCGATGACCACTAGGTATTGCTATCTGAGACTCCGACATGTTCCTCCTCCAATGTCCTTGACGAACGAAGGCCTCATTACACCAAGTATACCGAAGCAGCCATTATCGTTATCGAACCATGAATAGCCCGTCAGCCATACAAGTGGAAATGGAGGACAACTGGTTACCCTGTCAGGACGAACCGGCCTTCATAGCCTAGGTACAACAATGGTCCCGAAGGGCACGGCTATACTAGTACTGCCGCGTACGGCAATACCCATGTACATATGTCCACGACAAGCTGCCCAAAGTCAAACCTGTCATTTGGACTGATACAAAAGTACTGCGATCCCGCTTTGACCTTTCCACAGCTGGTTATATCCGTATATTCTACGCCTCCCGGACGAGCCAGGCGATCAACACAATACCAACGGTAGCAAAAGTGACCTGCAAAGCCGGGAGGAGTGAAGGGTCCGAGGGTGGCAGTTGAGAGGACGTTCGGCCCTTTTAACCGCACGAGGGAGCGAATTCGGCTGCGCAGTTGGCGATTTCATTATACCTTGGAGACGGAGGTCATTGCAGTCTATCAACAGATATCTTCCACCATGCCGTTCCTGGCTCAAAAAAAGCTGAGCGTCCCAACTAAAGATCTGCTGTCGTGGATTTTCGACGGTGCAGACTATGACCCCGACAAGCCAGTAAGCAATGTGGTGTCTGTGCAAGAGTTCGCGCAGCTCGGTGAAGAACAGAGGGCAGCACTAAAGATACACACCTGGACAGATCTATATCGACACCTCGAACCCCTCGCGAACACTATCCCTCAACCACGGACTTGGCTTGGTCCGCAAACTCGCTGCTGGATTCCGAGCGGCGGGACTCAACAAGGGGGACTGTGTCTGTGTCCACTCTTTCAACGATGTAAGTGATCATCTCCTTCTAGCTGTGTCCCTGTCATTCACCATCTCTGGCTAAAGCTGTTCGAACATTGACATTGGTACCACCCAGATCTATTACTCGGTGCTGTTCCTGGGAATCCTCGCCGCCGGGGGCGTCTTCGTGGGGACGAACCCTGCGTACACGCCTTTCGAACTGACACACCACCTCAAGACCTCGGGCGCAAAGTATGTCGTGGTGGAACCGGAATTGCTGGGAGGCATAAAAGCCGTGGCGGGAGACTGTGGCATCCCCGACGCCAACATCCGCATATTCAACGTCAAGGACCAAGCCGTCCCGAGCGGGTTCCTGCCGTGGTCGGAGCTCCTGTGCCATGGGGAGCGAGACTGGGATCGCTTCGACAATGAGGAGATTTGCAGTACGACACCCGCGGCGTTTCTGTTCAGTTCGGGGACTACCGGGCTCCCGAAAGCAGCGGTGGTATCCCATCACAATCTCATCGCCGAGCATACTCTTGCCGTGGCGCCGGAGGTGGTTCCCTGGAAGGTAAGAGTTGATCTATCTCTTCATGCCGATGGTGATAGAGCCAAGCTCCCTCGGTGGAAATAACAGCTCCGGCGGAGCAAGCAAGAGACGTGTTGTTGATGAAGCCCTGCTCACCTCTAGTCCAGGTCCGACGTCTGTTGTACATGCCCATGTTCCACGCCGCCATCGTGCCCATCGGCCACACCACGCCTTTCAAAGCGGGCCACGAGACGTACGTGATGCGCCGGTTCGAGATGGACGAGTTTCTGCGCTCGATCCAGGAATTCAAAATCACCGAGCTGTCCATCAGTCCGCCGGTCGTGGTCATGGCGCTGGCAAGTCCGCTGTTGCCCCGGTACGACCTCACGTCGGTGAAATTGTGCAGGTCTGGATCCGCGCCCCTGGGCAAAGTGCACCAGGGCGAGTTTGAGAAGCATTTGGCCCCGGACGGCGTCTTCAACCAGGTCTGGGGCATGACGGAGACGACGTGTGTGGCGTCCAGGTTCTGGTATCCGGAGAATGACTCGACGGGGAGTATTGGGCGGTTCGTCTCCAACCTGGATGTGAAGTAAGTGTCATCCCTTCCATCGTAGTCAAGACGCGGTGACTGACTCGAACTCTCTCACAGGCTCGTCGATGAGGAAGGAAACGACATCACCGCGATCGGAGCCAAGGGCGAACTTTTAGTGAGAGGCCCGATCGTCACCAGAGGCTACTACAAGAACCCCGCCGCGAACAGAGACGCGTTTGACCAAGAGGGGTATTTCAAGACCGGCGACATCGTTTCCTGCGGAAGAGTCGCGGAGGACAACAACGGGAGTGAGAGTCAGGCTGACGTCGGAAATAACAATACCGCCCAAACCACGCAGGAGACGCTAGCCACGGTGAAATGGTACATCCACGATCGCAAGAAAGAACTGATCAAGGTGCGAGGATTCCAGGTCTCGCCTGCGGAACTGGAAAAGGTCCTCTTACAGCACCCGGCCATCGTGGACGCGGCGGTCATCGGTGTCAAGGTCTACCACGACGCCACCACTTCGTCATTGTCCTCTCGCGGCCTCGTCGACAGCGGCAAAGACGGCGAACATCCTCGCGCCTATGTGGTTCTGAGGCCCGGTAAGAGTGCAACCGAGGCGCACGTGAAGGATTGGTGTGCGCAACATTTGGCCAAGTACAAGGCTTTGACTGGCGGTGTGAGATTCATCGACGCCCTGCCGAGGAACGCCGGCGGGAAACTCTTGAAAGGTGTCTTGAGAGAGCAGGCGTCAAAGGAAGCTGGATCGAGTGCATCAGAAATCAGGGCCAAGCTTTGACTTGGTTCTCAATCACCACTGTCGTTTAACGGGGGTGGTAGAGGAGTTTCTGCAGGGGTGCCTCGGATGGGTCCCTGATGGACTTGATATAATCCACCTCGGTGGTGCAACATATGGCTCTTTTGATGACGGAAGTGGTGATTCTAGATTCTTGTGTGCAAGGCTCCTGGAAAAAGAGGAGGCTGGTATAGCCAATCAAAGCATCGATTTATATGGGCCCGCGGAAGCTCCGAGACCTGATCGAGTTAAATCACAGCCAAATGTGGAATCGTGTGGATCGCTTTCGTCTATGATTGGTCGTTGTCAAAATGGCCTCCTCGTATTTTACGAACGGAATCTCAAGACTCGCATGTTCCAGCCATCGCATCTAAGAGTACTATCTGAAACCAGGTTCGATGGCGTCTGAACGTGAGGGGTACCTGCAGGTCTGGTGTCATTTATTCTGTGAGTGAGTTCCAGCCTCGGGGCACAGTAATCAAACCATAACGGCGTTGGTTGGAAATCGAGATCAAAGAGGGGCTCGCTTGGGGGCACGACCTGGATTTCAGCAAGATTGTACCTCCGTATTTCGTAGTGTGTTCAGCTACTGGGGGAGATAATCCATCAGGTACCATGAGTTGGTGATGATGGGAATATCGTACAAATTTCGGCACATGGGGGTCGATGGAGGGTTTGAGGATGCAAACAACGCCTTTCCTACCAATGACTCCCAAAAGTAGATTGAGACTGAAAATTTTGCAACTTTCTGGCGGACAATGGCGCAGATTTGACTGATGATACTCCAGTCAAAGCCCATGAAAAGCGCGTCAGCCTTGTCAACAGTGCCAAGACACCAACCCACTTAAAACGCGCCTTGTTATCGATAATGAAACACGGGTGCGGAGGCCAGGGTTCATCCAGCCTCGTGTGGCTTGAGATAGCCGAGTCCACGCCCGACTGCTCCCCCCACCCAGACTCTTCCAGTGGTTCCAGTGCCTTTCCAACCACACTGATTTCACCATGGCCTCGAGAAAATAGAAAGGCAGGCTGTCTCCCAGCTGCACTCCCGCGTGTTCCATCCAACGAATTCTTCCACGTCTCTTGTCCATCACAGCATTTTGCTGCATCTGCATCGTCATCATCTTCCCACCGACCTCGTGACGTGCCAAGATCCAGGTCACTCGTGTGCTGCAGCCAGTGGACGGCGGGGCAAATCTCCTGCACTTGAACCAGCGGTAGCTGAGGCCACATGCGAGAACTTTGAGGAGAAATTGACGACAGGATTGACACAATTGGATGTGCAGTATTGAAGTCTGGTGCTTCTGATTTGGGCCGTCGCAATATCGGCTGCTGAGCAAAAGAGGGGAAAAACAAACCTGAATTGATCTGCTGCCACGATTTCCCCGTGCGGGCCGGACCCTCTCGTCCTAAAGTTGCCCATCATCATCATCCAAGTTGCAGTCCAGCTTGGCCAGGTCGACTCATTCAACTCACACCACAAACTATTGCATCACCACGCCCGCTCAAATGTCCCAAGACATGTTTAATCAAGGGTTTGGTGCCCTCGCACCACCGCATCCTCGCAGATTGCCCTTTGATCACAACAACACCGACTCTTCATTATCCCTCCCTCCGCCACCCCCTGCCAGAGGCCACCAACGATCCAGAACCACCACCGACCTTCCGCCGCTTGTCACCCGCACCCAGTCTTCCTCCCCTACGAGAGCCTCTGCATTCTCCTTTCTGCGTCCTCAGAGTACGCGCTCTCTGTCACCGGAGCGACTCAGGCCTGCCGATACGGGTGACGATTTTGGTTCAATAGAGTCGCCGACAAAGAAAAGACCGGTCAAACTGGCGAACTGGTTCGAGGGGTCTTCGGAACCTGTTAATATAACTCTGGTGCCGTCGCCGCGCAAGGAAAAGTTGGATCCTCTGCTCGAGGCGTTTGCGCCTGAAGAAGCTTCCTCCACCAGTCCAGAACTCGAGGATTCTACGCTGACACGTCGGACCCCAAAGAAACCCAGTTTATCAGGCCCGGCCGTCTCATCAATGTCGAGGTTCAACTTCTTCAGGAGGGCTACGACAACACAGAGTGCTCCCGATGATCCAGATGAATTGGCGCAGCTTGACATCGACAATGCTCTGTTCCCGCACGGACACCCGGGTGAATTCTCCCCCGCTGCCTTCAAAAACCTCCAACTCAATGCCGAAGGGACAATACGGCGCTTGCAACAAGCCTACCGAGAACAGCGACAGTCTCTGAGATCGGTCACCTCGACCAAGAATGTCCAAGCAGACGAACTCGAGGCAGCTCAGACGAGGAATGAGCATCTAAAACTGCAGTTACATGAGATGGCAGAACGTGCTGCCGAGCAGGAGAATCTGATTGCGGATCTGAGGGCACAGCTATCGGCACAACTCTCTCTCGAGTCTCAACATCAGAGTGTCCGGATAGTGCCGCAGAACACTGACTCCAAACCTCGTCCGAAGTACCGCCGCTATCGCTCGTCCGACGTTTCTACGTCTGGGGAATCAGAGGCCGGGTCTGAAGTGAGCTCAGTGGTCAGTGTCTTCTCGGAAGCGTTGTCAACGGCTACTTCTCAGGCCACGTCTGTCGCGAGTCCGGTCTTGAAGTCTGCGAGCTTGGCCAGAGATGATTGTTCACGGTGTCATGGATTACGACATTCGGATGCATGGGATGTTGTGGGTATGATGAAGATAGAGTCGGCGGCTCTGAAACACCGCATCGCCGAACTGGAGAGTGCACAGGACGACGCACTGGACTTTCTCAGTGGACTGAAGTTGTCCTCGTGATCAAGTACCGAGCATTATGAGTTCAAGATACCCAGGTGTATAGGTTGCTACGTATAGGTTGCACAGATTCTTGTGTATAGGCAGATTATGTTGTATAACCAGAGATTCCATTCAGCCTTGGTAAATCACTGGAGTACAAACCTGCCATTGTCGTAACACTTGATCTCGTGTATCGGAGCACCAGCGATTCTGGCTCGTCTGCTCCAGTGAGGCTGAGCCTCGTTATTGGTGTTAAAGGAACGAGGCTGGAATATGCACTGCCCTCATTACGGATTTCCCCAGCCACCGAAACCAGCCACTTGATGCCTGGACCAACGTCCAATCCGCTCCCTAAAGTCCTCGATCTTCAGCTTTGAACTTGTTTACGCGGTACCTTTCGCCTGACACTCCTACTCTACAGGGGCTGCGCAATTGCATCTTCAACTTGTCACTTGATACCCAGTGACCAAGGTAAAAAAAATGTCAATCATTCAAAAGTGCTGCTTGACAAACTGACTGCGAGTCTACACACATACATTTCCTTTCCCCAGTCATTCTTATCGTTTCGCTGCTGGCACTGCAATACTAACCCGTCAAGAAAAAAAAAACATGTCCTTTAGCGGCAGGACACCCGAATCTCTTCTCCCGCGATCAGACTCGAGAAACCCAGCGACGACGTGTAGAGGCATCACCACGACCGGAAGACCCTGTCGCAGACCTCTCGCCGCGGCCTCTCCCAAGAACTCGCCCACCCCGTCACCGAGTCGGGGCAACGGGGTCCTCGCCGTGTTGGAGGAGCAGCATGCCGCGGCTTTCTACTGCTGGCAGCACAAGGACCAGGCCGAGCAGTTGGCAGCCCAGGCCGGGCGGACAAGTCTACACCCGTTGAAAGAGAGGTCGAGCATCGAAACACTGATTGAGCAGGTGGGCATCCTCGAGCTGGACGAGGATGTGCCCAAGAGACACCATCGACGACGGGAGCCGGAGACTGTCAGGCGTCGGGACACGTTACCGTCGGGTTGGAACCAGATGGAGAGTCCGTTGATGACGGTGCCGGAGGGGGTGGTGCATGACAGAAGACGACCAAACCGACGACCGCCGCCACCTGCACGATCGAACGTGAAGCTCTCTTGGGCCTGCTGCATTCAAGCCGACCACGACGATGATCTGCCTCCTGCGAGGGTTCGAAGAGAAGATTGGGAGAGGCGTCCTCGTCCTCGACCTCGACCTCACACAGACACGAGCGGGCCATCACCTGCACGACCCGAAATGCGGCAATCATCTCCCCTGGCGACGACGACGCGACCGAAGCCGAGTCCAGCGCCCTCTCAGACGCAGACACTCCTGTCGCTCATCCCGTCCAGCCTCTCGCCCCAGACCACCTCGCAATTACTCGCGGAGCTGTCACGCCCGATCTCGGCCGCGGACGAGGCCGGATACATCTACATATTCTGGCTGACGCCCGAATCCGAAGTGTCCAAACCCGACGACGAGACGGCTTCGTCCCTGTTGGATGATGATGACGACGACCTCGACCTCGACGACAACACGGCTCTCTACGGCCGCAGCACCTCGCAGAGAACCACCCAGGCACTTGCCCGCTACGCGTCGGTCCGCCGTCCGCCCAACCAAGTGCACGTGAAACGTACCATTACGCTCAAGATCGGGCGCGCCGCCAACGTCCACCGACGCATGACCCAATGGACGAAGCAGTGCGGGCAGAACATTACATTGATTCGATACTATCCGCACAACAACAACCGCCGGGCAGCCGCCGCCTCAGCCAGCAACACCCAGCATACTCCTCCTGGTCGTCGTCCACCTCATCCTCCACCCGCCAGCGCGCCGTCTCCCGAGACCCACGGCGCCAAAGTCTCGCACGTCCACAAGGTCGAACGGCTCATCCACCTGGAACTCTCGGAGAAGAGGGCCGTCAAGAGCGGATGCGAGCAATGCGGCCGCGAGCACAAGGAGTGGTTCGAGATCGAGGCCACGCGCCAAGGCTTGAGAGGTGTGGACGAGGTCGTCAGACGGTGGGTGGCGTGGGCCGAGAGACAGTGACCAAAAAAACAACAACATGAACCATAAAAACAGGTAGCCAGCAAGAGCAATCAACAAGCAACGAGTGCAGTGCAGTGCAGTGCAGCGCCCTTTAGACATGACTTTATCTAACGAATTGAAAATGATCCATGCAGAGACTATAAAAGATTTTTACGTTTCGTTCAGCGTGTCGCGTATGCCGAACAGGGTAAAGGATAAAGAATAAGGATACACCCTACCTCGATCTAGATATCCATAATGAAATGAACTACCATCACTCCTGATCGACATTCTCCATGTATATGTCCATGTGATGAGCCGTGAGAGAACAGTACGGGCGATATGAAAGAGAGAGGCACGAGTGATACAAAATCAACAACCTTGGAAGACAAGACAAGACAAAGGACGACCCAGAAAAGAAAAGAGATGCCCGGGAAGAGAAGAACGAAATAATAGATTGTAGATTGCCGTTGACTTGGTTCTTCCCCCCCCTTCTCCTCTTCCTCAGACCATGTCCATGCTCATGAATGTACAGATCCATCATGTCGTTATCCTGAATGATCGATGTGATCAATGTCCTTCCAATTGATGTCTTTCCGTTGGTGGGCCTGTCAAAGCACGTCGCGACAGGCATCCAATGTCAACCATGATGCCGCGTACAGATATATCAGGTGGTTGTTGTCCTGGACGATTGAGGGCCGCCCAGAGAATTGACCTTTTGTTGTCCGGGTTCCTAACACATGGATCTTTTCTGGCATCGGCCCAAGACACAAACAAACCGTGACAGAGACAGTCATCTGCCCACCGTCGTTGATGTCAGCCCTACTGACCTTCAATACCAGATGCCCAAATGTCCATAGTGTGTCCACCCCCCGGAAGCTTCTTCCTTGAGCCACTTCCCAGCATACTGACTCTCTTCCCAATCTGCGTGACAAGTCCAAGACCAGCTTTTGGAAACCCCCGTTGCCAGCAGGTCTCGCGGGTTTGTAGTGAAAACGGGACATTCTTTCTTTAAACCATCGTCTGTGGGTGTGGATTTTGGGTCTGGCGGAAGACAAATAGTCCCGAAATCGAGACTCTATAATAGTGTGAGCGGTAGGCCGTTGGGTTCACGCTTAGTTCCTGAGCCCTTCATCTCGACGTTTGGTGTGGAGCAGTTTGGTCTCAGGAGAGGCAAACCGTGGTAAGCTCGTTTGCAAGTGACCAAGGCTCTGATGATCGCAGAGACGGTCAGGACGTGTGGAGTTTCGCTCCGTCACTGGGTCCGTGATTTCTGTGTGAGGAAGGGGCAGACGCCTAAAATGTTGGTATAATATGCTGGGGTACCTTGTTTTTCAGATACAGTGTTGCGTCAACGAAGGCGCCAGACACGGCCCGCGTAAGTTCATCCATGGCTGGTCAGGTGGTCATTTTCTCCGGCTCACTGCTCCTTCGAGATCAAATTGACTGCGGCTGATCTTGCGAGTAGATAAACAGGCCCTGGGGTGAAAGCGACAAGATGCTCCACAGGTTTCGATCCACAACAACAACCCTGCAAGAAGCTGCAGCCGTTGCACATTGACGGCGGAGAGATACTTCGTATTTCGGCGGGAGCCAGTCCCGCGGCTTACTTTGATGCGCTCCCCCAGTGTTGGCTCTGCTCCAGATTCCAGATGTCGGCCACGACCCAGACCTTGTGACCGGTCACCTCGCAAACACCACGCGGGACCAAGGACACGCGTTTCCCTCATGCACTGCCGCTCAGAAAACTTTCTGTCTCGTGGCCATAGAGCGTAAGTAAGTCACGGCAAGGTAGAGAAGCCAATCGGTCATGAATCTGGGGACGATAAGATGGAGTGTGGGAGCGCCGACACTGTTCACAAGGCCAGGACAGAGCCCAATGGGGGCCTATGCATATTGAGACTCGACCGAGGGAGAAGTAGTTCGCGAATTGAGTGGCTCAATTGCGGTGTCCCACAGTGCCCGGCGGATCGGTACAAGTGCTTTTGAAAGCTGTGCAGGCGAAACTTGATCGATCAAGCCGACGAGGTCCTCCAGCGCAGTGAGAACGAGTCGGCATAGCACCACAGCAAAAGTAATTCTGTGTGTGTATATATATAAAAGGGCGTAATTCGGTTGGCGAGCGTGCCACATTCGTCTTGCTAGGGGCTGGAACACAATGGGCTCGTGGGTTGGAAGAGACAGTATGCGATGCGGTCGTGTCATGATGTTTGCTGTGCCCCGTCGCAGAGTTTCGATTGCTGACTGGGGCGTTGCGGGACGACAGAAGTGTGGCAACCGTCTCGAGACAGCAGTCTCATCGGTGCCGACGGACGAGGAAGTCTATGCAGCACGGAACCCAAAGAGGCCGTCTCTCGCAACTCGAGGCTCGAAGTCAGGATGCTGGGAAATCCATCACTCCAGATGATGATAGACCTGCCACGGCTCGATCTGCTGCAAACGTGAATCAGCTTCTGTCACAACTGGGGAAACATGGAAGTCACTCACCTTCACGAAGAGACCAGGCTGATTGTGGACGCTCGGGACCAAAAGCATCCGTGTGAAGCTTGCGGTTGTCATCAGGCACGAGGACATCAAAGAAATGTTTAGCCTCCAGCTCCATCATGAGCTAGAGTATGGGGATCAAACTGTGTCATGTCGCAACGCTGAGATATAAAGGACGACCACCGGCCACTCCAGAAATTGAGATTTGTCCAATGTATATGAAAATCACAGACCCCCCGGGCAGGCAACAGTCGTGCTTTATGGTCGAAGGGCGGTGAAGCGTAGTCGACGTTGAAACCTGGATTTGTTTGATCGACTCCTCCAGGTGTGGCCATCCGTGGTCGACGTCGAAATCAGCAAACATTTCTCAGCTCACTTCAGCCTCTCGAGCAGCGATATTGGACCCGGAAAGGCTGGATCTGTAGCACAGGAATCGTCATTCATTACGCTGAACGCAGCAGCCTTGCCCCAAAAGCCAATCACATATTCTTCTTCCACACATGTACCCATCTCTTCCAAAACGCCACCTCATAGCCTGGCCGGTTAACCACTTGGCTGTGTCTCATTCCCATCTCCTTGTGTGGACGTGGTGGGGTTCGAATGCCGCGAGCTGCTGGCCTCGCTGGGAGTTTGCGTCAGGATGTTCTGGTCTTTCTTCCCTCGCCTGCCCAGTTTTGCACTCTTCGAGCTGGAATTGCTCGTAAATTTGGACAGAATTGAATCGCTCTCCCCCTTGTCCGATGACCCACTGACGACGCTTGACCGCGTGTCGACCATCTTCAGCTCAGGTTTCATCTCGTTCCACTTCCTGATCACCTCCACCTTCTCCTCCTCGGTTGCCTTGCCCACCGCCTCAAACCCTTCGATATACCTCGTGGCAAGGATGTAACTCAATGTGGGATCCCCGTTCAATTTCTTCTTGATCACTTCGTACAACACCCTGACTCCGAATGTGGCGTGGCCAACCACCAGTCCTCTGTTGGAAAAGAACAAATTCCCAATGCCCTTCCCCAAGCCTCTGCCAAACCCTTTCCAGCCGTCGGATTTGGCGCCCTTGTAGGGTTCGTAGACAACTCCTGCCCACGCCTTTGCGATATTGATGGGGGCATGCACAATTCTAGAAGTGATGGATCCCACGGTGCTCAGCATCGGATTGGGCCCGACGACATGAGAACTGATAGACCCAAATTCGACGGGATATTCGCAGGGGCGGTAGATTGTAAGCTGGTTCACGTCCAACAAGCCTTCGTTGCCCAACACTGTAGCCGCGAAAGCGCTCAATCGGAGATCTTCCGTGTTGGATCCTTTGGTTCGGACTGACCACACCGCTGGCCGTGAGGGCGCCAGCATACAGCGGAGGCGGTCGAGGTCCATTTGTGCGTGGAAACTCGCCGCGCCGACTTCAGTGCCCTTTTCTTCTTTGATACGCTCACCTAATTCGCGTGCCCGCTCCAAGGTCTCGGGCTTTAGCGCCTCTAGGATGGCGTCCGCAAGTCGGTCTGCTGTCAGCTCCTTGTATGGGACTGGCATCGGTCCCGCACCAGCCCTGGCAACCATGGCTCCCCAGAATGGCTGGTCGCCAAAGAAGGGGACGATGACCGTTGGACGGCCCAAGGCAATTCCAGCGGCGGTCGTGCCAGCGCCACCGTGATGTACCACACAAGACACGTGCTGGAACAGCCAGTCATGTGGTACATTGCCCAGCATATACACGTTATCAGGTTTGCCCATGTCGTCTCCCCCTAGCCCACCCCAACCTTTGGAGACCAAAGCACGTTGGCCTGTCTTCTTGACCGCGTCGAAGATGAGCTTCGTCATGGCGTTGGGATCGTCTACAACGATGGAACCGAAGCCGACGTAAACGGGCGGCGGTCCTGCTGCAAGGAATTCCGCGAGGGTTGGGTCTGGTTGGTAATTCGACGCCAACGAGAGGAAGTAGAAGCCTGCGATGGTGATGTGAGGGCCCCAGTCTTTGGGCTTTGGGATCAGTGCTGGAGACCTGGTTACCGCCTCGTCAATCGAGGGCTCTTTTTGGTTTCCTGAAGGCTCAAGAGGTTTGACAGACTCACCAGCAATAGGTATAAGGTATGCGTAAACGATGCAGCATGTCCGTTGCCGCCGCCTGAGAAAGCATATGCAAACCCAGAGTCTCTGTTCTGAAGTTGTTCGTGATGTCTCCCAGACCTTCCCAGGTCATCATGTCGACGAGGGTATAGCTCATTTCGTTGGTCATGCTTCCGCTAGCCTTTGACGATTTGATGTTGGCGATGGGCTGCGGAAACTCTCGAGTCGGCGACCAGGGCATCCTACCATCGAACGTACTTCAGCAATTGCGCCGCGCCGTGGACACCTCTTCACTTACGTGAACATCAAATGCAACGGAATGCCCAACTTCTCAGCGCAGTGGATATGTGCAAAACTGGGCGGGTTGGCAATGATGGCGTGCGCGACGAAGGGTTGCTTCTTGGGCGCTGCCGCCGAGACGGTCTCTTCGTCGGCTTTCACCTCGTCAAAGTCGGCGCATGACCTCCAACACCCTTGCAGGATCTCAGCCATGCCTCTGCGTCGCTTGCCCACGTCACCTTCCTTGATGGATTTCATCCCAGGGATCAAACCGGGGTTCTTGACCATGAAGGCCATGAGTTCTGCGGGGTCTCCACCAATATCGAAGAACTCCAGCCCGTTCTCCTCGACGAATTTCTTGAATGTCCCGTGGGTCGCGAGGCGGACGCGGTGGCCGTACTGATTCTTCAAGACCAGCCCCAATGCGACAAACGGCTGGACGTCGCCGCGCGACCCCACGACTTGAACGACGACATTGAGCGGCGGAGGGATTCTCGAGGGTCGGTGGCTCGCCTCTAAAAGACTGTGGGCGGTCTGGGGAGGTGCGGCGAGTCCCTCTTGGATTCGGGACAGCTGCAGTTGCTCGATCTGTTGGGCGAGGAGCTCGTTGATTTCTTGGATGGTGATGTTGACTCGACCATCGTCTGTGAGTCGCCGTCAAGTCATGCTGATGCGAAAGAATGGACCGGTAGAACAACTAACCTCCTACTTTGGTTTGCGTGGTGACCCCATCTCGTTGCTCCTCGAGATTCGCCGCTGTATCGGGCGCTGGGGGTTGCTTCTTCACGTCGGACGACATCTCCTCACTCGCTCATTCAACTTGAGACTTGCTGAAGAGGCTGGATGTTGTCGAGCCGCCGCGTGCGTCTCCTGTCATGAGAAGGCTGTTGCAAGCCGAGAGACGACCATCGTTCGCTGCTCCATCCTCGTAAAAGGAAATTGTTTCGAGGATCCCCTGTAAGTCCACATCAAAGAACAGGAGGTGATAAGAAGCGGGAGTTGGAGGGGCAGCGCAGGCCCGGGAGGTGGCACTCTGGCTATGATGGCCTGTTGTGATCTGCACCAGCGCCCATGATTTAGCCAGCGATCCCCCATTGCGTCAGGCCTTGGCTGGTCCGTCTCCATCTGCGGTCCAGGGCATTTCTGTTCCCCCCAATAACCATCCCGAACGATGCGAAGCTAACCAGACGAAACGGTTCCAGTGCCTGAATTCCATTGCTTGATTGGGCTCTACGAAAGCTTGACCCTGGGATCCCTGGCTGAATCAGCCACCGCAGCACTGCGCATTGATGGAAAATTGACCAACTAACGATGAGCCGCAGTTCTTCCTCGAGCCTGATTGAGCATGGAGCGCGAATACGAGCGAGAGCGAGATTGAGACAGACACACCGCCTACACTCCACCGCCTACTACCCGTACATCGTATCCAAGAACATCGGGGTGGTGAAATAGATTCGTGATCAAAGATACATTTCAAAAAGAATATCCTTCAGGAAAGACCAGACCAAAGCCCTCCCGAATTGTTGTCAATAACTCAACTTCTCACCACCACCCTCCTTTTGTTCTTCCGGCGGAAACACCTCGTCCAGATACTTCAACAGACTGACTTGGGCCATGTTGGCGTGCACGTTCATGCCCAACCTTTCGGTCAACTCGGGCGACAGTTCCTTCTTGACGTCCTCGGGCATCTTGGCCGCCCAATTGACCTGCTGCCGCAGGAACGGCACGGTGTAGTATCCGAAAAGCAACGCTCGGTCCTTGTCCTTGGTCACATTGGCCCCCGAAGTGTGCCAGACGCGGCCGTTCATGAGCACGATGCTGCCGGCCTTGGCCTCAAAGGGCTTCAGCAGCGAGCGCGCGTTGGAGGGAATGTCCTCGCGGGTGGTCCACTTGTCGCTGCCGGGGATGAAGAGCGTGGCGCCGTTCTCGAGGTAGACGTCTTCCAGACACCAGATGACGTTCAGGGCCCACGTCGACGTCCACGGCTCGGGCATCACCAGGGACTGGTCGCTGTGCAGGGCCATGCTCTTGGACCCGGGTCGCGCAATGTTGGCCGTGAAGTTGCTGATCAACCAGTTGTCGCCCAGCACCTTCTCGACCATCTCCACCGCGACGGGATGCTGGACCAGGTCGCGGAAGATCTTGTCGAGTGCCATGAGGTAGAAGACGCGGATGTTGGCCGCATTCGGGTCCAGCATCGGCATGTACGTGTCGTCGCCCAGCTTGCGGAACTTGTCGGCCGCCGCCCACAACTGCGACAGCACGCGCGAATTTTCTTCGGGCGTGAGCACGTCGGGGATCACGGCCCAGCCATGGTCTTGGAGGTGTTGTTGCGCGGCTGCGATGGTCGACTCGGGTGAATGCGAGGCAAACTGGTTGTCTGAAGAGTTTGTCGTGGTGCCCAGGGAACCCATGTTGTTTGTCGTTTCCTCCGATATATAGCCTCTGGTGGCCTCTCTCGACCTCACGACCGACAAATACCAAGATTCTCGTGACAAAACGCAAAGACGACTATCTACACCGTTACACCGTTACACCGTGATGCAGTCAGTCACTCAGTATGTCACTCAGTGAATTTGTACGGCTTGTTGTCACCTCTCGTCCGTCCTTTCCGGTAGGTATTGTTATAATGATTCAGGTGTGCAGATTCCAAAAAGGACCCTGGAGCAAAACGGCCCATTTATGTATTGCCCTCGAGCATGGCATACCAGGACCAGGACCACCAAAATCCCCTAGTGAGCATCAATCATGTTGTCTCCTCCCTCTCCTCCGCCTCCTCCTCCCCCCCCGCATCTCCCAGCTCGATTGTGGTCAGTCCACAGCCGTCCAAAGTTATTACTCGCCTCCCTTCAGTCCGGATATCCCCATGGGGCAGGATCGTCTTGGTCCTCGGTTGAACCAACATGGCCACCCAGCCAATTCCGCTGCGGGTGTCTAGGGAGCAGAGTCGGTGACTAAGAAAGTATTGACTGGACAAAATCACATCTACTGCATCCGCAAACCTCCCACGCACAACCACAATCATGTTGGCTAAGGGAATGTCGACTAAGACTCGCAATGAGTACGTTTTTGCCATGTATCTATCCACATCAGGGTATACATGCCGAGACAAATCAGAGATTAATGCCATCTCTTCAACCCCCAAACTTCAACGGGTTCGCAGTGTCTTTCAATGGACCTGGATTGACCCTCCTCCACCCCAGCAGAGTCTGGGAGCATTATCTTCTTTTTTTGACACAAAAGATGTGCTGTTCGGCCCTCTAATTCAAACTTTTCAGTGTCTCTCGCATCAACCTAAAGTATCCAGCCATCCAACGCGCTCCGCCATGCTTGCCAACACGTTGCAAAGAGGGCGACTGTAACCCCGCCCAATGATCGCTAAAGAACACAGACTCGTTGACTCTTAGCCTCTTAGGAGATGACTATATGCGACCCCATGCACTACCAAAGTTCATGCTATTTCTCATTCTTAGCCTTGGCATGTCATCGTCGTTAGCAGAAGATCCTCTTGGTTGCTCGCTTGCGCTGTGCTCATCGTTGCCGCTTGACAGACTGGACTCGGCCTTGTCCTGGTGTTGTTTCTCCTCAATGAGTCTACCATCGAGAATATTCAAGAATGCAGCCGATTCCACCGTCTTAGCGTTGGGGTCCAGCATGAGTGGTCCTCTCAGAGAAGGATCATCACGTGTCTCATAAACTGGCTCCAGCTCCGGCAGCTCTTCTATAATCTGATTCTCCTTTCCTTTGTCGTCGGGCGCGGAAGTGAACGAAAAGTAAGAGTCAGAGTTCTCCGAAGGACGCAGAGGTGGACGCGTGGTGGGGGCGGGGGCAAGCGGTTCTTCTTGCTTTGGAGTCAACACACTACTCGCAGCGTCCGAGGAGAGAGTACCGTCAAAAGCCATGGGTGTGTGTCCGGCATGTCGCTTCAACTTTTCATCGAGCGGCGAGATGAGAGAGTTGACGTCCAGTCTGAGAGAGTCCTCTTTGGTAGGTTGTGGTACAGGGGACAGCGCGGGACTAGCAAACTGCGGACTGGTGATCTCCTTGTCGAACGACGAGGTCAAGGCCGCCGATTTGAGGGTAATGCCGTCCAAGGTTTTGTCGACCTGCTCGATGGGTATCGGGATATTCTCTTGGCCGCCAGAGGTGGGTGAGACCTCCTTGGACAAGGGAGGCAGGGCTTCATCCTCTGAAATGCTTGGGAGATGGCACACTTCGTCCTCGCTGGCAAAAACCCTGGTCACCGGAGGAGTGGATTCAGGACCTCGCCAGACTGGTGGTTCTGCAATGGTGGGTTCGGGAGAGATGCGAGAGCGGTGTTTGCCATTGATTCCAAAAGGTTGAAAGTCCGTTTTGAACGAGCGAAGACTTGTCGCCGACGAGTCATTGCTCGATCTCCTCTTAGGGTCTCTGTTCTTGTTGAGTTTCTGCTCCAATGCGGCTATCCGTGCTTTCAGCGCGGTTCGTTCAATATCCCAAGCTTTTCGCTCGCTCTCGTGAGATTGTCTGAGCTGCGTATTCCACAACCGGCATTGCTCCATATAGGCCGTGATGTCCACTTCAGGTGTGGGGTTGGTCATCTGAAAACCATGCTTTGGCAGTTGACTCGCAGAAGATATCGGGGGGAGTAGGGGTACATTTGTGCCGGCTATCGAGTGACGGCCTTTGGCTGGCATCGTGGGAGGATCTGAGAAGCGCACGGCCCTGAATTCAAGGGACGAGCTCATTGTACGGGGGTGAGTGAGTGGAGAAAAGTTGTCTGGGTCATGCTCGAGCGCTGGGGTAGGATCGAAGGCTTGAGTGGGAGATCGGGGAGCCATCTGTGGGCAGGGACGACTCGAGGCTGAGGACTATGATGTTTCAAGCTAGCTATCGTCGTCCAAGCACCGTCGATGTGTTGCCCAAATGAGTGTATGTAGAGTTGGCGTCGTGGGTGAAGAATGACAAAAAGCTGTGGGGATGACGTCTGAGATGGACGAGTGCCGAGGCCTAGAAACGAGATGACATGCAAATGCAGTCAAAAATATAAACAAGATTGCGGATGCGGACGTGACAATAGTGTTGATGGGGATGTTGACGACAAGTACATGGAGTCGTAGAAAGGGAGTTCAAGTGGGAGAAGATGAGAGAGTGTGCGAAGTGAGTTGGAGCCCAGCGAGTGTGAGGTTGAGATTGTGGGCAGTAGCGACAGGCGTTGAATCTCGCAGGCAGATTGACTTTGAGGCGGAGGCAGTTTGTCGCAGTCTCGAATGGCGCAGGCGTGTGTACCTCATAGGAACTTCAATGGAGAATTAGATAGGAGACCTGTGTACCAAGTACAGGTGTCTGCTGGAAAAAGAGTGGATTGAAAGCGATAAACAAAACGCCTCGTGGCATCCTCTTCGTCTCGCCTCTTTTTTTTTGATGGATGACGTTGGTCCGTGCCTGAAGCCGAGATGGAGTGGATTGTGTGTTTGTGTGTGTGTGCGGTGGCTTTTTTGGGGGAGAAGAGGGGGAGAACGGGAGAAAGGGACTGGGCACAACTGGGAGACTGGGTCACTTTGGATCTGCCGTCTAGGTGTCATCCACCATTAGCAGGGGGTGGAGGGAGAGAGAAATTTTAGAGCTTGGGCGTAGTGCGATGGGTGGTGATGGGGCTGACTACAAGTAGCTAGGCGTGCTAGGTACAGATAGCGGCTGTGATCTGCAAGGGTACAACCTGGCTCCGTCTGCCCCCAAAAGAGCCAAAAGGAGCCAACGGGGGAACAAACAGGAGGTCAACGGCAGGGCTTCAGGGTCAAGGGACCAACGGGGAGACCCCAATGGGGTTCCACTGGGCGTCAGGGTCCAGCATAGCACAGTGACCAGAGTGCCCGCAGTTCTCCATTCTGAGCGCCGCTAAAGCCACCGTCTCGGGCACCAAAGCCCCGAAGAACCTCTGTTAGGGGGCTGCTACAAGTGCTCAGGGTCTGCCAGCGAATTTCTGGGAACTGCCGATTAGTGGCCGCACTAGCTGCATGCAACCGACGACATAGTTACTTGAACAGTACGAGTACGGAGAGTTAACAAAGAGGCGGAGAAGGTTTTCATTTCTTCGCTTTTCTTGTTCCCTGATCAAAATCCACTTTTTCGTGTTGTTTCTGAATGGTGATGGCGTTGAAGATCGGAATCTCAGGTTGTGGCTCCTCAGAGGACACGCGATATACATCCCAAAAGGGAAAGAGGCAGGCAGAGAGCCCATTTGTCAGCGCCACGACCACCACATTCGTGACCAACACAAGAGTATAGATTGGTAGACGCCACGACTACCGGAGAGAGATGAAGACAATTGATTGATCCTCGAGCACAGAATCGCACAAGAGAGTCCTGGTCACTCAGTTTTGCTGGTGGCTTTTTTGCCAACTCATCACCCGCCGCTTTACCCTCGCACTAACGACTACTTACGAACAGTCGAATTGCCCTCTTCTCCTCAAGTAGTTTTCTTAATTGCTGGAAACCCGGACATACCTTGGCTCATGTCCAACGCTTCCACACGTCTGGTATAGAGTTGGTCTTTCTAGGACAGCTCAAGGACACAGTTTTGGACAAGGGGTCTTTTTCTGCTTCAACGCTCACTTAAAATGCTGTGTTGATAGACACATACATCCCAAACAGCGAAGTCTGTCTATTTGGGAAATTTCAAAGGATATGCTACATCTCCGTTGAGATGCTTTCAGCTCGTCGTTGCCCTGACTTGGTTCCCCCGTCCCTCTCGGAGAATGGACAAGACAACGGAAGCCCAGTACACCAGCAACAACAGGATTTGTGGCGGAAATGTTTACAAAGAACCCAATACCTAAGGAATTATGACTAGTTCGAGGGCCTGTCTGTACCTCGGATTGTCAACAGGGACCATTTCACCCCCTCAAATCCGACACGAAAGCGGAATTCCCGATCTGGAAATGTGGGTCCATATAACCCGAGGAACGGAGAATGGTGAGGTTGATATGGATGGTTGAAGATATGCTTGTTAGGAGCTGTCGAATGCGGTTTTTGCTTGTCAAGTCTTTATTACCAACCACATATCTGAGCCAACTCACGAATATTGCCAGTGCCATACTCTCTGCCAGACGCCATGATTGCCGCCAACGAAACACAGACCGACTGGTCGGCACCCAGCCAAAAGTCCATCGACGATGATCGCCCGATCAAAGTGATTTGCATAGGAGCGGGCATTTCTGGCATGCTCACAGCCATCCGGTTTCCTCAGAAGATCAAGAATCTAGACCTTGTCATCTACGACAAATCCGACGACATTGGAGGAACGTGGCACGAGAATCGGTATAGTCTCGCTCCTAGCCCATAGTCCTATCGATCCACACGGTTTTCCGCGCCGTGGGGTGTTAACAGACATGTTTGTTCCAGATACCCGGGCGTGGCCTGTGACATTCCTGCACACAGTTACCAATTCACATTTGCGAACAACCTCAACTGGAGTTCTTTCTACGCCGCGGGCCCTGAGATCCATCGCTACCTGAAGAATGTAGCTCGACGATACGATGTCGAGCGATACGTCAAACTCCGACATCTTTTCCTGGGAGCCCAGTGGCAGGCGGCCGACGGAAAATGGGAGGTCGAGATTGAAGATCTCGAGAGTGGAAGAGTATGCAACAACCATTTTTCTTGCTACCCAGAAATACGTACGACATAACGTTCACATGTGGCTGACAAAAGCAAATCCCAGAAATTCACTGACCGGGCAGACATCTTGATCAGAGCTACCGGAATTCTAAATCGATGGGAGTGGCCCGACATTCCAGGCCTTCGTGATTTCAAAGGGACTCTCCTACACTCGGCGAATAGAAAGAGCTGGGAGACTCCGCTGGATCCCAAGGGGAAAAGAATAGCTGTCATTGGGGGTGGCTCGTCGGGAATCCAGATTGTGCCTCAGCTCCAACCCACCGCGGCTCGAATTGACCATTACATGAAGGGCAAGACATGGGTGTCGCCAGTTGGTTACGGATCCGACAAATCCAACCGAGGAGTGACGGATAACTGTAAGCCTCTCTGTCTCTCCTCCTTCTGGTGGCACAGGTCTACCCCAAGATAAACACTAATTTGCATCTCCAGATAAATACTCGGAGGACGAGCTGAGGACGTACCGCGAGAATCCCGACGAGTATATCAGATACCGGCGGGAAATCGAACGGATCATGAACGCCAAACCCGAGATCCTGTTCAAGGGCACCGAGGAGCAAAAGGCCTTCTTCGCGCTCAACGACGAGTCGATGAAGCAGAAACTCTCCAAGAAGCCACACATCTACGAGAGCCTGCGGCCGGACTTTTCGCCCTTTTGCCGCCGGCTCACGCCCGGTCCAGGCTTCTTGGAGGCGCTGGTCGAGGACAACGTCGAATTCATCGGCTGTGGCATCGACACCGTGGTGGAGAACGGTATCAAGGCCAACGACGGAAAGGTGCGCGAGGTGGACGTGATCATCTGCGCCACAGGCTACGATACGTATGTTGTTGTTGTTGTTGTTGCCCTCATCTTCTTCCTCTGACCGACTAACCGGGTGCGCAGATCCATGGAAAACGAACCGCCCATCGTCGGACTCGATGGCAAGACCCTCGCCGATATGTGGAATCCCGACCCCCAGGCCTATCTCTCGATCTGCGTGCCGAAGATGCCTAACTTTTTCATCTTCTTTGGCCCCAACGGCGGCGCCGGATCCGGGTCGGCAATCCCCTTCCTCGAGTCGGTGACGCTCTACCTCGTCAAGCTGGTGCAGAAGATCCAGCGAGAATACATAAAGTCCATGGTTGTTACGTACGTTGCGAAAACGAAAAGGCCTCCTTATTACCCCTTTTTCTCCCTTGACCATGTTAACCTGCATTGGACCTCAAACAAGTACTGTGACTGACCTTGTTTGCTTTTTGATCTATAGGGAGAAAGCCACCAGCGACTTTGTACGACACGTCGACGAATACTTTTCCAAGACAGTTTTTACCGAAACGGTACGTTCCAGAAGAACTCTTACTTTGTTGTTCGATACTGTATACCTCTTATCTCTTCCCTTTCCTTCCCTTTCCTCGTCGCTTCTCACCTGGTGTCATACCCGTCCCACCACCCAACCCGAAGACACTAACGAAAACCGCCAGTGCAAATCGTGGTTCAAACGCAACAAGCAAAACGGGCGCGTCACGGCCCTCTGGCCCGGCGCGTCGATCCACACGCAAAAGGCGCTGGAAAACCCGCGCTACGAGGATTTCCAGTACGAGTACCTCGACGCCCTGGGCTCCAACACCATGGCGTGGTTGGGCAACGGGACGACCGTGGCGCAGGTCAGCGGGGAGGACACCACAGAGTATCTGGTCGACAATGACGTTCCGCCGCCGATTGTGGAGGGGGTTCATGAGTGGGATAACTAACAGGTGAGAAATGATTCAAGGAGGGGGACGACGTTGTAGTCGACTTGTTCCAAAGGCTGGTGGTCGAGGGTGTCGAGAATTTACTTGATGTTATTTGTATACAGATGGGCACTTCTTTGACCAAGGAAATGAATGACTTTATAGTTCTTATATGCGGGAAACAATATAACCACATGCTGTTTCTACGAGTATACCTACCCAAGTCCCGAGTTGTTTGACGGTCCCAGCGATATCAGGATCTATAGTCAACACTGGTCCTTGTCCCAGACCTCAAAGACCAAGGACTATAGTCCTGAGCGTCGCAACGAGTGATCTTATTGGCTGAATCGGGTTGGTTGTCTCCGATCCGGTACAGGCCTTCGTCCTTCGCGGTGCCTGGGAGAGGTATTGTAAATGCTTATAGCACCAGCTGCTGCAATACTGATCCAGCGACCCAGCGGGCCAGCCCACAACGCAATTGCATGCCAGCCAAAAGAAATAGATTGGCAGGCGAAGCAGTTGGTAAGCAAAAAGTCCTACCTCGTTACGGTTGGTCACATCGAGAAGTAAGAGCAGAAACAGGGAAAAGAGGTCTGGGAGAATAACAGTTGCCTGTATATTGTATACTGTATCTGGTTCCTGTTTTCTGGTTTACATACATACGTACACTCTGAAGCAGAACGGGGGTGGGGATTCCCAGGTTTTATGGCCTGATGATGCCGCCCGATCTTCCGTCTCGGAAAAGCGGTACCTGTCTTCAGCAATCCACCAGCATTTCAGAGAGGTGAGAAAGCGTCCGGCTTACTTAGGGTGAATACTCATGCTGGGTGTGTGAGGGCTCAGCATTCTTTTTCTCGTCTCCTTGAGCTGTCATGACCACGGCCTCCGCGTCATCCACTTTGACGACGTGCCTGTGGTGGGCCAGCTTCTCCTCAAGCTCGGCGCGATGCGACGGTTTGGCGTAGAGGTAGTCGATCTCTTCCAGAGTGAGACCCTTGGTCTCCTTGACAAAGAGGTAGATGAAGACGACCTGCAAGACGTTGCCGATGCAGAAGAGAAGATAGAATTTCCATCCGGCGTGCGTGATGCCAATTGGGCCAACCTGTGAAGAGAAAAGTTAGTTATCCACTCCAATTGCTGGTCCTGAGTTGACTTACCTTGACGACCACAAAAGTCATGAGCCACTCCATACCCACGGACAGTGCTGAGCCGGCATGGCGCAGATGAAGCGGCGTCACTTCGGCGGCGTAGAGGAAAGGCAGACCGCACCACGAACAACCGTAGCAGAATTCGAACAAGAAGATAAAGACAACCGACGCTGTCAAGGACGAATCGTTGTACACTCCAAGTCCGATGGTGTAGCAGATCATGCAGATGGAGCAGCCCACGGCTCCCCAGAGCAAGACGGGTCGCCGACCCAAAACTTCGACAGACCAGATAGCGGTCAACGTGCCACCCCAGAAGACCAGCGATAAACCTCCCGAAGTGATGCCCGCCTCATTCGGAGTCATGCCGAGATTGTTGATGAAGAGAAATGAGGCGTAGTACGCGATCAAGCAGATACCTCCAAGCTGCTGAAAGAACTGGATCAGGATGCAAATCCAGATTCGCCATGTTGCGTTGACGGGCGACCGATCGAACAAGATGTCTGAAATCCGGAATTTGACTTCATGTTCAACCTCCAAAGCTTGGATGACCTCGCGATGATGTTGCAGGACAGTGGGGTGGTCGATGGGGACGTTGAAGATGCGAGCAATAACCGAGTCTGCTTCCGCAAGATGGCCCTTGCTGTACAGATAACGTGGCGATTCGGGCAGCAGCGTAATAGTTCCCAGCGTCAGAACGCAGAAGACCATCTGGAAATAGAGTGGAAGGCGCCAAACGATTCCCCCCGTCATGTTTTTGACCATCCCATAGTCGAACCAGTAGGCGATGACCAGGCCGAGAATGACGATCGAGATCTGTACCGACACGAGGGCGCCGCGGCGGGAGGCGTGAGCACATTCCGACACCCACACAGGGATGATGGAAGAGTTGATGCCGGTGCCGAATCCGCCGACGACGCGGCCAGCAATCATCATGGCGACCGATGTTGCGCCGCCTTGAAGTCCAGCACCGAGAATCAGGAGACAGCATCCGATCATCACCAGGACGCGACGGCCGACCTTCATGCCGAAGATTGCGGTCCCAATACAGCCGACCAGACAACCGATGTCGTAGATGGCCACCACGGTTCCTTGCAGGTTGGCATCAGTGGCTCCTATCCCGAGCCCGTTCAGCAGCTGAGGAGTCGCGATGAGACCCCCAAAAACTCCCTGGTCGTAGCCAAAGAGCAGAAAAGCCATGGCAGACGAGAGCATGATGCATACTTGGAGCCACACTCCTTTGAGCGAGCTCCAATAGCCAACGTGAAAGTTTCCCATTGTTCCAAAGGTATGATGAAGACAAATGTGATTCGGAACCGTTTGACAAGTTGCACTTGGGTCTTGGAATTTATACTGCACCACCAACTAATGCGTCTGCTCCATCAAGGAGTTCACAATAGCCAATGGTTCCATGAGCTGGAGTATCCTCTAGGTATATACCCAGTACTCTGGGTCAGGGGACCTGGTCGATACCCCAGATGCCGAGGAGAATAGATCTCCGAATTCACCAATCTCCGACCGAGGAATTCATAGCGCCCCAGTTTTTCTGGTCCGCTGATAGGGCAATCGAAGCTGGTGTATCTGGGGTATCCCCAGAGAAGACCCTTGGTAGAATAATGTGGGAGTAGGGACCCATGCTGTCTGGGGAAACGTGCATGCGAGTTCCCAAGGACCGAACAGCCTCGCGAGAGGTTACAATCCCGAGCGACAAACCCGATCATCAACTCGGAAAAGGACGGCGTTTCCTAAGAGACACAACGTAGGCATATTGAAGGGCGTGATTAGACCTGTCTGTGGATATTTCCGTAGGTGTTTCCTTATTCGATGTATAAAGGCATACAACTTATGTGAACCGTGCGCTGCGCTGCAAAAGGATAACCCTTCTAACTCTGCAAAATGTCTTCCCATTCCCCTAGCCAAGGTGATGTGATGTCGTCAGGTGCGGTAAATTCTCGAAAGGTCGGCTGGAGACACTGCTGAATGTAAGGGTCAGACGACGAAGAGGACGACCAACTTCCAAATACGGCGTCACCTGCGGCGGCGTTGAGTTGCTCGTCATAGCGCTCCTCGAGTTCGAAGAAATACCCCGATGAGAGCCCTTCGATGTCCTGGCCTGCGGTCTTTCGTACTGGGCTTTCCGTTACCGCTGGTGGTGTCGAAACACTGGCTCGAGTCCATTCAAAATTGTTGGGGCTGAATTGTTCGCCGCCTATCGCCTTGACGGGACCCGAATTGTTTGCGTCTTCAATGCCTGAGCCAAGCGACCCCAGGTGAGTGGGAAAGACTGGAGAAAAAAAGTCAGCAAAGGAGTTGATATTGCGGGTTTCTCGAGAGATATGATGTGACATACGATATCGTGGAGGGATTCCAGGTGTTTGTAGAGGGTTGCCAGCACTCTTGCTAGCAGCCTCTAGCAGTGTCACAGCCCGCTGCACAGCTGTAAATCTCTTTCCGAGCATCTGTAGAAGGCCCGTCAAAGATATCAATCTTTGCATCGCTAGGTCGCGTGCCTCTCCATTGGACGACTTGGCCTCAAGGATTAAGATTGTCACGGGAGGCAAGAGAAAATGGAGACTTCATGTATCAGCGGAAGAACAGCATTCAGCGTGATCACAAACTCACCTCCAAGCTGGCATAAAAGACCGACATTGTGAGCCCAGCGCATCTCTGGCTAATTGAGAAACTTGATGCGCAGCCTCAATTGCCTTTTTTCTAAGCTTCCTGCAATTCACTCTTTGATTTGCTGTATGACGGCACCGCAATGTGCAACTTGAGTCAAAGTAAAACACGCAATCCGCAGCTGCCATGATCATCTGCAAGAAAAGCCGCTCAGATGTTGCACGTTGTCCCGCATTCGACGTGGAATGTTCATCTGGTGAATGTCTGAGCTTCTCCGACAATATCGCTGCGTTCTTCTGCAATTGAATGCGACAACTTGCCAGTTCCGGGTTCGTGAGAGCCATGGAAGGGCACATCCCACTCCCTTGTGCGATGGTATCGTGCTGACTGGACGGGTATGGAGCGGCGTGCTTTATTGAGAGCATGTAATGGATGTGAGCCATTAAGCGCACGAGATTCTCAAAAGGTTCCATGGAATGATGGGCTGTAGCATCGGCGGAATTGCGTGTGGACGATTCCACTCTGGCAACTGGTAATCTCTGGTGGTTGAACGGTGATGGCAGAACATGCTCCCAATCGAGATCCATTCGCATTTTTGGCGCCCGCCGCCGACTGAAAGCGAAAATGGTCTCGCTGACGAGGCAGCAACACCATAACTGGTGCCAAAATCTCTTGTCTTCACCATCTGTTGTAGCACGCACCATTCTCAAGAGGTCCAGGGACTCGGCATAGGCTAGGGCAGTCCCGGACCAGAAGCAGCAATCTCTTGCACCGTCTCTTACCTCGGTGCTTTGCGTCATAAGTAAGAGGGCCTGTAAACGGCTGATGGGATCAGATTCGACGTCGCAATGTAGGAGATGCCTGACGCGCTCATAGTAAAGCTGCTGAGCATCTTGGGCGTTATTGTGTCCAAGCTTCTGCAGAAGAGACACGGGCGCAAACTTATGCGAAGTCAGCAGTTGAACTCATTACGTTCTTGTAATCTTTCGAAGTGGTAACTTACGGGACAAACAGCCATGATGGTAGCATATACCTCCAACAAGCCAGGACGGGGGTTCTGCTTATTATTCGAGACGGCAGCAGGAGATGAAGTCAACGTCATACGCTCTGGATGCAGGACGGGGAAAATTGGGTGGATGTTGTCCCAATATACCGAGAAACACTGTCTCACGACTGCCCTCGACGGAGCTTCGAACACACCCTTGTTGGCAAGAAATTCAACGGTGGCTGGTTCAAGATGGCTCGGTAAGGCTGCAATGAACGATGGTACGCCACCAGCCTGCCGTTTGGTCGTTGCTGGTGCATCATGCGCGTGTATGGGACTGCAGTTGAACTCGTGTGTCTCTAGGATTGTGGGATCCAGCATGAATGGCTTGCTTCCCGTCGTCGCGGGTGCATTGCAAGAACCGGAGACTGGCTGTCGGGAGGAAGACATGGTTCCGTCGTTACTGTCGAGTTGTCTCGGCGATTCAGAAGAATAAGTCGGACCATCTCCAGCTGCGCATTTGCCTCGTTGTTAGTTTCTCGAGAGGAATCTCCTTAACGAACAAGGATCAAAACATACAAAGCATCGAACGGCTAGCTTTGCGCTGCACTCCACACCGGGACGAGGGGACGGTGGGCTGCGTGGCGACCTTGCGATCAAGCACAACGCACGGTTTCGAGTCGAGCTTGCAGTTTGTACATGGTATGCCTTGATGCTGCTGGTCGCACCGGACTTTTCTTTCACGGCAAGATCTGCAAGCCCGGATCGCACGGCGCTTTCGTTTGATCACGGTCGCCGCCGAAAGAGGGCCTTCAGAGCTCTCTCGTATCTCCATGATGTGATGGTTGTGGTGCATATTACGCGCGGGTGACCCAACAGCAAAATTGTTTTGGATGAGAAAGGGTCGAACCAGGGCAAATATGGCTATCAGTCAGCCTGGAGTAGTTACAGGTGGTGTGGAGGCATCGTCGGCTAACAGGTTGGGACCGTGAGAGGGGGCGGCGGCGACCATTGCCTCCATTATTGCCCAGCGAGTCTCTCCCCGCAAATAATAATGGCCTTGATTCAGAGGCGACGGTGTGCCTGGGGACTTGTGCTTAGGGTCTCCGTTTCCCCCACAGCGGTGTCGACAATTTGGGGGAACGGGGGGTGCAGCTGTCCCTTGCAGGTTGCTGTGGAACAGACGGGTGGGATGGTGTGTGTGTAATGGGACGGTATGGTATTGTGTAACGATGAGGGAGATTTATGTGACGGCTGCGTATCCCGTGACTGTTTCCACATGTATTGTGTGCCAAGACGCCAAGACACCCAGGCCGGATACCGGAGAAGACAACGGAATTCATCAGTCTTAGTTACCAAGTACAGGAGGCAAAGTACTTGTTGGCACTAGCTTAGTCTTTGCCGAGGGACCCTTCAGCAGCCCCGAATGGAGGGTTCCAGGTTCTTTACTTGGGGTGCTTGGGGTGCTTGGTCCCTTGAACCGGGGCGTCTTGACCTCCCATGCACTGAAGAGCCTCTCCCGCCTGGTTCGACTGCACCCAACCAAAGGCGCACTCACACTGCCAGAAACGAACAAACCGAAACAAGTAGGGAAATATGCCGCCAGAGGGTGAAGTGCAAGCGAAGCGGCGATACTCATCCAACGCATGCATGACATGCAGGAGAGCCAAAATCAGAGTCAGTCTTCTCCTACAAGTTGAATGGCGTCGAGCATAGATGGGATTGTGACTCTGACTGCCACAGTGCGACAACAAGAAACCCCGGTGTTCCAACTGCGTCTACCGTGATGTCGATTGTCTACTTGGCCAAGATGGCCGAAAGTGAGTCTGTCCATTGCCACAGGTCCTGGTCATGAAAGCGAAGAGAATAACAGTTGCGCCGCCAGACCTGCTTCCGGCATCAGCAAGAATCTCAAGAACAACGGAGCCAACCCCGAAGACAACCTCTCCACGGGCAACTCTTCCATCATGTCGCCGCACGGCTCCAAAGCCTCGGGAACATACAAGTGGCCGACAACAAGTTCAGCGCCTTTAAAGTTAGGAAGTGTCTCCTACTCGACGCCATCACCTATAGGAGAGCAAACATTCAACCCTTTCAACCCTCCGGCACACGACGAACAACGCACGAGGTCGCAATTTGCAGACGCCGGGGTTGACTACTGGATCGAAATCGCTGGACAGGAAGGCTTCGAAGAAGCGAGTGACGAGCTCGATCTGCTGGATCTACACACAATCGATACGGCCCATCTTTCACTGATTCCCAGTGCTGATCTGTCAAAAGACGACCGCGGCGATATCAGACTGGAAAATCCCGACTACACGACTGTCAGTCCAGCACAGGATATCGACCCTCTGTTCGGCAACGAACCCGAAGCATTCGCTGTGTTGAAAGACTCCGACCGATCCAATGCTCGCCAAACGAGTGCAAGTGAAGCAGACAGCTGCCAAGTTCGGGACGAGCCCACAGAGCAACTGGCCAGTCGGCTAGGTTGTCTGCGCATCGCCGAGGACGGCCATTTGAGATACTATGGTGCTACGAGCAATCTGCATCTGTTCCGAAACGGCCTCCAGCATTGCTTTCAGCCTTCTATTCGCACAATTCGCACTCATGGTCAGGATGCCCTTGAACGTGCTGGTCTACACTGGTCTTCGGACCCTCGATACGAAGACCATCTCACGACCTTGTTTTTCGCCTGGCATAATCCGTTCCTCGGTGTCGTGGATGAGGCTGCTTATTACCACTATCGCCAACTATACCGCGCTGGCAACACCACCATTTACTTTTCTCCGACGCTGGAGAATGCAATGTAAGCCCATTCGTGCTATTCATGGCGTTGCCTCAGCCTTCCGCTAACATGTGAACCAGACTTGGAATTGGAGCAGCATATGCCACTCGTAAGCACCCAGCGATCAAAGACGACCCAGCGGAATTCTTCGCCCACCGTTCGAAGGTGCTCCTGGACATCGAGATGGACAGCCCGAACGTGGCAACAATTCAAGCACTAGTAACTTTGTCAGCCCACGAAGCGGCATATGCAAGGGATTCCAGAGGTGAGCATTTTCTCCTGGTTATGGTGAACCGTTTACAGGCACTGACTCGATGCGCAGGATGGCTCTACACAGGTATATAAATTGAATCGTCAACGTTCGATACTAGCGTCTTACATGGAGGTTTAGGAATGGCGGTGCAACTGCTCTCGGATCTGGGACTACATCTGGAGCTCGATCAAGCGCGGGTCTCAGGCCATGACACTCCAGACATAACAAATTTACGTCGAACAGTCTTCTGGGCAACGCAAGGATTGGACATGTGAGTATTGTTGCTTCCAGAACTCCTATTGTACTCGTCTCAATATCTGCAGGACGGTATGTGAGCTAACATCGAACCATTTTCGACAGCCTGTGGAGCGCCTACAGTGGTAGACCCTCGTCAATCCGATACGACGAACAGAGAATACCGTTTCCTAAACTACTCAGCTTGGACACATGGCGACCGTATGTGGATGAGGGTGACTCGGCACAAGTCCCAGCTGGCCTTGATGTGACCGTCATCGGCCAGACCCACGTTTACATGGCTCAGTTGACCACCAAAATCCGCAAGATATCCAGGTTCCTGTTGGTTGACAATCTGCCCCTTTTTGACAGAGTTGAAGTGTGCTGATGATTGTTTGACTTAGCTATACTGGGCCACAAGTTGCCATGACCGAAGCAAAGGCTTTTGCCAGAAACATGATGCGAGACTTGCGGCACTGGCGGAATTCTCTACCTGCCGCGATGCAGGTGCCTTTTTTGGATTCTGACGACGACACCGACGACGCCGACACTCCCATAGCTCCGGCGGTGATCATGTTACAGTATGTTTGGAGATTTTCTCAATCGTCACACGATAACTGCTAATCTCCCGGGACAAGTCTGCAATTTCTTGAAGCCGTCATTTTCTTACAGAGGCCATTCATATCTGCGCCAGACGCGCCTGGAACGAATACCCTCCAAGCCGACCAAGCCGACGACGACAGCGGAAGCATTTGCGACGCCTCTGCCAACGCCATCTGCCGGCTGGTCGTCATCTACCGGCAGCAGTGGAACCTGCGACGCGTGCACGCCCAAATCGTCGCCATCATCCTCACGGCCGCCCTCATTCACGTGCACAACTGCTGCGTCTTCTCCAGTTCCAAGGGAGTCCAGGCGCACAAACAACTGTCGATCTGCTTCCAGGCTTTGGGCGAAATGTCCCACTTCAACATGAGCACGCGGGCGCTGGAGATCATCCTGTCACTGCGGCGAGACTGGCAGGATCAGATCTTTGGTGATTTGGGGAGGAAGCGCCTCGGCGGTGATCTTCAACGGTTGCATTAGATGAGATCTTTCTGCATCTCTGCTACTATTTGTTCCATTGAAGTTCTATCCTAGAAAACTCTTGAGGGTATAGGTGCGCTTTTGAGCAAGTCCTTGCTCCCTCATCCTGACCCTCACTCGATGCCTGAATGTGGCTGAACCCTCCCAAACTGGACTTTTGATCCCATGCGATTACAACGTCCAAAATAATCAATATTCATAGTGGGAATCAGGAACACGATACATATAATCTTACCTGCACGGAAATCTCTCAAGTTTTAGCACATGTAACTTCCCTTACTTACATACATGTACTTCCTCGCCAGAGCCGGAGTTACACCAGACTGGGACAACTTTTAAACCCCACAGCCCACTGGTCTGGATCTGGGGGAGTGAATGAGTGCTCCGCTCGCTCGCTCGAATTCAAAGTAGAAGAACCTAACTTGGAATGCCGTCCAATTCATCTCCGAGGAATCCACGGTTTGTGTTGGTGTGTTTGGGTGTATTCGGAAATCTGGGGAGCGAGATCCGAGGAGATTGACTGGGTTGTCTGGGGGGGTGAATCTCCGAAAAACGAAACAAACCCAATAGCCTGGGCGACATTTTTTTCCTCACGGGGAGTAGTAGTAGTGAAGGCGGTTTTTGTTTTACCAGGCACACATACACAGGACATACCATATACCACATACACACCGTTAGAAAAAAAAAAAAACCAATCGGTACTTTGCCTAGCCAAGCCTGATTGAGGGGGAAAAAATGTCGTACAGTGATCTAAAAGACAAGACATTCCTGATCACGGGCGCCGCGTCAGGCATGGGCCGCAAGACGGCCAACCTACTCGCGAAACAAGGCGCGAACCTGGCGCTGCTAGACCTGCGCAAACCCGACGACACGCTGGCCGAAGTCGAGGCGCTGGGCGTCCGCGGACTCGCCCTGTCGGTCGACGTGCGGGACGCCGCGGGGGTGGAGAGCGCCATCACCACGGCGCGAGAGCACTTCGGGGCCCTGCACGGGGCGGCCAACATGGCCGGGATCGTGGGGAACCAGGGCATCAAGGGCAAGGGGCACGCGTTGGACGTCGTGCCCGACGAGGACTGGGACACCCTCATGGGCGTGAATCTCAACGGGGTCAAAAACTGTCTGCGGGTCGAGCTCAAGGTCCTCGAGGACGGGAGCTCCATCGTCAACGCCGGCAGCATCGCGGGTCAGCAGGCCTGGCCGTTCCTGGGGCCGTACTGCGTCAGCAAGGCCGGCGTGCTCAGCTTGAGCAGGATCGCCGCGCAGGAAGCTGGGTCTCGAGGTATTCGGGTCAATGCGGTCGCGCCGTGAGTGGGGGCCCCTTCTCCCATACCAACGACGGGGTGGGGGAAAAGAAGATACTGACGTGTGTGGACAGGGGCATGATCCGAACGCCTTTGACGCAGGCGATAGGTACCGACCAGGAACTCTACGATGCCATGGGCGTGAGGACGGCGTTGAAGCGGATCGGCGAGCCAGACGAAGTCGCCAGGTTGATTGTCTTCCTCCTGAGTCAGGAAGCCAGCTATATAACAGGCACGGTGAGTCTCCAGCCGGCAAGTCTGTCAGAGGAGATGGGGCACTCACATTCGCTATCCGTATAGGTCATCAATGTTGACGGTGGATATTCGTGACCACCGCTCCAGGGAAAGCGAGACGACAAAGGGTCCTCAGAGGCATGCTCGCAGGCAAGGCTGAGTGCCGTTGATGCTTCGTCATGTATCCGACGCAAGTGGCCTTTCTCCCTTTGCCACATAAACATAGCAAGGGATAAGTATGACTCGGGGGTATATACTTGGATATAATCCTGTTGAACGAAGCGGAGACAGTATGTATATACGCGCCAAGAGGTTCCAAAAAGGGCAATATATTTGATTGGCTGGTGGCGGGGTAGATTTCGGCACATATGATTGGTCAGCTCGTGACAGAGTCACGCTATGCGATTCTCTCCACTCTCGATAACCTCTTCACGGGCTTTCTAGCCATCTTGAGTAGTTTTCGCGCTCACTCAACACGTCGCTTTCAGGGCGGGTCTTTCTACCGTACAAAGTATAATATATCCATAACGGCAAGCGAGCGAGGACGATTTAGCTAACCAGCCAAGCTAGCTGCTTGTGGCATCTCGCTCGCTCGCTCCATCCCCGCTACCTTCTCTATCGCTGTAGCGTTTGTCAGTCCTTCAGGTATTCGCTCATTCTGCTGTCTTTGAGGAAGCTCGCAGCGAGCTATGGGCTTGGACTTATAGAAGAGCCAAGGGCACTGGGGAAAGGGTCTCAGCTTAAACCACTGCCTCCTGATAGGTTGGACATGGACGACATTTCATTTTATTTATTTACTACATTTGTTGGGTGTCACCCCTCCATCTCCCAAGACCATAAACACTAACCAAGGGCATTCATTACTATAACTTTCCCAATATCTCGTACTAACTACTGCCCACCCCGCCCTCAAAGTGGTGCCCCATGTGCTGCGCTCCATTATTTGTAGAGGCTCGGGTACTCCGCCTTGATCATGTCAGCTCCCTTCTCAGCCACCATGTAGACGTCGTTCTGGATGCGGCAGTCAGGAATGACGGGGAAGACCGAGGCGTCGATGACGCGCAGGCCCGAGGTGCCGTGGACCTGCAGCTTGGGGTTGACCACGCCCTGCTTGATGTCTTTGCTCAAGCGCGCGGTACCACATGGGTGGAAGCCCGTCTGCGAACGCTCCAGGATCTGACGGATCATGGCCTCGTCCGAGTTGCGCGGCATGGGCCAGGGGTAGTCACCCTCGATAATGTCCTTCATGCCCTCGCCGTTCATGACGATGTCGTCGATCATGCGCACACCCTCGCGCAGCGCGATCAGGTCCAGGTCGTGCGAAAAGAAGTTGATGTTGACGTATGGCTGCTCCTTCGGGTCGGTCGAGTTGAGCTTGACCTCGCCGTTGCGCGACAGAGGGCGCATCAGGTCCACAATCACCGTCAGGTAGTCACCCTGCGGAGGAGTCGGGAAATGCCATTGGAAGGCGTCACAGAACATGGGCTAACGCAGGGATTATGTTAGCGATATGCTGGAAAGAGAGCCTTTGGGCGAGGATACTTACCACAAAGTCAACCTCAAAGTGTGGCTGTCCGGCAGGCCCAAAGGGGTCAACTCCGCCGTTCTTGGCCTTGTACTCTCGGTACTCTTTGGATTTTTCGAACCATTCGTCAGCGCGAGGGAAGGCAACCAGTTCGAGCAGACCGCTGCTGTACGGGCCGGTACGGTCCTTGCGGTAGGCGGCGACGGCACCGTCCTTTTGAGGACCGGCACGCAGGAGATGGCTGTCCAAGCCGTAGCCGTCCTTGATCTTGAAAACGTGGGACAGGATGGGGTGGTCCAGGAGATTCTGGCCCACGTGCTGCGAGTCGACGAGGGTCTTGATACCCTTGGACTCGAGGTGTTCCTTGGGACCGATGCCCGACAGCATGAGGAGCTTGGGCGATTCAAATACTCCCTGTGAGACAATGACCTCGTACTTGGCACGGAAGGTGTAGTCTTGACCGTCAGGGCCGATGACGGTAACACCGACGGCCTTGTTGCCTTCAAAGACAAGCTTCTTGGAGATGGTCGAGGACATGAGTGTCACGTTGGGCTTGCCCTCGAGGAAGACTGCGGCGGTAGATCGGACACCCTTGTAGATGGAGTTGACGCACTTGAACAGACCCTTTTGGGTGCCGCTGTAGACGTCCGAGGTAAGCTCCTGGCCCTTGCTGACCCATGCCGTCTCAAGAGCATCCCGGAAAGGCTTGAGCTCCGGAATCAAGTCGGAATGCGAGATGTGAAGGGGCCCACCCAAATTGCCAATCTTTGCAAGATCGGTGGAGTAGAGGTTGTCGTCGTCGTGGTATGTCGTCGACTTGTTGAAGTATGCCTTGGTGTTCTCCCAGTTCCACTCGTCTGTGCCATACTCGGCCCAGTCATCGAAGGTGGCCGCGCTGCCACGAACCCATGTATAGTAGTTGCCACCACTGCTGCCACCGAGCATCTTACCACGAGTGTTAGGCTTCTCAACTCGGGTGTAGTCTGGCCGGTTGATCATGGTGGTCTTGTAACCCCAGTCATATTGACTGCCGCGCAGCTCAAAGGCACGGGCTGGGGTAGAGATCTCGGGGATTTCGCTAGTGTTACTGCTTCGGGTCAGCAGCGAAGGTTGAAGCCAGGGGGTCCGATGGGGCCATCGACGTACTTGATACCAGCTTCGATAACGAGTATCGAGACCTTGGGATTCTCAGCCAGACGACCAGCAACAACACAGCCAGCAGTGCCACCACCGACGACGATGAAGTCGAAGGCTTGAGGGGCACCTTTGGGAGCTGTGGCTGGGTGAACCATTGTGATTAGTACAAGTGGATTCTTTCCGGGTATTAGAAGAGGTTGCGTCAGGTGGACTATTGCTAATAGGATCGAGGGGAGAGGGCACTGGAACTGTGAGTGTATCGAATGTGAGCTGCTTGGATGGGAAGACTCTCTTTATACCTTGGAAGCTGGTGAGCGCGTGTATCGGACGCTATCCGATGTAAGTTTGACGGACCAGACATGATGTCGTTGTCCATGCGTCCCTTGGACACGTTTTCGTCCCAGTCACCAATCCACAGGGATGCTTTACGCCAACGGATGATGTTGTTAGATGCAAACACCCTCATGGTTGGCAAATGGATGAGCCCTTGGACAATGGTCGGCTCCAGAGTGTCTCGATAGGGGCCAGACAGTGCGGATGAGGACACGGCTGGTACCAGCTTGCGCGTCCGGAGTAATTTGAACATGGAGAAGCCGGTCTTTCCGCTTGGACATGAAGCTCAGAGTTGTCTCGGTTGATGTGCAAGGGAGTTCAGCAGAACCGGTCCCAAGTCACCATTCGTACGAGCTGTGCAGGAGGAGCAACCCATTCCTCCACAGCCTAACATGCATTCGCACGAGCTGAAGGTTTCGGCTCAACCTGAGGAATTTAGTATCTCCTCCAGATGTATTATTCATCCGTGGATCCACTGTTCCAGGCATGGTCCTGGCTTCTGGACATGGCAGACTTCAGCCTCGCAGCAAGCGATTTTAGTGTTGCGCTGAATGCCAACCCATACGTCAGTCGGTGTTGCTCTGCCAATCACCGGACACTAGAAATTTTCCTGTTGCACGTGTAGTAGGGGCACTCGCATAGTCGAGCTACCTGTTGCTGAGATATGTCTCTCGCACGCATCACATTTTGCCTGGTCCAACCAGATGATCTGATGCCAATAGCACCCGCGACTCCCCGTCAGCCGGAAAGCTTGAGTTGTTGGACGTCGGTCTTGATGATACCATCCACGACATCTCTGGAGGCAGGTGTGCGCCAGGGAGTGACAAGGGACAGTCGGTATAGACATTAATGACTAACGATTCTGCACTTTTCTCCCCATCAAGCCATGGACGTGTTTGTTGGACGGATGTCGAGTGGCCGAGGAGTTGCGTCAACCACATTGTCCGTTGGGATTGAATCCTTGTATGCTCTTCCTCGTACATACCTTTACCCCGGTGTCTATCCGGTCTCTTGATTTGATATGAGGTTTGGGACACGAGGTAAAAAGATTCGCGAATAATTTTGGTCGGTGAATATGTCCTAAATGGACCCCGGGGCTTAGACTGGCTGGGTGGCTTCTTACTCGCTGTCTCTGGATGATTGTAGTAGCGAAAGGCCTGGGACTCGTCGCCCACCTTTACCCGGCCCAGAAATCACGGTCAACCCACCCACCTTTACCCGGTGAAGTAAGAGCGAGGCGAGTTTCGGAATGCCTAGCAGGGCCTAGGTAAGAGTCAGCGACCGAGGGGTGAGCCTTCGTGCGAGGGGCCATTGGGGGTCTCATCCTGCTCGCCGTTGATCACTCGATGCAGTGTGATGAGTAACGAAGACACCATTGTCGCATATGGTGGGAATGTCCGAGCAATTGATGGAGGATTGTTTAGCATTGCACAATTAATTTGTGGTGTTTGTGGTGTTGATCAGGGATGATTCAAGAAGTGCTGTTTTTGGTCTTGGCGGGCGCCTCACAAACAGGAGCGTCCAACTCCCTCCACAGGTAGTCGGAGCCCTCCAAAGCAAGGCCCTGACATTGCCTAGAACTACCCCCAACCCCTATTTCTAGGCGGGTTTCTAGCCCCGAAAGCATCGGTCCAGGGCAGGTCTACTGGTATGCTCGAAACTCCAACGATTCCCCTCACCCTGGTGGTAACTGCGCCCCTCTTATCTTGTAAATCTTCACTTCACCATTCCCCCTCCACCAACCGACAACTTGCTGAATAATTGATCAAGCGCTGAATCTACCATACTCATCCCCTCGCCACCCCTCAATGGTGTTTTCTCGGACCATGACCCGCCTCGGCTTCAGCCTCGCCCAAGTCCATCAAGCAGGGCCCGACAGCTATGATATCACCACCATAACTGCGCATGCCCATTCTGACAAATCGGCCCTTCCGCAGCCTGGCGGGAAAGTATCCTCCACGCCATGTTAAAGCGGGTAGCTTCCGTCTACATGCTGCTTCTACCATGCACAAGCCGATATGGACGACGCCGCAGTAGAGAGATCTGATGTCTCCACGGGCCAAATTCCACCACGAGCCTTCAAAGCACGGTCTCGCATCAGCGCCGCGTGCGTGCGTTGTCAAAAAAGGAAGATCCGCTGTGACGGGGCATTGCCAGCCTGTAGTGCATGCCGAAAAGCAGGGACACCTTGCGTGGGCGGAGGAACCTCTCGCGATATCCCTCGAAGGTGAGCCATGTGGTGCATAACGGACCACAAGCAGCACTAACCCGTTCGCCCATCAGCTATGTGCAGGACCTGAAAGCCCGAATCGCTTGGCTGGAATCCATTGTACGGGAACATGTGCCCAGCGTCGATCTAGATGGAGGTCCGCAGGATCAGTGCCGTAGCACACCAGGTGGTCCGCCAAAAGAGTCTGGTCGGCTGCCTCAACCTCAGCAGGACGATGGAGTCTCCGACACCTATTCTCCCGAAGACGGGTCCCTTAACGACATAACTCGTCAGATTGGTCTCGTCTCGGTCACCACGGGAGCAGATCTCCGCTACTTGGGCCCGTCCAGCGGGTTGTTCTTCACCAAGTTCGTCTTAGCAGGACTGGGACGCAAGATTCAGGTCGAGAAGCAGCACTCTCTTGGACCTAACAAAGATGGCCTTTCCATACCCGCCGATCTCCTGGTGGTTCGACCTCAGGATCTCCCGCCGGATCAGAGACACGCGCGGTGGTTGTCGCAAGCATACTTTGACACGGTCCATCTACAATTTCCCTTCCTGCATGAGCCGACGTATATGGAAATCCTCGACAAGCTGTATGACGGTGTCGAGGTCGGCGCAACCTCCGAGTTCCAGGTGTTCATGGTGCTCGCCATTGGTGCGACGATCCTGGCACGTCGAGTGAAAATACCCCTGTGTGCTGAAGGTTATTGCGCTTCTGCCATGGCTCGGCTCGACAGCATCTTTCAGAGGGCGTCTTTGACGGGGATACAGTGCATCTTGCTTCTGCAGATGTATGCCATGAACAACCCATCGTCTGGCTTGAGTCTTTGGGCTCTTCATTATCATTGTCTGGCGTGGACAATTGAGTTGGGCCTGCAACGCAACGCCCCAGGAAACCTGTTTTCTGCTCCCCAGCAAGAGCTACGAACTAGGGTCTTCTGGTGTGTCTACACAATTGATCGCGCCTTGTGCACTCTCATGGGGAGACCACTTGGGTTAATGGACGAGCAATGCGACCTGAGGGTGAGTTATTCGTGCCTATCCAACCGCAGTTTGCTGGCCAGTATTAACTGCTACAGTTACCGTTGGACATTAATGACAGCGACCCTGATCCCAGCCAGACCCGGGCCGAGGACAGGAACGACTCCCTAACAAACTTGTCCAGCGCAATTCACCTCTTCAAGCTTGCGAGACTCAACTCAGAGATAAAATGTGTATTGTACTGCACTGGTCGACAATATCCTCCCTACACGCAACCAGCAACTACCGACCTCGTCCAATGGAAAGAAGATATATTGAATCGACTTCGGAGATGGAAGGAGGAGATCCCACGACATCCAGCAGCTAGCGAACGGTGCTACGTCAACCACCTCTGCGAGATCAAATACCACGAGTTGGTCATGCTGGTTCTCCGACCGAACCCTGTTTTCCAGCATCCCACCAAGGCTGCGCTGCGTGAATGCTTCGCCAGTGCCATGGCCTGCAGTAAGCTCTACTACGAGCTTTATGCCGCCAACAAGCTCCATTACAGTTGGATTAGCGTCCATTCGCTCTTTCTCTGCGTCATCACCATGTTCTACTGCGTGTGGACACCCGACGGAGTTGCCGACGAAGTGGACGTCGACACGCTTATGAGGGCGCTCAAAACTACCTCTGACGTCCTCAGCGCGACGGGGGAGTATTGGCCCGAGGCGAGGAGGAGTCGAGATGTGCTGGACCGCATCTCGGCAGCGACCATGTCGAGATTTACCTCAAGATTCCATGGAACGCAAACCCTCAAAGTTCAGGCGAGGCCACCACCCACGCCGCCCATCTCCACAACTACCGGGGTTGAACAACGAGCAGATATCCCTAACGTGGATCTCATCCCTCAAACGGACTTTCCGACACTCCAACTCGACAACGGGAATCTAGACAGCGTGTATATGTCTCCGATTTACGAGACGCACGCCGACTCGTTCAACACCACCGACATGCTGTCGTACTTTATGGGATTTGGTGGGGATGGCAATATCAACAACGTCCAGATGACGGACGAGTATTCGTATCCCAGCGTGGACGAAGTGATGCAGAATTTCTTTGCCAACGGCCTCCAGGGGTTCGAGCAGATTATTCAGTAGACTTGTTCCCAAAAAGTATACCTGCTTACAGATACTGTATCGTCAAGGCAGGTCACAGAGTAGACTCGACTGTTTAGTCTCAACGCGGACAATATCAATCACATGAACGAGGCAGTGTGACCGTGAAGGCCAGGCAGTATTGGACGATCCACAGAAGTCGTCCGTTTCGGCCTTGTGTGGCTTCTGAGAAATATGTTCGGAAGAGATATTATTCAGCGACAACGGACTTTTCATTCACTTTACCAATGACTACGCACCAACGTCATTCATGTCAAGACAGATGCGGAAGACTCCGAGTCTGCCTGGCAGGAAAGAGACGGAATCCCGCTGCTGCCAAGGATCCGCCGAACTGTCGCCGAGCTCTTCCGCTTTGGGTCGAGTATCAAGATTGAGCGACTCACGAGTATGTACGAGGTACTGAGTACTGAGCACTGTATCGGGACATGACCAACTCATCGGTTCATCGACGGCGGTGGCCCGTCTCTCCGTCTCCGTGGCCCTATCCTCCCTCTCTCTTCCTACTCCTCCTCCTACATCCCTCCTCTCTGGGGTAACGGCAAGGCCCGTCACCATGATGGCGATTGACACTGGCGTCTGGATGTTACGGACTGCTCTTCATGCAGACAAAACATCTATATATAAGGCAGAGATGTCTCATCTCTTCCCCAGTATCTCTATATTCAACAACACACCTGTCAATCGGACCACCAAATCGCAAGGACAACCAAAATCAATCACACCCAAACCACCACTCCCCCATTCGCCATGTCTGCTGCCAACACACCCGCCAAATCTGTCACCGTCGCCATCCACGGCAAGGACATCTCGATCCCAACGGGCCTCTTTATCGACAACGAATTCGTCAACGCAATCGCGGGGAAGACGTTCGAGGTCGAAGACCCCAGCACGGGGAAAGTGATCCTCTCGATCCAAGAAGGCCAGGCCGAGGATGTCGACGTGGCCGTCAGAGCGGCCAGAAGGGCATTTGATGGCGGCTGGGCTGACTCGGACCCGGCGTGGCGGGGATCGCTGTTGCAACGGCTGGCGGACCTGATGGAGACGCACCGGGATGAGATCCTCGCCGTCGAAATGGCCGACAGCGGCAACACGCTCAACCAGGTCTCGACCGTCGACCTCCCCGGCTCGATCGGTACGTTGAGGTACTACGCCTCCTGGGCGGACAAGGTCTATGGACGCACCTCGGCCACCGTCCCGGGCACGTTCACGTACACGGTCAGAGAGCCCATCGGGGTATGCGGCCAGATCATCCCATGGAAGTACGTTTTCCTTACCCATTTCTCGTGATCGGCATGAAAGTGCAAGACCTAGCTAACGCATTTCAAACAGCTTCCCCCTGATGATGTTCATCTGGAAAATCGCCCCAGCCTTGGCCACGGGCAACACGGTCGTGATCAAGTCCGCCGAGAGCACTCCCTTGTCGGCCCTCAAGATGTGCGAGCTCATCCGCGAAGCTGGGTTCCCGGCTGGCACAGTCAACCTGGTGTCCGGGTTCGGTCCCACCGTGGGCGCGGCGATTGCGAACCACATGGATGTCGACAAGGTTGCCTTTACGGGGTCGACGGCGACTGGACGCGTGATTATGAAGGCGGCCGCTTCGTCGAATTTGAAAAAGGTCACTTTGGAGCTTGGTGGTAAAAGCCCGGTAAGTTAGACATCCCCCCCTCCATCGTCGGCTGTTGCTGTTCTCTTTTTCTTCCTTTGCCCTCTTGCCCACAGCCAGAAGCTGACAACTAGCCAACCACAGAACATCATCTTCCCCGACGCCGACCTGGAAAAAGCCGTCGACTGGTCCGTCCTGGGCATCGACTTCCACGCCGGCCAGGTGTGCCACGCGGGGACGCGCATCTACGTGCACGAGGACATTTACGACGCCTTCCTCGCCGCCTTTACCGCAAAGTTGGCCGCCGTCAAGGTCGGCAGCAACTTTAGCGACCAGACGGACCAAGGGCCGCAGATCAACAAGTCCCAGTACGAGAAGATCTTGGGGTACATTGACGTGGGCCGACAAGAGGGGGCGACGCTGCATCTGGGGGGACACGCCATCTCCAAAGACGGCGGGTACTTTATCGAGCCGACCATCTTTACAGATGTGACTCCGGAGATGAAGGTAAGCAAGCATACCCTCCACTCCAAAACGAAACCCCAGTTCTTCTGCCCGCAAACCCTGACATTGTACATTTCCAGATCGTGAAAGAAGAAATCTTCGGCCCCGTCGTCGTCATCGCCAAGTTCAGTAGCGAGGAAGAAGTCCTCCGCGCGGCCAACGACACCAGCTACGGCCTCGCCGCGGGCGTCCACACCAACGACTACCAGCGGGCGCTGCGGGTGACGAAGAAGCTCAAAGCGGGAACCACGTGGGTCAACATGTTCAACTTCTTGCACTGGAGCATGCCCTTTGGCGGGTACAAGGAGAGCGGCATCGGGCGCGAGCTCGGCGGCGAGGCCCTCGACAATTACACGCACGTCAAGACCGTGTATTTCAACATGGGGCTGGAGGCGCCCAAGCAGGTGTCGTTCTCGGGGTAGGTTTGGTTAGTGGGTTGTCGTCTGTTTCCACTAAAGAAAGCTTTGGTGGATTCGGGGAGGGAGAGGTTGAAGTTGATGATGTGTATGTGTGGGATGAAACAGATATAGTATGCATGTTTTTTTGTATGTGACGATCAACAACACTCGTTTATAACTAGCACGCGAGATTCGAGGTAGTGACAATGAAAACAAAACACAGGGGGAATGCATCAATATTCTTGACAAGTACATATGTATCACGCTCCCTTTTTTCCTCCCTCCCTCCCTCGTATGTACTCTCCAGACAAGGCTGTCCCGAAAAAGGGGCTAGTGGTCTGGTCTCGTAGGCGAAGTGCGCAACCAAGTCAAACCAACCAGCCAACCGGCCAGCCAGCCACTCACCCCGCCCTATTCACTCGTACTTGTGCTTCGTACTTTGTATTTCAGCGAACAAACATCTCCCTCGGTCGACTGTTCGATCAGCTGGTGGGGTCGATACATACCATGGCAGAAATGGGTGGGCGGTGCGGGGGGATGAGAGAAAGAGAGGAGCGGTCCGCCACGACGCCGATCCAAAAACCGACGTTGCTGCAATGTGGGCCTCAATCGTCGAGTGGATGGAGGAACGGAACGCCTCCTCCTTAGTCTCCTGTATCTAGCATATAAGCGCGCATGAAATGAAGTCGATTGAGGCGCGAGCTGCATCTCTTTGCGGGGTTACAGAGGAACCATCACATCCAGATCCCCAGCCGGCCTCTACAGATGGTTGCCTCCACCTTCCATGAGCAGTCTAAAAACAAGTCAATCCAAAACATAACGCAACAATAGCCTGAGCTTTTGGTAGGAATATTATTAGGTATTGGAAGATACAGCCACGGAGGCAAGAAAGATATGGTTGTCGTGTGGGCTGATCCGTCAACCTCCCTTGACTAGTCGTTCCGATACTTCAGCCTCGGGCATCACTTCTTCAAAGGTGCAGTTGGAAAAAGCAGTTAAGCCTTCCCATCTCTTCCCAATAAAAGCATGCCTTGCTAAAAGCATATCGTCCTTCCTTCATCTTGTGCTTTTGTCGATCGATGTTTGCGCTCATTTTCTTCACTTAGGCAGCAGCGGCAGCAACCTCCTCAGTCGTGCCGTTGGTGCCGTTCTCGGTGGCTTCGCCTGCTTCACCTGCTTCACCAGCACCATCTTCTTTTCCTGGGCTGTCGATGGCGACCTTGACCGCGATTTCGCGACCCTCGATCTGCTTGCCGTTCATCTCCTCCACAGCCTTCTTCTGCATCTCCTCCGAGGCCAGGGTCACGAAGCCAAAGCCACGGCCTTTGCGAGGCTCGTTGCGAGCCGCAAGTTTCTTGACCATGAATCGTGGGATGGGACGCAGAGCGATCTTAGCAGAGCTGGGTTGGTAAGCGGCAAAGAGTTCCTTGAGCTAAATGCAAGGGTTAGCATACTCTATCACTGCAACGGGTATGGGGCGTTCTTACCTTTTCCTCGCTCAGGTCGTAGGGCAAGTTGGCAACCATGACCTTGGTGGTTGATGGAATACCATCTTCCGGGGGACCACGTTGCTTGGGGGGACGGGGAGTGCGAGACTTGGCATCGGCTGCAGGAGCGGCTTTGTTGGCATCGGCAGTGACATCCGTCAAGGGAAGAGGGTTCTCTGCGAGGTCAGTGGCAGGTGCACCACCCTCCTACAAAGAAATCAGTCAGCAGGTTCCGGAAGGGTCAGAATGATTTGTCGCATCACGTACAGCAGCGCCTCTGGCGCCTCCACGGCCACGACCACCCCGGCCACGTCCGCGTCCACCACGACCGCGACCAGCGGATCTCTTTCGGTCTGCGTCTGCCCCTTCGGCGGTACCTTCAGGGGTTGTGGCCTGATCAGGCTTGCGAGCAACCTGGACAGAGACTTTGCGCTCGAGAATCTCCTTGCCGGAGAGGTTCTCGATCGCCTTTTCCGCCTCTTCTGCAGTCTTGAGGTCGACAAAGGCATAGCCTACTGGGCGGTTGGTGCGAGGGTTGACGGGGATTGAAGTTGACTCGCTGTTGGAATAAAGTCAGACACATGGATGCGACAGTCGCCCAGAAGTTGCCACCTACACATCGTAGCCAGAAAAGAACTGCTTGAGTTCCGCCTCAGTGGTCGCATATGCGAGATTCCCAATGTACAAACGCCGGCCCTCGGCAGCGGAGGCCAGAACGCTCTCGTTGTTGGCAGCAGAGGTATCCTCGATGCTGGCGTTCTTGAGGTTTTCGGCTAAGGCGTCTACGGCAGAAGACATTGTGGCTGAGGCACAAGTTGGTGTTGTTGACAAGTGGTTTGAAATGGGGACTTGTGGAAGGGAACTTGACTCAGGTAGCTAAGGGCTGCCTTGGGAATCAATTGACGGAGGGGTGCAAAGGGTAGCTAAGTGCCCTAGATTCAAAGGATTGTTTGAAGATGAGCTCGCGTTGTGATCAGTCGAAGGATGAACTGGTTGATGAGTAGACAAAAAGGAAAGGGAAATTCCAAAGGGGCCTTTTTGACTGCTGGCCGAGAGAAAATTAATTGTTTAGCGGCAACAGCGGTGGGATCCATTTAGTGACGCGGAAGTGACGAATCGGCGGGCCTAAACGGACGGACGCGAACCAAAAGAGGGTAAGCGCCAATGACATCCGGTGACACTAACGGACATTAACAAAGGCCCCAGCCGTGGGTGAGTGGGTGACCAGTGCAGGACGCAAAGCCCCATGTCAGATGCCAGGCCGTGGCGAAAAAAAAAGCTGCTGGATGCATGCATGGCAACCAAGGGTGCATGGTCACCATCAGCTCTTCTTCGTCTCGCGTGCCCAAAGTGATGTGCTCCCACGCCTCCTTGCCCCAGTTGCAGCTAGCCCGATGAGCCCTGCATTTTGGTCCTTTCTCCACCAGTCAATTATTGCTTGCATGGACACCTACGAGAGACTTGTACCTGACAGATGCCTCCTTTGACCCGCACCATACCGACCTACTGGGATCTCCTAACCAGATGCCTCGCAGACAGCGGCACGCCAATCAATGGACGGACATTGGGAACCGTTGTTAAAGAGGTGGCCGAACTTTTACAAACGGGGTAGTGTGATGGAGACCAGGTGAACATCCGAAGAGGAGCAAACAAATACCAGCAGCCTCGTCTTCCAGAAATGCCAACCTCGTTCAAGAGCCATGCTAGTAGCATCCCCTATAGCTGCATGAACCCGATGCTACAAGACAACCGAATGGATTGGCTGTTGGCAGTTACAAAGTCAGGCGCCACCCATCCACAGTGCGTCTACATAGCTTCTTGAGACTGTATATCAACCAGGGCAATATGTGTTGGCAGCAGGGAGAAGATCTAACAAAGGCGTCTGGCCTTGATTTGATCGCAAATCTGTCACGCATCGGTATTGGTAGACCTAGGCATCGGTTGCGAATCCCACGCCATGCTCGGGGCATGGAGCTGGAATAGTTCCCACTTGAAGTGATCATACGAAATGAGGCCGAATACGCTGCCCTTTTTCTTGAGGGAACCCTGTCAATCTTGGTGGGAGGCCAGGGAAGGCAGAAGTTGCAGTGCCCAGTCTCAACCTCATATGCTGAGAAGTGATATACAGGCTGCAGGAGGCTAAAGAATAATAATGAAGCGCCCTGATGAGCCTCCAGCCTTACCAGTAGTTAGATAGAGTCAGTGAGTGATAGGCACTCAGGCTTCAACGCCACAATGGCGCTGCGCCCCCAACTTTTCGCGTCTCAGGCTCTCAGCTGCTCCTTGCCCCGTGTTTTCCCACAGCCGCTCGCTGCCTCTTCACCTCAACATCTGTACCACCATTGACACTCCTTTTATAGTTTTGTATAGTATGCCCTTGCCATTTGTATATCTGTCGATTGCTGGTCCTTCCTTCCCTATTGAGCAACGTCCCTGTCCTTCGTCCTACGAATAACGGTCCTTTCCGCCTGACGATTTATCTTTGCCTCGACTGCAGAGTAACACAAACAAGGCAACCTGACTTCAGCACTGCGCCAGCCTCACCGTTGATTCTTCCCGAGTTGCAGACTCTCAGAGGGTCTTTCGATATTCTCTCCTCGAAACATCTCTTGCAGAAACCTTCAGGTCTCGGCACCTCCAGCAAAGATGAGGCTCCAATTAGACCAATTTGGGCAGATCAAAAACTACATTCACATGGGCCAGGGCGCCATTCTCTTCCTTGCCTGGGTCCTGACAATCGCCTTACTGACAAGACCTGGCACGACGGATGGCCGGGTCGGCTGGTACTTTGGCTTGGTGAGTCTGCCGTCCACTTCCCACTCCGCATGAGAAAGGACCAGACTGATACAGAGCTACGTACAGTGTTGGCTCACGATTCCCATCCTCATTTACCTCGTAATGGTCCCTATGTGGTCCCGCGCCCGCCGCTTCTCCAACGTCTATGCCTTCGCCGCTCTAGACTCTGTTGCTGTCATCTTCTGGCTCAGTGCCTGGATTGCCGTCGCCAGCTATGTCTCTTCGGGAAAGGGCAAAGGAAAGAGTACAGACAAGGATGCTAAAGGGTGCGATAACTTCAAGTATGGCAGCCCCGGGCGGTGCAAGCTGTCCGAAGCAATCATCGTATTCGGCGTGTTTGAAATGTTGCTGTTCGTCGCCACGGCCGTTATCTCCTTCCGAGCTGTTATGACGTTCAAGAGGACGGGGATGATGCCTCAGAACCTCCCCGCTGCTGGAGGCAAGAACGACTTCTCTGCACAAACGCAGGATGATTTCTCAAGTAATATGCGGACCGATGACGAAGATTTCGACGAGCATCCTGGTATGGGCGGCAGGCAGGAGTATGAATACCAGAAACCTTCGCTCGACGATTCATATGCACCGATTCGCCAGAGCGATCACGACAACGACCTCGCACAGATGCCTGCTGCGCAGCCCACCAGCCCATTGAACCATTCTGGGTTGGGCATCCATGACTACAACACGAGTTATAACCCGGGGGCATACAATGGTCAGAGCCAACCTATGATGGCTGGGCGGTAACGAATCTCATTGCGTATCTTGCTTCTCCTTTTTCTGTGCTCAAGACAAGAATGAACCTTGGGACGGTGGTGAAGCAGAGATTTGGTGGTCCTTGTAATTTATGACGGATGAAGCGTTCGAGCGTTTCCCCCTCCCTCTTGTTTCGGTTTATCAGGAGGGTTTAGAATGTCTGGGATCATTTGGAATCCTGAATAGACTAGATTTGGAAGAAAACAGTTATGATGCCACTGACTGGGTTGGAGCGAAGAGGCAAAAACCCCCGTTTCAGATACTTACAATGACGCAAGCTCCTATACTCGATACCCCTTCCTACTCGTACACTGTTCCAGAGTCTAGGTTTATACCGCGTGGCATCACCCTGCTCGTAATTGGGTTCTGTAGGGAAGGGTTTCGAATATAGGAACGGAGGTACAAGCACCGCAAACAATGCACCGACACCACCGAGTATTTGTGATGACGAAACCTTGCAGCAAGACACTACCGGCCACTACTGCGAGGTACTCGGGAGTATCTAGTAAATGTAACTTACTACCTAGTGTCATTTGGAACATGCAAGGTACCATCGTCACCATTATCAATCCTACGAGCCCGGGCACGGGTATGTACCAGTACCAGTACCAGTACCGGGGTCACGGGTATAGACCACTGGGCGACCGGAACTCCGTATGAGGGAGGGCAGATGCGCTCTCGCTCCGAGGTACTGTATACTACCATGCATCCATGATAGAGTATTCGTACCTTACAGTTTGGGATCGAGTCGTGTAGCACAACAGCAAGTAACAATAAAAAACACACGACTGCAAAAGACAGCACCGTTCAACTATGTTGGAATCCTCTGTTATTTCTTCTCGGGCTATCTGATCTGATGTTCGCTGCTCGTCTCGTTGCTCAAAATGTCGATTCTGTCCTGTGAAAAACAAAAGAGTTCAATCACGATTCGTTTCGTTTTTTTGTCCATTGCAAAAATCTGCAGTCTCGCGATTCGTCAAACTTCAGAAACCCAAGCTCTTCAGTCACGTACCATCCCCACCCAAGCCAAGTGTCGACACATGGTATGCTCCAAAAATCAATTCTGGCCGTGAACAAGAGGCCTGCCGTGTTGTATCGTCACTCTGGCCCTGACAGACCGGGAAGAAATGAAATGTCGGGGTAATCCAGGCCAAATCCCGGTCCCAATTGCCACAGTTGGCAGAGCCCAGAGTCGCTCAAACCACTTCACCCCCTTCCGGGTTTGCGCCATGACGCCTGTACAAGCCCTCGCGGGCATATCCATACCATCCGTTTCGTCGCCCAGTTGACAAAGAACAAATCACAAAAAAACTCGTATTGCCAACCCGTAGATTCCAATAGCTTCTTTTGTCTCAGGCCTGTCTAATCCGGGGAAGGTATCGTATCGAGCTCGCACAAACTGGCGTTCCGTATGGTGCGCACCAATGCCGCGTCGAGATCGCACGCTGTAAGCTCCATAGAATCCAGGAAGTCATGTGCAGGAAAGAAAAAGGATACAATGTCATCAAATCCGGTCATTAGTGTGATGTCGAGAACCTTGATGGTAACCGGCCATCATTCATAGCGACAAGCTCTCCCGAGAACCTTTTCAACCTCGGTGTTTCCGGTCTCATAATAGGATCAAGTAGTTGCTCGGTGCGATACCCGTTTCGCCATTTTCTTTCTTGGCCTGCCACCACCGGCCGCTTACGTCAGACACCTCCAGAATCTCGTGTTTGCTGAAGCTGATCTCATTCGCATCGTCCGGATTGGCTTCATAACTGTAGATGGCTTTGGCGCGGTATGGATATTCGGTGGGTGGGCTGACTTCTTGAACTGGGGCGGGGGCGCCGCTGGTGTTGACTGCCGGTTGTGCAGAGGCCCGGGCCGCTGCTCCTGCAGGTCCGCCTGGGTAGCCTGAAACAGGAGAAGATGTCTCAAAACCGCTCAGTTGCGCCGATGTGTACATTTGAGGAGGTTGAGCAGAAGCAGTTGTCTGTGGGCGATCATAAACGTTGGTCATACTTTGTGGGGGTCCTCGGAAGGACTGGCGTTCTTTGTGCAGGGCAAATTGGTCAATGAACTCGCGATGGGCCGCCGCAGGGGTTGAACCGAAGTAGAAAATCCAAATGATCTGGACAGAGTCAGTCGACCACGAAAGGCAAAGACACGGGTTTTGGGAAGCCATTGACTCACCGCAACCATAGAGAGCAAAATGTGGCCAGCAGCAGCGGCTTCCATGGCGCCCTGGGGCTGGTAGACGAGAGAATTGACTGCCGATGTTGTCATGACAAGTCCAGCCGCGAGGTATCCAACAATCTACACGTTGTTAGGAAATTTGGTTCAACGGTTATCGGGGATCCATACCGCGAGGCTGTATGTGCTTGTGGAGTTTGTAGCAAAGACTATCGTAATGCCGACAATACAGCACAGCATGTATGCAACCGTCCACCAGGCATATTTGGGGAAAGGGTCTTGGATATTGGCGATGATGGATCCGATAAACGCAATCAACCAAGCAAGCTGGCAATGGAATCAGCATCATGGTCTCGCACAAGTCGCGCGAGTCTCTTACCAAACCAATGGAGATCGTAGCCAACGCAAAAGGATCGCCAACAATGTAGCCAAAATCAATTCGACCTCCTCTTCGAGCTTCCAACATGTTGTTTTTCTTTAATGAAGGAGAGTGTAGTGATCCGTATGGGGGCATGAAGGATCAAAAGACAGCAGTGATTTTTCAGATCAGGGAGGCCAGCGCAATCGAGTCGGTGCGGATGAAATCGTCAAGAGTGGCTAACAGAGGGGTGGACTCGTGAGTCAGGTCCAAAGTCCAGGCGCAGGCTGGGTTGAGGATTGATCCGAGCACAGGACGGCCGTGCACTTGAGATCGCGTGCGTGCGTGCGGGCGTGTGCGGTATGTTGTATGTCTCGTAAGACTCGTTGGTCTGCGATGGCGTGTGTCGGATAAAGGAACAATCGAGGCTATGAGAGGCAAACAACCACAGTCGCCGATCAATCGACAGAAGGTGGGAGGCGAATATCTTGTGACTGGTGGCTAAGAAAAGAATACAGGACGAGTGTGGTTGGCAGGGTCACAATGGCGTGTAGTCGGCAAAAGGGGAGGGTAACGATCGACAAAGAATGAAATAACGTGAGAAAGGAACAAAAGGTGTTTTGGAAGAAGTTTCGAGGATGATTGAAAGTTGTTGCCTGAACGAGTGTGGGTGGTAAAAGGATGGTCGAGGACGGAGAGGTGGATGTTTTGGTGGTTGAAGAAATGGTCGTCGTGGTTTGAGGAGTGAGGAATCGAGTTCAGGAGGGAGAAGCAGAGAGGCTCCCTGGCTGCCCAGGGTGTCCCAAAGCCAGCCAATTCCCCCCTCCCCTTCTCTCTTGGGGGCTCCCTTCTCGCGGCAAGCCGCCTATACCGTATGGGGACCGTTAGACCCGGCAAGAGCCAGGCACGCCCAATTCCCCCCAGTTAAGAGTCAGGAGCCCTGCAACTGCAACACGTTTCACTTGCGGTTAAAACCCACTCAGCCCCGAATCTCCACCCCTGCGTCGATCGAACCACATTCAGTCTCTGGTCCTTCTGCCTCGAGATTTACAATTTTTCTCCCTGCGAACCCGGGTCCTGCGCCAGATTCCTCCTTATCATCCCTGCTCCTGTGGCGTCTACGACTGGCATCCCCTCAAGACTTGTAAGAGCCTCTATTTGTTCAATCGCACCGAGTGCTAATAGACGCCACTCTTCTAGCCTCAACCTCTTCGTCGGACGCTGGATCAATGGCACGTCGCAGCCGGTTGGCCACTTTGCATTGTCCGGGTCGGCACACGCCACGCGCTCCATGCAAGCGCTTTGTGGCACGCAACCTCTCAATTTCTCAATTTGGCCCAAGATTGAATAATCTCTAACTAGTAGGTATTATCGACCAATTTGCATTTTTCCCGTGGCTCGCTTGGTTGAAGTACGCTATTGCTGATGGACTTTTGCACCAGTTCTGACACCATGTCCCACGCATTCCCTTTTCGCCCTGGGAAACCCCATGGCTTACCAGGCCCTGAGACTCGGGTGTCGTCTATTCCGCTCACATTTTTGTCGAAATGAAACTGGCACGACTGGGTCCTCGGTGCCTGACCCGCTAGACTGGGCGATTGGACGAGACGTGCCTCTACCCCTGACAGCCGCTGATCCATCGTTCTCGACCAATCCTAGTGGCTCCACATGGATGGTCCTGGCACCGCCACATGCCCGCTCCCGCAATTCCCATGGTGCAATTAGTCTCGGGGCGACAGAGGCTTGTAAGCGATCCTTCAGCCACACTTGAAGTGCGATCGCTCATATGAGGATGTTGGTTGCACACTCGCTTTCTACCTTTCAGAAAGACGGCAAAACAATCCGACTCGAGACAAAGCACGATGAAAAGACTCGCGATAAGCATGGACTTTGCTCATGCGGACTTCCTCGTGTCGATCTTTGTGGGGAGGAGGAGGAGTCGAGCACCAAACCTGTCTCGCATGGACCCGTGCTGGCTGTTATGCCACCACCGAGGTATTGAAAATCCAGGAGCGAACCCTGGCCCTGCCACATCGCCTTACGTGTAAATCCTGTTCTGGTTATCATGACGACAACTTATCATGTTGTCGTCAGATGACTGCATGATGTTCCGTTGTCACCTGGACATGATTCGGGTTCAAGAAGTCCGTTTCAGGCACCAGTGATCACACAAGGCTCTGGATGGTGTTGCATGTTCCATCTTTTGTCATTCTTCGCACACTCACAGATATCCTTGCTGCTCCTTTGCGCGTCGCTCCTCGCGGATGACATTTCTCTCCACCTCGGCGGTCCTTCTCTCCCAATCTTCCCACATGTCTCCGATCCCGACCACTCCAATCTTAACCCACCATTCCAGGCATCTAGCACTGCGCTCTCGCAGCTCTCGCACTTCCTCTTGGATATGGAGCTCCTCTTGTCGGAGCTTTTCAAGTCGAGGTGCCAGTGACAGCAGCTTCGAACTTTGATCTGCAGGTGGAATCTGCAATGTTTGTAGTGATGAGAGTCTGGACGCGGTCTCGGGATATAGGGTGGCATGGGCGAGAACGATCGAGGCAAGCGTGCTAATGTCCTCAGACTTGGGCGTTGTAGTGGCCATTACGGCAAATAAATCAGGATGCTGGGATGCTTGGGGACTTGGTCAGCGCATGCCCCGTCCTTGCACTCTGTCACCTACATAGTCGCTCAATATCCCGTACCACTGACCCAGGTGTGCCCGGGAGCTTCTTCAACTTAGTCAGTGCGGCGTCGAGAGCATCCAGCTGGGCCCGTAATGTCTCGCTACCGGAGGATGGTGCTGTGGTTGGAGGCGGAATCCCATCATCATTGCTGGCACCGCTTAGGAGGAACTCCAGTCGATGGAGTCGAGTTTCCAGCAGAGCGAGCGTGCCCCGAGCCGCGGCTTCTGGATCTTGTACATTGCTCGCCATTTTCGGAGAGTCGCAGATCTTGAGATGGTTTGATCCGTTGTTGGGGTGGAAGACGACCGTGACTACGGCGCAGAACAAACTAACAAAATAGACAAACATGACCAATAGCACAAACAATCCAAGGGCAAACCCAGCAAACAGGCTTGGCATATACACTGCGCGCACGTGCCGTCCACCAGCTCTTAGGCTCCCACGGCTCCCAACCTCACCTACAGCATCCATCAATCTCGTACCTATTGTTACTCATCGCATCCCTGCTCCCTGTCATGACAAGGCCATTCTTACTATAATGGGCATCATGTGAACTCCACGATCAGTCGATTCGTACATCCTGGCGCATGACTGTCTCACAGCAGAATTCAATCTATCTGGAACAGCGTCTTGGGTGGCTGGGAGTTCGGACCACCCAGCAAGCTTCTCGCGCCATCCTTCTCCACAGCTTGTCCCTTTCCACCTCCGTGATTTGTTCGTCAGCGCCGTCCGCCTCCCGCTTAAGCTAGCCTCGCATCGCCCATTCCATGCAGGTGGCAGGAAAGCTGCTTGCCAGGTTCTTTCGCCAATAGTGGCCAGCTATTCCTTGCGACGGGCTTACTCGTGTCGACGGCCTGACCTACCTACTACCTACAGCCAGTAAGGATGCTCCTAGAGCCCAGAGGAACTTCGGCACAAAAGCAAGAATGTATGAGGTGCTTGAGCGTGAATAGCTGAGACGATCGTGGCGTCAACCATCGAACTGCAGATAATGGCTTGAACCCACAGGTTCAATGCATAGCACCACGAGTTCCCGAGACAAGCTCGTTGTTCAATGGCGCCAGAACTTTATCGTCGGTCGCTGGAGGTCGTCCCAGTGATAATGGGATTTTCTAAGCGAATCCTCTTCAAGGCTAGCCAATCATCAACCTGGGACACTCAAGGGTAGCCTCCATGCTCCCCAGCCGTCTACATTTCACGTTCGACTCCATGCAGCTGTCCATCTTTGAACCAGTTTTGACTTCCGTCCGTACGCGACCGGGCCAGCCGGTTTTTGCATCTCAAGTTCTTGGTAGCTCTTCTGGAGTCTTTGATTCTCCCACCACATCGACTCCCCAGCAATTCGGTCCCTTCACACCTTGTGTTCGTTTCTAACCCAGAAGGCAAGCAGCTTTTCAATGTGATGACTTCTGTCCATCGAGTGCAAGGCTGTGCCACATGTACGATGGCACCACCGGATCCAAACCGTTGGACGTTCACAGACTACGTGTGCTTCCTCCGTAGCCATGGATTCCATAATCTTGCTGGGCTTGACGAGTTTCTCCAATGGGGTGTCCAGGCTAGCCGAATGCCAACGATGCAGCGGCCTCAGCGAGCAACAGCTATCCTCCTGGAATTTGGCACGTCGAGTTTCAGAACGTCGGATCTTACAGACACATCGAAACTCAGAGTGCTGTTGAAGGAATGGACGAGAAGGACGCCTGAAACGCCGCCTACATCGCCAGCTTCTGGTTCTCAAGGACGAGCTGCTCAGGGGCGGATCATTATGGTCAACAATATCAACCCGGAGATGGTAGACACCCTTGGCAGCCTCCTCAACATTGAGCCTGCATTTTTCGCATCACATATTAGTGACTCGGCGACTGGCGGCGCGGGAGATGGGCACACAGGATCTCCGTTGGCATCACAAAACCTGAAGCACCAGAAGAACTTTTTTACAATCGAATACCCATGTACGTTCATGACGACGAATTGTGGAAAGGATGTCGACATCGAGAAGCTCTACTGCAAGGGAAACTATCACAGACGAGTGGAAGTTTGTTCGAAACATGGAAGGCAGAAGGTCGCTGTGGCCCGTCGAAAGATCTCGTTTTACATGAAGAAGACTCTGGATCCCTGGATATGTAAGTCTTCCTCCTGTTTCTCGTCGAAATCTGTGCTAAGTATATCTCAGGCGTTGTGCTTGTTGACCCGCCAATCTCCTTCTTCACCCTCGGAGCAGAACCATACGGCGCCTACTCTCCCAGTCAACGTCTTGAGGTTGCTGGTTACCAGGGGGGCTATCTTGACTTCCGTGAACAAAGGCCACCGTTGAACAAGAACGATCACGACTATCGCGCATGCGGTGCTAGGCCAATGTGCCCCAACCCTTTTGACGATCTGTGCCGGCATTGGCAGATTATGGCCCGGGATGGGCTCCTCAATCCAGCCGAGCAAAACCTGATCCATATTATGCGGCCAGCGTTCCAAATTGCAGCTAGCGAATACACCAACTTTTTCGACTACATTCGGTCAACACTGGAGAGTCACCTAATTTCCACAGCCCTCACAGTCGATCCCACAAAGACCAAGAGAATCCTCGACAAGGTGATTTCGCTCGACTCGATGCTCAGCAGGTACAAACCTATCATGACGCGGATAAAGACCTACCTCTCCTCAGACTCGGAGTTGAATGAAGACTACCGCAGTCTCTTGATTGATCTGCACCACTATAGAGCCGAGTGCGACTCGAAAATGCAGCACATCCTTGCCGTCTCCCAATGCCAAGATACATCCTCGCTCCGCTCAATAGAGATTGAATCTCAGCGGCAAGCAGACTACTCACGTTACCTGACTATCATCGCCCTCATCTACGCTCCCTTTGCACTGTCATGTGCAATATTTAGCCTACCACACGACTTTGCCCCTGGAGCACATTATTTTTACGGGCTTTTGCCTGCGACCGCCGGGGTGGCAATTGTGTTTTTGTTGCTAGTGTTGCCAGAGGCGAGGGACCCGTTGCCGAGCATCATGGCGGTACTTTGCGGGAAGCTCACCAAGAAGAAGCTGCTTGCGAAACCGAGCAGTCGCGGTTCGAGGTCTGGCGGGATGAGTGAAAAGTTGGATATGGATGAGGTGTAGCAATGGCCACAATGCGATCAAGGTCCGTGATGGACATTTGACCTGGGAGTCATGATACCGAGAAGGTCAAAGACTTTCATATTCGGTTGTTCCTAGCAATGCTTCAAAGGGAACAGACGCTAAGGCCACGACACCTGATTATTGCAACATTTGGCTTGATAACAAAGACGCCATTGGCAATCTCACATTGCGGTCCAAGAACCATCGGAGTAAGACCGAACAGAATGGCAGGTGTCCATGAGAAATGACGCCTTGGGAACATGTCTCCAGCATCTAACGGAACACGGCGCGCATCCAGCGTCTGCCAACAGAGGAAGTCGTCTACGGGGTATGCACTCATACCGCCGCCGCGGTAGGCGAACAGGAGTTTGTGTGAAGGTTTGAGCTTTCTTCCGCACAATATTGATTGGATACCCATAACTAGACCAGGACAGGACTGGGCTGGGTCGGACAGGCTGGGGTGGACTGGGATAGGACGGGAAAGGACAGGCGGAAACAAGGGAAAGGAACGGGTCAGAATGAAAAACGGCCCAGTTCACAAAGGGACAGAGATACCAACCACATATTACACACCCAGGGTGGTCTACACATGTCGTCCTATCACGCCTATCACGCTTTTTCGGGTGGGATTTGATGAATCACGACTTTTGTGACTTTTCTTCCATGAATGCCAGATATACCTCGTAATGCAACATGTAATGGAATTGAAGATGAAGAACGAGAAGTGAGGTAACCACTTGGTTAATGTTCAGTTGGTTACATGTACCTGTTTCAAAACCTAGTCGGACTATACCGAGTATATACATACATACATACATATACACGAATATCTCGTACCCATATAGGTATTTTCAGTATTGATGTTGAAATGATTTGTTTGTACTATACAGAGAATCTACCGCGTCGTATCTGCCTGCATACCTCGCCCGGTCGAAACGAGAATAGGCCCGGGCTGGCAGACAAATGCTCCACGGCACTCCAGGGCACGCCACGCGACGGCATAATGTACATGTACCTGATCCATCACAAAGTCTGGGCAAGGACCTCGACTGTTGGCCCTGCGTCATAATCACCCATTGACCAGTGAAAGAAAACCAAAGAGACGCGACCATCAAGACGGCTCGTGCAGGGCAATATACCGACCTGCCCGGTCGACATCGCTCAACGTCGACCTCGATCTGACCAGGGGTTGGTTGCTCAGCAACATAAGAATGTCGCTTTTCGAACCCGCCCTTTGACTGCTCATGCCCTCATTGTCTGGAGTTTGGATCTGGTCCGCTCAATGGCTCTCAACTTCGTCTCCAGACTTACACGTCCACTTTGACAGGAATCTTGACTTGACCCTTCTTCCTCTCCTGGCTAGGCACACCATATCTTTGGCCCACTGCGCCCTTGCCAGAGCCCCGGCCATCAAGACCGGTTCCTTGTCGGGTACTCTGCACTTCTGTAACCACAAACTGCCACCTGCCCACGTCAATCCTCGTCTTCTTGCTTTCCTCCTCCTGCTGCAACTTTTCCTTCAAAGCTCGCCGTCTCTCTTCATCCTTCTGCAGGCGCTCACGATGGCGTGCGCGTCTCTCGAGTGGCGTGAGCGAGCGGTTCAGTTTGTCCTTCTCAAATGCGATCAAATGCGGATGTGGAATGCGTGAGTCTGCTGGTTTCAGCACTGTGCGTGTATGACCCGGTCGGCCAATAATCTCGGGTTTGGAATCCCGCCACGCCTCGTGGACTCCTTCATTGATGGCGTTCTCTCGCTCGTCGGTAAGTCGTGGTGCACCACTAAACACTCTTCCAGCATCGATACGGTTGAAGGCACGCGACTCCGAGGTTGGGTAGAAGATTTGTGGAAAGGTGAGGGGATGCTGTTCTAGATCATTGATGGACTCATGAGGCTCATGGGGCAAGCGCGTCGTTGGGTTGAGAGTCGTGAGCGGCACCATACCGTGGACGGCACGAGCGTACGGGATAGCGAGAGGTTTGCCCTGCAAGGCAACAGAAACACAAGGTCAGCTTTGATCTTCAAAAAGTAAAACGAAGGAGTACTGTGCTGTGTTTGTGCCTTTTGCAAATTCAGAGAGTTGTAATTTGGTTTGTAAATCACCATGTTTGGAAGTCTGGAAGACTAATCGATCTGGTTGTTCATCACAGGAAGGCCGTCGAGAAGCGCAAGGGAAGGCGAAAGATGTGCTTACCTCTGTCCTCATCCTCCTTTCGACCTCTACCAGCCTCACCACTGCGGCTACCCTTCTCATATCCACGCCCATCTCCATCGAAACCTGCCTCACCGACTTGCCCTGTTGTTGCACTCGTTCCCAAATCTCGTTTCTGAGATCCTCGGACAGAATACTCTGGCTCACGAAATTCTTGTTCCAGGGAAACGGCCGTAGATCATCCAGAGACTCTTTAGGGAGCTTGTATTCCTGCTCATGTTCCGTAACAGCTGCTTCGAGAGCTTCTTCATCAGCCGTCACGGCATCGTCCGGGCTCTTTTCCTTGACGGATTCTCCTGACGGCTCTTGGCCTCTGCCGCGAATGAGGTTTCCTCTCTTGTCGTATGCAGACAGGTAATTCGTCGACCCCGGAAGGGGGTGGCGAAAGTTCTCTCCGGGTCCGCGGAGCCATAGCCAGAATTGCTCTCGGAGTTTAGTCTGGGACTGCGAAGGGGTTGAGGAAAAGGCTCGCTGGAAGCATGATTTGCAATGAGTGTGGATTGTGGGTGTCGTCGGAAAGGTTCGAGAGACTGTGGTGGGAGATATTCGGGGAGGCATATTGCCGCGAATTGTGCGGGCAGGATGGACTAAGGATTTGGTAAGGAGACCATCGGAGACGCGCAAAGCGTCGCTGTAGACACAACGCGATATATCCACAAGGAAAGAAAAGACGTGGAATTGTTGTTACTCAAGTACTAGCATCGCTGTCGAAAATCTACGGAGCATGAAAATTACGGGAACCAGCTTTGGATTGGCATCGGCCAACTTGCCCCTTTAGTTGTTAGTCTCCATTATCTTCTAACCGTAAACGTCTTAGAGGATCTAGGGTGCTCTAGCCGGACATCCCATATCTACGAGTATGCAAAGCACGAGTTTATTCTATAATTCATGTCAAATGTTAGGTGATGTTACATATTCTCCAACTTCTATGCTCTAATTTTGATCTCGTGCCTCATACAAAAACCTTGATGTTCGCACGCTTGCTTCATCAAACTCAAACCAGGATGCCACCTCAAAGGGTATATGTTCCATAGACACAAAAACAAGGTTCGCTTGAACGCTGCAACAGAATGACCAAAGAGACGTAATATAGGAAAGTGTATAGAAATAGTGGTGGCCCATGAGGAATGATCACGATAGCAAGACGTCTGTGCCTTGGAAGGTTGTGGTGCCAGACCACATACCTCGGACTAAAGGCAGGTTCACTTTGTTGATCGTGGTGTTCTTTGAGGCTGCAAGGGTCTCTGCCTCTTTCTTGATCGTGGGGTCGTTGTTGATGGTCATATGACCATGGAAGAGAATCATATTGCCGCCCTTGATGATGTCCATTCCACCAGGTCCAGTGAGGTCTGCATCGCTAGTAACAAGCAATGGACGGCTTGATTTCGTGTAAGGGCCCCAAATGTTCGTCGCAGTAGCATAAGAGACGTCGTATTTAGGTGTCGTAAAGCAGTTGCTGCTGAAGAACAAGAAGTAGATTCCTTCGTCGGAACGATGGAGCGCCGGCGCCTCGATCAACGGACCATCAAGCTCGTCGCGATCCAGAATCTGAACAGCATCTCCAATGAGAGTGATGCCGTCAGGGCCGACTTCCTGGAGCATGAGGGGTGTTGGGACGATGGGTTCAACGCTGTTGCCACAGGAGCCGCCGTGGCCAATAGAGTTTCCATCGACTTTGTAGACGACATATCGCTTGTTGGTAGACTCATCGAGGAAGCCGTCGGGATCGATAGCCCCACCGAGCGCGTTGACGTCCGGGCAAGCCAAAGGAGTGTCAAGTGGGACATAGGGTCCCAGAACATTCTGAGAAGTTGCTGCACCCACACAGTGATGTGCAGGGGACCAGACGACATTATCCGAATAGTAGAGGACAAATGATCCATCATCCTGCCTCGAATATTAGATTTTGAACCCTATATGATGAGTTTCGCGTTGCTCACCAATTGAACCACATCTGGGGCCCAAACACCAGCGCCTGTCTCCCATGGCCCTAGAGTAGGGAGAGCGTCATGATGATCGAGCAGGGTCCACGTCTGATTGTCCGTTGACGTGGCCACCTGGACGTGGACCAGATCCGGCGGCGCGGCCCGGTTATTGGTCGCAAAAGCATACGACACGCCGTCAACATAAATGATAGCAGGGTCAGGGAAATTGGATGAAATGTGAGGTCCCAGGATAGAGGCGAAGGGACTCGAAGAATCAGGGTCCGACAATAGAGTTGACGAAGATGACTGTGGCAATGGGTCCGGTGATCGGATAACCGAATTACGAGGGGTCAGCGGCCCCAGGCTGGACACGGCCGACGAGGCCAAGAGATACGTGGGAATGGCGACCATGATTCCGAGTAAAATCTGAGTTTGCAACGAAAGTGAAAAACAATGATTGTCTTTGCCCCGGCGACGAGGACGTAAAGGAGGAGACTGCGGAAAAAATGGCGGACCCGACTGTTTCTCTAAATGAGTGTGAGAAGAGGATTCACCTCCCTGCTGGGGGCGCCTGGAATGAGCGGCGAGCAAAGGCTCTTTTTCTGGAATGCGGTAATGAGTCGCCATGGTGTAGGAGGGCGATGGGCAGTGATAATATAGGCCAGAGGCAGGGGTTGGAACTGAGGGAGTTTGCGTCGCGCGAACTGCGAGGCTCTGTTCCTCGACTGGCTGGCGCACGAGGTTAAGGGGGTGGATCGTTTGAACCTGCAGAGGGGCACGACGGTTGTTTGGCGCATGGGAATGGCGCTAGACGAGCAGTGAGCCGAGCTGCAGGCGATACTTTGGGCGGATTTGGTTACAGTGGTATCGTCGGAAAGTGTCTGCGTCTTCCAACGTGCCTGTACACCGTTCCAGTCAGCGTTCAGAAAGGGAAAAGGTAACGATGCGGCGCTATAGAAAAAGAAAGAGTGTGTGAGATTACCCGCCTTTCACGCACTGCAAGTGTTGCCAAGTAAGGCGTTGGACGGGCCCGAGGAATCAAAAGTAGTTCGCGCTTAGCATGTTTGCGGAATAGTAGGGGCTATTTTGGAGTATCTGCTGTAACGTGAGTGGCCGGCGGCGAGTCTGAGGTCATGTTTCGAGTGAGGCCCTTTGGCATACATTATTCGTGGGATTGAGGAAGATGGTGATGCGAAGTTTGTAACGGCACAGCCACTCAGAAAGTGGGGTTTTGCCAGTCACGTGGAAGCGCTCAGAGTTCGTGTGTTTAAGCTTTTTCATGCCAAGCTTCTCGCTTGTAGATCCTTATCTGGTAATACCAACCCCTTTCCTCCTTTGCCCCCCCTTTCTCCCTGGTTGCATCCTCCTCAGCCTCACCGAGCTGATATACCGACTCCCGAGACCATGACTTTGGCAACAGGGAGTTAGGAACCATGCATGTCGTATTAACAGGAACTTTGGCACCATAATTATCACTTTGCCTTTATCTTCACTCGAGCCACTACAACTTTTCTCAAGCTAACAGCGCCTCTGATATCATCCCCTTCGTGATGTTTCCCGTGGTTTGCGTTGATGTTCATCCCTGCTGTCCGTGATTTCTCTGCCGCGCTACCTTGAAGACCATCCCACGTTCGCAATACTGTCGAAGCATAGGGTCCCTCTCTCGCACCGAAATGAGGACACTGTCTAACGACTTTGGAGACTTCACCGCTACTCTCAGCCGACTCATTCTTACATCATTGTTGCTGCTGCAGCGACGCCAGGAGTCCGCGAATCCATGCACGATACCAAATAGACCCGGTTGACTTTGATGTCTTGAACCCCCTAATCCGTTCAATAGTGTGGCAACCTTGACAGAATTTCGACTGGAAACGTCAGGCGCAAGTGCCGCTGCGGTTCAGATATAAGTGTCCCACGTCCTGCGCTTCTGTCCGCGGTTAAGTGATCGGTGAATGATTCGTCCAATTGTATCTTCTCCCCCGGACGTGTCCTGCGCAAGCACGGCGCACCGCCTTTCGAGCGAAGCCAGCCCTCTGTACGGAGCAAAGTGTCGAGCACCAAAGGAAAAGAAGGGTCAAATGCCATGTGCTATTCTTTCACGAATTGGAATCCCATTCTGGAAAGGCCCGTCTTACACGGGGGGGCTATCTATTCCGCGCCCACCCAAGGTATTTTCGTCGCCTCTTATCTAAACTCATCAGCCATGCCGTCTGTGCATGCATTCCAACACTTGAAAATATCGCCCGAACATCAATCAATCAACTCAAACGGTGTAACGGAAGAAGGTGGCGTTGTCGCCCTTCTCCCTCTCGGCGAACTTGTCCATCTCGGTGTACTGCTCGAGGGGTTTATACTCGCGGTCTCGGCGGGCATTTTCACGCCGCAGGTAAATGGTCATGAAGACCTGCAGGCACGTGCTCATGGTGAGCATGCCGATCAAGATGGCGTGACCCTTGATGAACTTGGGAGAGTCGGAACTGAGGTAGATGAATCCGGCAATGGCGCCACCGAGGTTGCCTAGGAGGACGCAGCGTCAGAAGTCATGTTTGAATTCCGGGGGGAATATTTATCGCCTTCGGACTCTCCAAAAGGGGCAAAAACTTACCAAAGCCCACGTGCATCGCAATGCCCACTGCTCTCTTGAGAGAACCACCAATATTATTGCCGTTCCAGGCAACACCTTGGGGAACATTAGGATAAATTCCCGCCACGAAGAAAAAGCACCCCGCGTATTTGACGTGAGGATTCTGGGATGAAATGAGCATGATGAGGCCGATCAACGCTGTGAAGTTGAACCCGATCATAAAAAGTCCGCGCGTCTTGAGCCTGTCGGCGGCATAACCTCCGGTGATGCAGCAGAAGCAGGCGACAATGTATGGCGGAACTGTCATGAGCTGTGCAGTCTCGTTCGTGTAGTTCAATGTCTTGACGATTGTTGGCAGGAAGAGGGAGACCGAGTACAAAGGAGTATAGATGCTAGAATCCGGGTTAGTAGGCACAGATTGACCTGAAATGTGCGGCTTACCCAATGGTAATAAACATGTGAACCCAGATCTTCCAATCCTTAAGAGCATCCCAGCAATATTTCATGTTGAACTCATCGGCAAGAGAGCTACGGTCTCGCTCTAGGCGTCGAGATACTTCGTGTCGTTCCTCTGGAGCAAGGAACTTTGCAGTGGAAGGATAGTCGTTCATGGTCCAGAATGCAAGGATAGCTGATACGGACACATTAGCTTACGTCCTGTTCGATTACCATCAAAAGATTGGTACTCACCAACAGCAAGAGTCAAAAGGCCCTCGAGGATGAAGATCCAGGACCACCTGTATTCTTGTAAGCCATTTCCGCAACTCACAGCATGTGTTTTGAGGCCCAACCTACCCAGCCTTTCCACCGACTCCATCCATTTCGATGATGCCACGTGCCAAGAGACCCCCAAAAGCACCTGCGGCCGTGGCTGCAGAAAAAAAGATGGCCTGTAGATGTGGCGGTCAGACAAAGCAATACAGCGGAGTGTAGGTAGTGAAGCAGCTGCGGCCAGCACTCACCATCCTGAGACCACATTCATGGCGCTTGTACCACATTGTGATGTAGAAGGTCACGCCGGGAAATAGACCACCTTCCGCAATGCCCAAAGCAGCACGAGCTGCGAGAAGTCCCGGAAAGTTCTCAACAAGACCCATGAGAGTTGTGCAGATCCCCCATGCAACCATGATAGATGGAATCCAAATTGAAGGTCGTGTCCGCTTCATCATGAGATTGGAGAGTGGCTCGACGAGGACGTAGAACGGAAAGAAGATTGACAGTGCGACCTATGCCATTGTGAGCCATGATAACATGTGCAGGGGGCAGGTTTTGAGTATACATTATAGTCCAAGCCAGACATTCCAAGGTCCTCCTCGAGGCCAGCCAGTCGGGCGTTTCCAATGTTGGTGCGGTCGAGGAAGCTGAGAAGATAGAGGAGCGAGAGGAATGGGAGAAGCGTCCAGTCAATCTTCCTGATCAGCTTCTTGGTGGCCTTGACATCGAAGCCCAAGTCCTGGGAGCTCGAGGATGCTGATTCCAACATCTCAATCTTTGCTCCGACATCTTTGCTGTCGGGGCTCTCGATGGGGATCTCAACCTGTGTGGTACCCATCTTGTCTTCTGATGTGGACAATGGGAGATGTCTCGTAGGAAGAGAGAGAGATGTACCGGCCACCTGGATCTGTGTAACAGCAATCACACACTAAAGTGTCGTAGGAAACAACCAGAGAGCACAAAGAGATGGGAAGTCACGGAGGAAATTGAACAGTCGGCTGGGTCACAGCAGACAATATATAGACGCCCGATGGGAGCACTCACCGCTGATGAGGGAGGGACACAAGAGAGGGCAATTGTCCACTTCCCCGTGTAACAGGCCTTGCTCCGCATTGCTCCAGGCTCTCTCCCCAGGTCCACTCACCATATGTCCCGTCCGTTTTCGCCACGGCACTTAGATGAGCTCACCCCTCAACGTTTTGACCAGCCTCTATCACCTTGCTAATCTCGTCTGTTCGGACAAAAGGGATGATTCAGAAAGGACTGTCTGGGCATACCAGGCCTCTGTGTTCCAAGTCGTCACCACCATACGGAATGATGGCATGGCGGGATCGACTGTACAACACCAAAAGGATACCAAGCAACGATGTAATAGGACAATCTCCCCAGTCCAGGATGCCGTCAGGTACTGCCGAATGATGTGGCTGTCCTTGGCACAAGGAGGATTGCTCGAGTTGTCCAGGTTGGGTCCAGAGAAGATGGATGGGAACAGGTTCTGCAGGCAAGACAGAGGCGGGAGCAGGAGTGACAGAGTTGGCACAAGCCCCTGGGTCGGTGGTACCCACGTCTGATGCGGAAATGCTCCCGCATGGACAGATAAGTTTTGAGACCCAATGAGGTTCGCTCAGTGTGTATTTTTGCTGCATGTACATGCACCTTCAGATGATCGGTCAAGGGGAAGGCAGAATATGGCAATTGCAAATGTGCTTTCTAAGATCTAGGCAAACGTGTGCCATGCACGGAGCATGTGCTTAATCAGGCTGGCACGGGTGAAAAGACAGTCGAAAGCATATCTTGGTAGAAGAGGAAATGTAACGGTGGACCCGGGCGCCAAGAGATCAAGATCCCTAGCGGCCATGCCAAGCCAGAGCGCCAAGAGCGGAACGGGATTCTTCCTCTGATCTTGGCCAGGATTCCTGAACTGCATCCAGTAGCCATTCAAGCCATCGTAAGAGGCTGGCGGCCAAGCCTGCCCAAGAAATAGAATGGGAAAATCCTCCCGTCCGAACACGACATTCTAGAACTTCTGGATCTTAAGACGTTTTGCCTCAACACGGGGAGGTGGTCAGATGTCGGTTTGGGATTCTGGTGTCTCCCTTTACGTGACGACACGAGTGCAACCACTCGGAGAGCGCGCTTCGTGGCCCTTTTCCCGGTTCCGCCCTTTCAGGCATGGTGCCCCAGCGATATCAGCTTATCATTCCTGGAGATTCAAAGCCTTCGGTCCCTGGGAAACTGGTATGAATCGTTCACATGTCATTGGGCTTGGAGGCTTTCCTCAGATGAACCCCAGCGCTCGTATCCACAACACTCGCATCCTATCACAGGTGACGGAAAACTGTTGAGTCGGGTCTATCCCCAGATGTCGCCCTTCAGGGACCTATCCGGGCTTACAAGGACAGCAATCCGAGAATGCATTCACGAGCCACGAGGAGGATGAACCGCGGCTTCCATCGCATCGCCTGAAGAAATACTGCACATGTCTCCTTGCGTCCGGTTTTCTTCTCCCTTCCAGAAGCCAACATGCATGATTCATGTCAAGATCATGGCAAGACATGGTCTGTGACATACCAGTACCCTGGCTCAGACGACCCTGCATCGGCCTATAGATTCTGCGCCGGGCAGAAATGTCATGCCACCCTCAACTCAGCCACCATCCAGTGTCTATTGACTTTTTCGCCTCAGCTGAATGTCAGGTATGGTTTTTTGATTCTCCCTGCATCAGGTTCACGCGTTGATGGAGGAATTCTTTGCTGCCTTACACCGATGAAGTGCTGTCTTGCTTTGCTGTTGCTCTCGCGCAATGTGTCGACTGCAAACTTGGTTTAATCTACAACCACCCATCACCGTACACAATCTTGCCAAGGTTGTACATCTGCATGTTTCGACAGTCAACAGTCAACAAAAGCCTGGACATCTCGAGATGAAGATCCACTTAATAGGAGCAGGGCGTCGTACTACACCATTGTCCAGAGCGAATATATTGGATATTCCAGGACTTCCCTCGAATTCTCTCCCAGGAATTCGACGTTCTTCCATGACTACTTTTTCTGGTCCCTCATTTGCTAACAGCACAAAGATACATCCCTACCTGTGAATGAAGACTGGTAGCCATGCTGACACGCCGACCATGACCCGTCCCAAAGTCCGTCAAACATTCCACCTCATGCTGTACGCAGCGGCCCGAGCCTCCAAGGAATGTACTGTCCGTTGAGTATATCGAAAGCAATTACTGGGAATGAATGTGTCGCTCTCCCAGAGTTGGTGCCACTGCATCGCCGCTTCGATATGGTAGCCGCTTATTGTGGACGAGGAAGGCCTGTATGCTTCGTTGCCACTTTCGCCGGCAACTCATCGCAATGGAGACTGTGCATCCGCAGCGTGCGAGAACACCCAAGAGGATTTCTAACACTTTTACAGATGTGAACGCAGATCTAGACAGCCTCGATCGATCTGCCTAGCGTCTACAGATCCTTTGTACCTGGAGTAAAAGAACTGCGCGCAACCCCGGGCCCGGGTCGGCAGAGATACCGAGGGACGACTTGTTTTTGTGAACGAACCTCCAAATCGTCAGTCACCCCACGGTGTCTCTCCGAGCGGCTGAATTACTGGCTGCATTTAGCCGGATCACGTACGGAATACAGAGCGTCCATACACGACATCAGGCGATTATGGGCCGAGAAGAGTGAAACGAGGGACTAAAACACCCAACTGCATCTTGAGTGCCCTGATAATATTGTCTTTGCCTCAAAACGAATACAATCAAATTGGACATATCTCAAGGTTTGTGTCTGACGACAACTGTGACATCCGATCGATATACTGTAAGTATTCAGGCTTGACAACATCAATGGAGCCAATTCGTCTCGGCGTCATAGGCTATGGCTTCTCCGCCAAATGCTTCCATCTGCCATTCATCAACGTGTGCCCGGACTTCAAGGTGGTCGCCTTCTTCCAACGAACCGAGGCGCCAAAGGATCCCAAGACCGCCGAACCCGGCTCCCATTGCACGGTCGACTATCCCAGCGTCAAGCACTATCGCAACGCAGACGACTTCTTCGCCGACAAGGACATCGACGTGGTGATTGTGTGCAGCAAGCAGGATACACATGCAGAGTATGCCGAGAAGGCCCTAAACGCTGGGAAGCACGGTATGCGTTTCTTTCCCACTTTCCCCCCTCGAGACTGTCCCTCTGGGAGTTTTGATCCCACACACGAGAGAGGTTCTAACCCGCCACTGGGGATATTGTGAAACAGTTGTTGTAGAAAAGCCCTTCACCCGGACGACAGAAGAGGCCGACCACCTCATCTCCCTGGCAAAGAAGACTGGCAAGATCTTGACAGTTTTCCAAAATCGAAGATGGGTAAGTAAATCACTTGGATGGATAGCCCCGTCGTCCTTGCATCACAGTCAACGAGGTGGTATCTTCTCTCCATATACCCCCCTCTCTGGCCAGAGGCGCAAAGGATGGAATCTTCCCCACCAGATACTAACGGGCTGTTTCGTTTTCTCTAGGACAACGACTTTCTCACTCTCCGCCACCTGCTCGACAAAGACGCCTTTGGGACCATCAAAGAATGCGAGATCCACTACGACGTCGACTTTCCCTTTTGGATGCGAGGCATGAATAAGAAGGAGTATTCGCCGGGGGACGGCATGACTTTTGGTCTAGGTATATAACTATTCTTCGCCCTCCCCTCCTCGCCTCCTAACTTTTCATAACACAACCGTTGGGTCGATGTGCTTGCCCGCCAACTCCCGCCCCCCTCTTGTTCAGGGAAAAGGGTGGTTGTGCGCCACCCGAGAGCAGAAATGGAAAAAAATGATTATTGTTCGTGTAACCATTCTAACGACGCCGGGGTCCCCCTTTACCAGGAAGCCACACGCTCGACCAAGCCCTGCTGCTCTTCGGGCGGCCCAAGTCGGTGACGGGGTTCCTGCGCGTGCTCCGCGGCATCGACAGCGAGATCGAGGACAGCTTCACGGCGATCTTGCAGTACGACGGACCGCAGCAGGAGCTGCTGGTGACGGTGAAGACGATGGTGGTGTCGACGATGAAGGACCAGCTGAAGTACTTTGTCCGGGGCACGAAAGGGTCGTTTGTCAAGGTACTTCTTCTCTTTTCCTCTTCTCTTCCCCATCTTTCTCCTTCTTCCATCCCTCCCTCTCTTTGTTACATGTCATCTGACATCTCTTTTCTCGGGAAAGCACGGCACATGCATCCAAGAAGAACAGATCTTGTCGACGCCGTCCATGCCGGCGACGGACCCAAATTTCGGCCATGAACCGCCGCACCTGTACGGCCTGCTGACGACCAAGGGCGAGCACGCCTTCGACCACGCGCACCAGATCTACGAGCCGGACTTCAAGCTGTTCGTGGGCCGCTACCCGACCGTCCCGGGCCACTGGCTGGGCTTCTACGAGAACCTGAGGGACGCCGTGCGCGGCCAGGCCGACATCGCCGTCAAGCCCGAGCAGTCGCGCGACGGTATCCGGCTGATCGAGCTGGTGCGCCTGAGTAGCCAGAAGGGTCAGGCGGTCGAGTGGCATTGAAGACCAGGTGTTGCGGACCGGGTTGCGACGGGTGAAGGCCACCAGGACAAGGAGAATGAGGCAGAGAGAATCGACGACAAGCTGAATGTGTCAAACCAATGATAGAACCATGACAGCACGAGGACCACGGAAAGACACAAGACGTAAACCAGACAGAACAATTGATCGGGGAAAAAAAGGGATGACAGGAGTCGACTGCCTCCAGACTCTCGGTAGCCATATTCATCCGCCAATATCACTCCTGATATGAATACCATCAACACTGGTTCTGCTGGGTTCGTTCCCGTTTCTCCCAAAGAGACTCCTTTGCAACTCGGTCCTCCTTTTCCAGGGTAGTAAATGCGCAGTTTTGACCTTTCCCAAATCCAAAGCCAGACCAGACATACCAGACCAAAAACAACAAACATCCAAGAGCAGCGACGATTACGCGATGGTGAAGAACAACCTCCATATGCAGATCCCTCCATAACCTGAGTCCAGATGTCAAAAGAAAAAAAAGAAAAACACCCCCCTCGATTCTTGCACTTGGAAAAGAGGATCACCGTCTCACCAACCAGCCCCCCTTTCCTCAACGCCATGCTTTCAAGAGGGGAATGTCGACACCAACCATGTTCCTCTGAAGAGCACATCGAACAACTGCCCCGTTGAAAGTGCTGCAAACCCCTCCCACGGCCGCGAACCAAAGAAACCCCATTCTTTGTCTCCATTGCCACCCATCATGCTTCGATGCCATTGTCAATGACTCCGAAGACCAGCCCAATACCCGTAAGATTCCCTCCTTGATTTTTTGGATAATCGACATGTTGCCCAGATCTCCATTCCTCCCCGTCACCTCACAATCATAGGTGAGGCACCATGACCACACGCTAAACGACTGAAAGACCGCTGCAAAAGGATCCCCTTCCCCTGAGCACGCTATGTGGAAGCATCATGAAGACCCCGACGTGCATAACGAACCACAAGCACTCCCACCTATGCAATGCCCTGTACACCGAAGATATGCTTCAAAGAGCAACACAACTCCGCGCATACAAAACATGTCATGTCCAGGTCGTAGTCTTCATAAGTCATTTAACCCCAAACTGAGGTTGTACCGATCTTGTTGGACCCCCAAACTCCACTGCCTGTCCCCCAAGCACCTATTCCGGAATTCGATGACTCTTTCTGCGCATTCGAGTTCGAGTTCGCCGATCCTGCGCGATCAGCATTTTGTTCATTAGAGCCGAACCCGTATCCCAAAGAAGAGGGCAGAGGGGACGTCGTGCGCTTGTTGATCGACTGGTTAGGTGCCTGTTGCACATTGGGACGGCTGCCAATTGGCCCCATGCCGCCACTGACGGGGGCAGTGGTGGATTTGGAAATCTGCCGTGAGTGCGATGGCTCTTCACCAGTCGGTGGCGTGGGCACCTTGCCAGAAGCTTGAATGGAACCATCAAACGTACCGAAACCCGAAGATTGCGCGGATGGAGATGTTGCCTTTTCTGCACGAGAAGCTTCCGCACCTGCGGACGGGCCCTGAGAACCGGAGTCACCTTGCGAGGCCTGACCTGGCCCGCCAAAAGGATCAGAGGTGCGAGGAGAAGGGCCACGAGGAGCCCCAGGTGCATTGCCCGAGACCGTTCCCCCTTGATCTCGGTTGGTGTCCTCGGTAGAAAACGGCACTTGTCCCACAAAAGCCGCGGGATCACCGCCGTACAACGCGCGATGCTGACGAGCAATCAGCTCCCGGCGGCCTTCCTCACTCAATGTGCTAGGGCTCATTGAACGGTCGGATTTGTTGGACGACATTTCTGCCAGTAGACCTGTTCCAGTCTCAGTGTGGTGCCCTGTTGCACGGCCGGGAAGGCGATGCTCACTCCGATTGTATTGCTGTTCTTGGTGATAGTTGCGAAGCTCACGCTCGCGCTGAGCTGCCATCCTCCTTTTAGCTTGCATCATTTGATCGGCATCGCTGTGACGGCCTTGATGCCTTTGCGCGGCATAAAAGTTCTGGAGATTCGAGCCCGGGTGTGGACGCGAGGGGTCAAAGTCGCCAACAGGATGGCGGCCTCCGTGCATTCGGGGACCTGCATAGGATGAGTTCCTCATCTACTGTGCGCACAGTACTGAGAGCACATACCATAGTCCACCCCTGGGCGCATCGGGCCGCCTGGCATTGGGCGTTGTCCACCACCGCCGCCGCCGCCGTAAAATTTGCCACTTTTGACAAGATTGTCCATTGCCCTATCAACCTCTGGTTTCTCACGTCAGTCCCTTCAAGTGACAGCTCCTAGTGGCAAAAATCGCACCTTCGAATTGAATGGCAAAAGCGTTGCCATCTTCGCGTTGAGAAGTGGAACTGGCGCCTGTGATGGAATTGTCAGGTTCAAGCAATGTCTATTGTAAGATGCGGAACAACGCACCTGATCTTGATGGTGGAGGCGGTTGTTCCCACGAAGGCTGCCGAACCGGCGCCTGCCATCCTTGAGGCTCGTATGAGAACGACATGTCTCTCAATTTTCTATCCGACCCCTCTTTGCAGCAGAAAGTCGGGCGATCCTCCAACCGAGATTATATAGTCGGCCGTGACGGGAGGGTATTTATTCTTATAAGGCGACGACGAGCTATAGAATAGATGAGTCGATTAGAAGTTGCAAACAAATGGACAATGATTAGGCTGGATGCGACTGGCTAGAAATCGAAAGAGAGAAAACCTGCGGTTTGGAGGGAAGAGGGGTTGGACATGTGGTGTATGTGTGTGGTCCGTCCGGTTCTTTGGTTTTGGGGGGAAATTCTGGTACGCTGGGTTTGGTGCGAGGATGTGGGTGGGGAGAGAGTTCATTTTTCTCGAGGGATCGGTTCGCCCAACTCGAGCCAATGATGGCTTCTGTTGGATCGGTCGAATTGCCCCGGGGGTGGCCACGGGAATGGAAGGCGACTGGAGAGAATGTGAGGCGACTTACAGATCAACCAGGAGCCGAGCTCGGATTCTCGCAGATCGCAGGTGGCAGTTTGACAGAGACGAGTACCGCGCGAGAGGAAGACTGATCGTGAACGGAAAGCCCGCACTGCAGCGGGAGGCGGCAGGCGACACAAAAAGAGATATAAGGAAGGGGGGAGGATAAGGGGGACAAAAGGAAAAGAAGCGCAGGCGGAGAAAGATGGAGATGAGGGTTAAAAAAATATGTTTCTGCAAGTTGAGGATCAGGACGACTTTTTCCGACAGGGAAATTCGCAGGGCCTGTCGAAGGCAAAAAAGGGCCCCCCCCATGACCACAGGCTACTACCTGTAGGCTTCAAGACCACCTAAAACTACTTGCCTAGGTACAATCAAAAAATGTGGGGGGAGAACTGGGGAGTACTGAGAGCACGGCGCACTCTGTGCTTAGGTACCTAAGTACCGAGTACCTCGAGGAGAGGGAGACATCCGTGGCCTCCCAATCCCAAAACTTTGTACCTCCCAGCCAGCTCAGAGTCCTTCTCCTCAAACTGCAATCACGAGCATCTTCCTACTCGCTCTTTTATCTCTCGTCATCTCCCTCGCTCTTCTCCTTCTCCTGCCGGGAGTCGCCCTTCCTCCTCATCCTTCCTCATCTTCTGTGCTAGAGAATAGCTCAGCGAACACCGAGCGCAGGCGGGTCATCACCGACCATCACTACCCACGAGCTAACGATGACCGGCTAAATCTGTGTCGCCGGGTCATCGGCAATGCCAGACCCAGAAAACCTCTCCACACGTCGAACGCCTACAAGTTCCAGGAGTTCTGAAAAGCAAAATGAATAATGATAATTGGCGAGCTCTACCAGCCTCAGGACCCCCCTCGAGATCGGCCCTCCCACGAGCATTCCAGGCGGATCTAGATGAGGAAAAGAAGTCGAAGCCGAGCCAGGGTCGTCTTTGTGAGTATTCCATCGTCGAACGCTGGTCGAAGCAAATTGTCTCTCCGTGGTGGAGACCACTGGAATGGCCAGTAAATTGTTGTTCTTGTGTAGGTGGGGGACATTTTGAAGCAATATTTGCTTTGGTCAATTTCCCTGCCGGCCACCGACTACTGCGATGAGTCCGATATTCACTATGGGTACAGGTCGAGTGCAAAGAGGGTGTTGCTAAACTACTACGCATCTTGCAAGAGAACCAGGACGAAGATCCTATGACGCAAAGGCTGCAACTACAGTCTCAACCCATTGGTGCCAATAGAGACCAATGCAAGTGACAGTTGTCGTTCCCGTCCCAGGCCGAGCGCATCTTTCATTGTCAATGGTCTAAACGGTTCCAAGGGCTCTGCATGTTCTGCATCTACCAATCCGAGTCTTCCGGTCCACTGGTAACTTTCGAGAACCCTAACAACAGGCTATTGCCATGCCACTCCTTTGTTCGTCACATGGTCCACGAGGTTGTGGAGGGCGCTCATCCTCCAGAAATGGCATAGACAAACGCTGAAGATTACCATCAAACGCATGTTCGTCACGCATCGGCTGCAGCAAACCACCAGAGAACCAACAGCCATCTCATGCAGCCGTCCTTTTTAGTTCGTTGTACAGAGGAGAGTGCACAGGTATCTCCCCAGACACCTGATCGGTCCAGTCCAAGAGTTCCTCGAATCTGAGAAACCCTGGCTCTTGCGCGTGATTCGGTCAGATTGGTAACTTGGATCTAGTCCTCAAATTTCGGATGGTTCCACAAATCATTGAGGTTTCGCGACTGCGAAAGCGACTCTTGAGCTCTAGTACGAGGTACATACACGGTACTTGTTATGAGTACGAGCACTGAGTACCTCGTAGATGTACTGAGTAATTGGCCAAAAGCCGTAATAGGTGCCCACAATTCGGTCAACTGGCCCTCCTACATACTCGCAGGTAGTAAAGATACTTACACCTGCAGCCAGACATCAAGAACCTATACCTCGTACTGGTATGTGTACGAGGTAGCTGGTCGGTGTGGGCGTGATGTGCAATTCTGCGCCCGTGATTAGAGCCAATACCAATCTGGTGCAAAGGTCAGATATGGTTGTCCCGTCGTATACGGAACAAACTCTTGAAGCTATTATTTTGATACTTTCCCATCACGCGGTTCCCACCAACGACTCGTGGCTCGCGAGGACCACAACAACCGATAATCTGAGGCTGCAGAGTATTAATATTAAAGGACGTGGGTCGAGTTAGGTAAACATGGACATGCGCCGTGAACAAAATAGAAGAGTTCAAGAATAGGGGCGACAAGAAAGTGGCCTTGCTCGCCAAAAAAGATGAAGCACTCTTCCTGCACGGAGCGAGGACTGCCCCGTGCTCTGGGTGTCTCGTAGAATTGGGCCTCACGCACCACTTCTTTTCTCTGATGGTCTCAGGGGTTCTTCCGCTAGACCAAAACACCAACACCATCACAGTGTGCCCGTTAAGTCAGCCTAGCATCTTAGTGGCAACGGTGCCCAAAATTGCGGAGGAGGGCGCTAGGTCTATAATTGGCACCAGCAGGCAGCGTGTTGGGCGGTCAGAATCTTAAGACAGCATTTCAAGATCACCGGTCTGCATCCAGCCGGCAGCAGGCAGGGCGGCAGGGACATTCAAGGCTGAGCACCGCTGACACCCCTCGTCCCTCGAAAAGGGTTGTGTACGAGTATGGTAAAAAGGAGGAAGGATCGGGCGTCTTACTCATCGGGTTTTTGAGGCGCAGATCCGACATTGGCCTACCAAGCCTTTGGACAATCTCATCCAAAAACGTGGACTCGTGGTTTGGACCAAGCATGATTGGGAGGGTTTGGAATTTGCTTTCTGGCCGTGACCCTGGCGACGCCATGTCGGCCATTCAGACGGATGATCAACCTCTTCAAAAAGCAACAAACGCGGTATCCTATCGAACGCGACGCGCTAGTGGAATCTGACAGGGCACATATACAGTTGCTGAGCATACCGTATATAACCAACCTTGTTATGTATAGAGTGTGGTGGTTTGCCGCACAATTCCCATCTCCAAAGACCGGTCAGGATGAGGCAAAGCAGGGCCAGGGAGATTAGGGGTCTGGGTGAGCAGGCGACGGGGATTCTAAGACCTCGGGCATTAGGCATCGTGGAAAATGAACTTGGCTGGCTTTCTCACCCTGTTTTCCGGGCCATATGCCTGCTTTGCTTTGTCTTGCCTTGCAATGCTGTGTAGCGTAGCAAACTTCCGCAGCTGCGCATCTTGGTCCCTGGTCAACTGCAGATGGAACCCCGTCACCACCGGTGTGTATTTGGTGAAGCTGAAAACAAGACACTGGGATGTGAAAACGTGACGGTCATATGTAGGTACAAAGATAGACGGCTGAAGACGACGGACACCGCCATGCTGGCCTACTAGTTGATGACTGTTGGTTGTTGGCCGTGGGCTGTTTGTGCAATCTGCGCGGTTCTGCGCGGTGTCGGCATCACTCGTACCACAGCTGCTCGAGACAGATCCAACGCCTGAATAAAAGAGTCCATTTTAGCCGTGAAGAAAAGGCCCTGTTTGTAAACTGGTGCTGGCGCACTAATGACCGTATTGAGGGGGGAACTTTTTCTCTGGCTGATCCACCCGCAAGCCACGGGCGTTGAGACTTGTTCGGAGACCCTCGCCGCCGCCGCGGGCACGCTCTGCTCCGTACAACTGCTACCCAGTCTGCGAGTTCCCACAGGCCAGCACCCATAGCCCTAAGCTCCCCATAGCACCCATAGCGCGGCCGGACGGCCACAAGTCTCCTCTCCCAGTTACGGTCCTCCATTGTAGTCAGTGCACTGCACCGCAGCCAGGAACAAGCGAGGATCATCTCTCTGCAACCTCGCACCTCGACCACTTCCACCCATCACCTACCTGTTCGAACCACTTTCTTGTCGACTCTATCCTCGTCCCATCCTCGACATATCTTCTCTCTTGACACGCGCCTAGAGGCCCTATCCTACTTCTGCTCGCATTCTCAATTCTGTATATCACCAAATTTCTACGCCACCGCCCCCCGTATTCTCCTCTCCCACCTCGAGCAGAAATCCCAGCAACCTCCTGCCCAGTTCCAAAGTCCTCCGTCTCTCGAACGTCTCCCTCATTGCAACTTGCACTGCGGCTCTACGCCTTTCTAAACATCGGTCTGGTCTCGACTCACTTACAGATCCGCCGACCAATCCCTCTTTCACCTCGCCGCCCTCGACGGGCTTACTCAGACAATCCTCGACACAGACGAGGTCTCCTTGCCCTGGCTGGCTAGTGTTGTTCACAGGAAAGAAAAAGCAAGTCGGTTGTGTGTCGCGCCACACCATTTGTTGAACCCGGTACTCCTTGTTACTCTGGAACGCTTGTATGCAGCACTTGGCCAGTCCATCCCGAAGCCGTCATCACAACTCGCTCAAAATCGCGACTGGACGGTGGTGATTTCGAAAACCTATACTGCTTTAAACAAAAGAGAACAGACGATATACATTCTCGGAACCAGCGCGACCGGTCTCGTGGCGATTGTTTCAATCAAGGCACTTCGAGCCCAGTTTTGCTCTGGCCCGTCATATGACTTACAGAGTGCCGAAAGATGAGGGAAACAGTATATCTGCACCGATGACCGCTCCATCTGCTCAGGCTCTCAAGCCAAACATGGAAATGGAGTCGAGTACAAGTCCCTCACAGCCTGTACGACGCTCACATCACCTCTCTTCAAATTCCAAATCGATGCCCTCCACCCCCTTTCAGCGAAGCGAGTCCCGTTCTCATACAAGGACCTCTCCCTCCCCGGAACCTCCAGCAAAACCCAGTTCTCCTCGATCGCTGCCATCTGACAAGAGCCATACGCCCCCTGCCAGCCGGAAACAGTACGGAGGTTGTAAATATGAGACTGGTATGCAGAGAGCTCGGCGGCGTGTTCCCTATTCATTGGGACCAGATCCATTGGAAAAGTATAAGTCCGACTTAAAAACAAGGTTGACTCACGAAGAGAATGAAACACTAACGCAGGACATGCAAAAGCTCTATGAAGAGCTACAACCCACTGCCGAGAGTGAAGGGCGTCGGTCAAGGTTCATTGAGAAACTCGACAAGATACTTCGTGGAAGGTGGCCGACATCATCAATCAAAGTCAATGTCTTTGGCTCTACAGGGAACAACCTAGGCACGTCGGATTCCGATGTTGATATCTGCATCACCACTGATTGCAAGGAGATGGAGCGAGTTTGTAACATCGCAGACCTCCTTGCAAAACATGGGATGGAAAGAGTCGTGTGTGTCTCTTCCGCCAAGGTGCCAATCGTCAAGATCTGGGATCCTGAGTTACACGTCGCTTGCGACATCAATGTCAACAACCCCCTGGCTTTGGAGAATACGCAATTAGTCCGGACCTATGTCAGCATTGACAGCCGAGTGAGGCCATTGGCCATGATCATCAAATATTGGGCGAAGCGAAGGATGTTGAATGACGCTGGTATGTTGTCTTGTCTCGGATTTCTTGACTTTGCGACTGTGGTGCTGATGGTCCACAAGCCCTTGGAGGCACACTTAGCTCGTATACGTGGATATGTCTGGCCTTGAATTTTCTGCAAACAAGAGACCCTCCAATCTTGCCTACTTTGCAACAACAGCCTAATTTGCAACAGAAAGAGGTGGCTGGAGTGAACGTTTCGTTCGATCGCAATGTGGACGCTCACAAAGATTTTGGCAGTCGCAATCAGTCCTCCTTGGGAGAACTGTTGTTCCACTTCTTCCGTTATTACGGGCACGAGCTCGACTTTGAGCAAAGCGTGGTATCGGTGCGGCTGGGTCGAGTACTGTCCAAGGTTGAGAAGTCGTGGCATCTTCTCCAGGACAATCGTCTTTGTGTCGAGGAACCTTTCAACGTATCAAGAAACCTGGCCAACACTGCAGACGATACCTCGATGCGAGGGATCCACCTGGAATTACGGCGGGCGTTTGAGCTGTTGGGAGAGGGGAAACTGACAGAATGCTGCGAACAGTTTGTGCACCCTCCCGATGAGATCAAGCCCTCTGAACACTTTGTGCCACCCTCAGCGCGGCCCGTGATCCCGCAGCCTCCGAACCCACCGTCACGAGGAGCTCGTAATGCGTCTCGAGGTGGTGGCAGGAATCTAGGTCAAATGGGTCGCAATCCCCGGCGGTCGTCAAATCCCACTGCACGAAATCCCAACTACTTGCGCAATCCCCCGTTTCAGATGAACACCCATGAGTTGCAGCTTCAACAACAGCACCAGCAACATCTCCTGCACGACCAGCTCTTTCAACAATACCAATACCTTCAGCTTCAGGAGCAGGAGCTTAGGATGCAGCTCTATCAACAGAATCTTCGGCAAAGAGGTCTAATGGCGGCTTATAGTCAATCTGCGGGATATGGTCAATTTGTCCCGGATGATGGTCTTGATCTTGGATCCAATCCACAGGTCAACGGCATTGGCCGAGCTCCCATGTCAGCACCCCTGTATCAGCACGGCTTTCCTCGATCGCCGTATCTCTCTGCAAGCCAACCAAGCCAGGGTGTAGCAACAAACCCTCCGTCACCGAGACTCAATTCGGGGATTCCAGACACTCGAAGGTATTCACGGCGAACATCGGTAACGCAATCATCTACAGGAGGTTCCTTGCGAGCGCAGTCACAGCCTGCACGCGCGGTACCACTCACTTCTTTAGGACATTTGCAACGACCGGATATTGCAAGCCTTCAGGATCCTTCGATAGGACGGAGGTCGTCCTCATCGTCGACATCCCAAGAACCGTACATGGCTTACATGGAGAATGGCTATGGCATGACTGGATCAATTTATGATGCAGTACGGAGGCCAGCTGAGTATCTCGGATATTATGTCGGTCAATCGCCGTCATTATCTGCTTATACTCAGAGCACCGCAATCTCTCCTATCCCTTCACACGTTGGCCTTGCTATTCAGAACGGGGGTCTATCTCCTCGACTTGCTCCAGCATCGACCCGACCGTCTGGGACGATGCACACCCCGCCACTCCAAACGATCTCTACTGCCTCGGTGGAAGTGCAAGCCGAAGCAGGGCAGGAGTCGAGGAATGGTGAAGCCAGCAATATTGAACCCACCCCACCGAAGCCCAGGGCCGGGCCCCTGATAGTGGATGGCTCCATCAATTCACCGCTCCGAAGGCGTACCACCCACTCATTCAACGACCCTGAAGATCATATCAATTTCAGCGCATCCACGTCCGAGGACCTGGCATTTGACACGCCATCAAGCTCAGACGAACAATCTCAAGACGCTTTCGACTGCAATGCACACGGGAAGACTTCTCCAATCAGCCCCAGTGGGCCTCGAAATCACGTCCAGCATTCAACCAATGCTGCTCCAGATTTTGTGAATGGCTATTTACCCTTGAGAGCCATGGCAAAGAGTCCAAAGGAGGGGTTGCAGGATCAAGTGGCCGGTGTAGGGGAATCGGTGGGGATGAGTGTCCTCACTACGATGAAAGCGGTCGGCCCAGCCTGGTCTCTTGATCGGCAACTCTCCTCTGTGGAGGAAGTCCGCACGCCGTCCCCAAGAGTTGAGAAATTTGACGGGGAGAGCTCTTTACCAAAGGATATGAAGGGTCATCCCAGCCAGAATGGGCCCTCATCTGATGGGCAGACACTTTTGGTGAATGGTGAGCATCGTGATACGACCAGACCACTAGCATCCAGAACCAACGGGACTTCAGGATCTTCAAACCACGGATCCAGTCACGTCAATTCTGTTCCGCATGCCGGTGGACCAAGCGGCTGGCAAACCCAGAAGAAGAAAAAGAATAAAAGAAAGACGGTCAAATCGGAGAACGATGCTCAGACGTCGAATCCTTCTGTAGGAGAAACCCTCCCTGCCGACGAGTCCTTACGGAAAGGCGGCTAGGCGCTCCTTTGCAGAATTTTGCCATGATCTGCAGCTTATTTGGCTTGTCCACCTCATTGAGACGCCGTCCTGTCAGGCTCGAATATTGGGTTCTGACACAATGTCGCGAACCAGATCGACAAGGGACAGCATTTATGATATCAACAGCACACATCTAGTCGTTCTATGGATTTTGGGTTATGCATGGACAAAATTTGTTGGCGTTTGTCAATCTAGCAGGAAGCAGCATCCCTGACAGGGGCTCAGCGCATGAGGATGGCAGCGGCGTTTTTTCAGTACCCAAGGGACGTTACCACATACCCCCGAAAACTGCGGGATGCATTCACATATACGGCTGGACTGAAGGGCTGGATCTTTCGAAGAATGGCCCGAGGAACCCAGGGAAAGCGGCGCCGTTTTGACAGGCAGGCGCAGCTCACGGCCTCGCTACAAAGCTTTATTGATGTTTTGCAAAAGGCGGAAGCCGGACGATCATGAGATTGGGCAATAGAAATGGATCCATTGCAACCCCAGCCAGTCGTGGGGACATTGTTTCCCGTTTCCCTTTTTTTTCCTCTTTTGATTGTTGAAAGTTGTGGGAGAATAGAGCAAGGGCGGTATCAAAAGCGTCAAATTTCACGTGCCTTCAGCACACTGCTGAGGCGATACAAAGCCAGTGGAAGGGGGGAAAGGCCGAGGTTGGGTTCAAATGGGAAATTGTCAGATGTCCCCGGGGGGGTATTGGAGACAGCGGGACAGCAGATGAGCAGATTAGAGAGAATGAACGAGGAGGACGTGACCATTCTTAAGACCAAGAGGCCGCCGATACAATGTACTTGTAACTCGGTACTTCTCCTTTACGAGGGATGAGGTGCTTGATGCTGTGAGGCTGCCAATATAGTTCTTGGGCGCGGACGAGGCTGAGACGCCAAGGCGCTTGTAGCAGGACGAGGCTGACCAATGATCATGGACTGGCTCGTACGATCCGGAACCCAGACAAAAGCAACTGTTGTGCCTTGCATGATTTACTCAATTTATTCCTCGCTTGATACGTGCGGGCCAATGACCGATTGTCCAGCAATTTTACTGTGGTCCCGTCGACTTTCTCATTTCAACCAACGCATGTGGAGGTCGTCACCACTCAGCAGAACGCGGTATGCAGTCAGTGCCACTGCCACTTCTTGAGACTCTGCTGAACTCGTCTGTTGTCTATCACACCACGCCTCACGCCACAGAAGCCATCGTCCTCCACAACAGGGGGTCGCATCTTAAAAGACCACTTCTGCGACCATCTCAACACCGCCGGTTCATGTCTAGATAACGCCCCCTCTTGCGACCACTTGCTTCCACCCTCTCCGTTTCCTACCATGCCTCTTATACTCGACACCCCTTCGGAGTCCTCGGTGGAATCGGGGTCAGACTTCCAGGAAGAGAGACGAAAGGTACATCACGATGCCGACGTGGTTATCGTGGGCGCGGGCATCGTGGGGTGTTCGTTGGCAGTGGCGTTGGCCAACCAGGGGCGCAGTGTCATCCTACTCGAGAAATCATTGAAAGAGCCGGATCGCATAGTCGGGGAACTTCTACAACCAGGCGGTCTCGAGGCATTGACGAAACTGGGCTTGCGCCACACGCTCGACGATATCGATGCGATTCCGGTGAAGGGGTATACCGTGGTTTACTATGACGAGCAGGTGCCCATTCCATATCCTACCTCGACGCGACACACACGGGATCGACGTTCGGAAGTGGCAGGCAACGGCAAGAGGGCAGAGGGACGGTCATTCCACCATGGTCGATTCGTGTCTCGGTTGCGCGCAGCAGCCATGTCACATCCCAACATTACCGTCTTCGAAACCGAGGCCACTTCACTCATTGTGTCCTCTCATAACGCCGAAGTTCTTGGGGCCGAATCTATCACACAAAAAACACAAAAGGATTATTTCTTTGCGTCACTGACTGTTGTCTGCGACGGATATGCCTCCAAATTTCGAAAATCATACATTTCGCACACGCCTCAGATCAAGTCAAAATTTTGGGGGCTGGAACTGATCGACTGTCCTCTCCCGATCCCACAGCATGGCACAGTGGTCTTGGGAGACAATGCCCCTGTTCTGCTGTATCAGATCGGCACTCACGAGACGCGAGCACTGGTGGATATTCCAGACGGTTTAGCATCTACGTCGACGACGAATGGTGGCGTCAAAGGTCATCTACAGAAGGTGGTGCTCCCATCGCTACCCGCTATGGTGCAACCGTCGTTTGAGGCCGCTCTGGAGAAAGGCAGCCTTCGAAGCATGCCCAACTCCTTTCTCCCTCCGACAACCAATACAACCCCGGGTCTAGCCATCCTCGGTGATGCTCTGAACATGCGCCATCCCTTGACTGGCGGCGGCATGACGGTCGCTTTGACTGATGTCGTCTTACTCTCCGACTTACTCTCTCCCGCAAATGTCCCCGATCTCGCAGACACTCGGCTCGTCCTCAGGCAATTCCGCACATTTCACTGGCGACGCAAGAATCTGAGCTCGGTCATCAACATCCTGGCTCAAGCGCTGTACTCGCTTTTTGCCGCCAGTGACTGGCAACTCAAGTACCTCCAAAAGGGGTGTTTCCGATATTTCCAACTGGGCGGCAAATGCGTCGACGAACCCGTGGGATTACTGGCAGGCATCATCCCGCAACCTTTTGTACTGTTTTATCACTTCTTTAGCGTGGCGTTGTTGAGTATCTGGGTGCTTGTTCGGGAGAACGGATGGCTTTTGTTGCCTCTTAGCATGTTTCAGGGGTTGTTATTGTTCTTGAAGGCTTGCGAGGTTATTTTTCCGTACATATTCGCGGAACTGAGGCGTTGAATGGGAGGAACGACATTCGCAACAGTGCCCGGAGGCGGTCCTTTGAAACAGACACCCAAAAGCAGTAATGTACAGGTATATTGATAGACCCTGGCCCGCGCAATCACTCGTTGGGGAGGAAAAAGACGAGTCTATTGATGCTTGAGGCGTGTTCTTCAGAATACGGGAATACAATACATATCATTAGAGACATTCAAACATATTTCCGACCTGAAACAATAAACAGCTTGGACAACCTTTTGAGTCTATGGTAACTCGTCCCACTCCCGGATTCAATCGTCACTTATTACCATCAGCTGGATGGGGATGCCCTTTGTAGAACAGATAACAGTCCAGGCAGGAGAGATACTTAATTACCAGCGGGAGGAGGGAGGGTTGAATGCCTAGACATAGACAATAGGTCAAACGGGGGATCAATTGAGAATGCCTCGTCAACTCGTACATGTAGGTAGGTAGGTAGGTAGGTAGGTAGGTAGGTAGGTGGTTAGGGCATTGTCTCGTACTGTTCGACCTCGTCTCGCGTAGCCTCAATTGACTAGAACTAGACCCAGCAAACTCCCCCTTTCATTTTCCTTTCCTTCCCTTTCCTTCTTCCCCCCTTCCGTCCTGTCTATGCAGTAGTAGCCCGCAACCTCTCGAGGATATACTCGCCGGCCTTGACGGGGCGCCACTTACTCGTCCCGACCACACTCTCCGGCAGGGGCACGACCTCTGCGTCGTAGTTGATGCTGAAGAAGAACGGCACCGAGTACCTCTCCCCGGTGCCGGGTTTGCTCACGACGCGGTGCACGGTCGACTTGTACAGGCCGTTTGTCCAGCGCATGAGGAAGTCGGCCACGTTGACGGTCAGGGTGCCCGGGCGGACGGGGCAGGGGAGCCAGACGGGGCGGTTATCCGTCAGAGGCGACGGGGGGAAGAGGATCTCCAGGCCCGGGTTCGTCGAGGAGAGGAGCAGCGTGAAGCACTCGTAGTCGGTGTGGGCGCCGAGGCCGAGCTTGCTCCCTTCTCCGTGCTGGGTGGTGGCGGCAGGCTGCCCGGCGTAGTACAGCAGTCTGGCGATCCCGCCTGGGTGCGTCATGACGGCGTCAAAGTACTCCTCCTCGAGGCCCAGCGACAGGGCGAAGAGCCGGAATAGGTGTCGCGCCAGCTGGAGCACCTGGCCGTAGTAGAGGCGGATGGCGTCGTAGAAACCCGGCAGGTCCTCCTCGTCGGGCCAGATGTTGCCCTGGCCTGTCGACGCCGGCGACTGTCCGTCCAGCTCGACGTACTTCCCATCGCCGCCCGTCGGGTCCAGCCGCTCTTCGTACCCCCAGTTGAAGCCTTCCTTGGTCTCCGGCTCGGACTGTTCCGGCGTTGTTGTGGCCTTCGTCGTCGTCGGAGTCGTCGAGTCGTCGCCGCCGCCACTCCCGGCCGCCATGTCGTCCGGGTTCACGTACGTGTAGTCGTGGGGCTCATACCCGCGGAACAGCGGCGAGTGCCGCATGTGCAACTTATCCTTTTTCTCCGGGGTGAGCTGGTGGAAGAAGCGCTCTGCCTGGCTCAACACGCCGGTCATGGCCTCGGCCGACACGCCGTGGTTGCTGATCTGAAAGAAGCCCGTCGTCACGCACGCGTCGCGGATCTGCTTCGCCACGGCCCTGCGGAGGGACTTGTCGTCGGAGAAGGACGGGCCGATGTCGATCAGAGGCACCGTCGGCAGGGACTCGAGCGCAGTAGCCAAAGGTGGAGGACCAGCGAGAGCCCCCGCGAGGCGACTGCGGAGATGTTCTTGCGCGGCCTCGACTTCTTCGAGGATGCTCAGGCCCGAGGGGTTCGGGGGCAGAGCCTCCGGAACGGGCTGAGGTGACATGATGGAGGTGGCCATTGTGGTTGTGATTGTGATGTGATGTGGCGCTGCTTTCTTCGAGGTACAGAGAATGATAGAACACCAAAGGGAAGAGGAGTGAGTGAAGTGAGAATAGAAAAATGGGCGCCGAGAAATGGATGGTCTGATGCGATCAAGTCAAAAAGGCAAATGGTTCCGCTCAGACGCTCACAACATGACTTTGTGGATTCGTCCAGGTCCAAGCGGTTCGAGACCTGGGAGATAGATTCGTGCCTTACGAGATGTCATTGAAGCCCGCAATCAGAGATACTAGAATGATAAGAAATGGTGTCGGTGGAACGGCGGAGTTGCCCGCCTTGTAAGACGAGGCTGAAACGCAAATAACTGGAACAAATCCTTCAAACTACGTGGTCGGACAAGGTCTCGTGTACTCATCAATGGCTCATAACACATTTACATCGTTGCGGAGGAAGAGATATTGACGCGCTGTGGTGATGCCAGGCCGAACATCGGGCGCTGCCGGAGCCATCATACGTGGCAAGGCTTGTTCCATCTGGTCCCTCCAATATACCGGCTTTCGCACGTCGGCGGGCCACCAGTCAAACAGAAGAAAGGCTTCATCCTCAGTCCAGGGTCCTGTCGGTGCTTGAACCCCCTCTTCGGTCGACCCTCGTCTATCGTGACTGTCCGTGTCTAATGCATTGGTGTCGGAGGCGCACCGCTGAATTTTGCTTGGACTCTTGGACTTGGGAGGGCTTTCCCTGGCCGCCGGGTTGCTCAGCGATCCCAAGGGAGATCTTGTTTCAGGGACAACGGGCTCGGGCATCACAGTAGATGTATCATCTTCCACCGCATCGTTCTCAGAGAAGACCCGTCGGAATTGGCGGATGTCGGAGCTATTGGATCGTCCTGTGAACGAGTCGAACGGATTGGGAATTCGGGTAGAGACCTGAAAGGGTGACCGTGGGCGTGGGCTTTCATTATTCACCAACGATCGAGCATCCATGTCAAGCTGCGGTTCTGGTATAGTCACTGCCTCAGCTGCACCGGTTGAAGGCACACCGGGTTGCGGTGGACTTTGTGACAGCGTGCTGATGTCAGACCCTGGGAAGGGGAATTCCTCTTGCGTCGGGAGTGGTCTAGGTGAAGGTGAGTTTCTCTCGGGGGACTCCTCTGGTATAAATAGAGGGCTGGAATGGAGGTTGTCTTCCTGCACTAGCCCATGGACACTCGAAGCAACGGAGAGTGACACTTGATCTCGCTGCCCATAGTCATTCACATTGGCGTCCAACATATCCATTGACAATAACGATACGATTTCCTCGTCCGGCAAACGTTCTTGAGCTGACCGTGGGCAAGAACTCTCGAAGGTTTGCAGCCTTGATGCAACCTTGGTAGCTTTAGTAAACGGTAGCACACAAGTCAGCTTGGGCCTGGGCTTTGGTTGGCCGATGAGCAACCGTGAAGTACGCGCGACTGGTGGACGGAACGTGGTTGAAGAGTCCCCATTGGTGCGTGTCTTCGGCTTTTCAGGGGCTTTGGATTTCTGTCGTCTCTCCTTGCTCACTTTTTCTTTCCTTGCATCCAATTGAGGGCGTAGCGAGGGCTTCGCGTGTGGTATTTCAGGGGCAAGCCACTGATCCTCTGGGGGTTCATTTACCACCACTCTAGTTCTCAGCCTTGTCGGCTTCGTCACCTGTCGCATGGGTTCCTCTTCTGGCGACAAATCGATCAAGTCCTCACACTGTATTGGAGGCCCAGGGATTTGCGGGACGGTCTTACTCGGCCGCATGGGCTGAGGTAAGCGAGGCCTTGCGGTCCGGACCGGTTGGTGGACATGGTCGAGTTGGTTTTCCTTGTCACTGTCAAGTCGCTGCTTTTTCTGAGGCGATCCCACTAGTCCTACCCGATTAGCGGACTGTCTCTGCTCATAAGGAGAGTGTGCTGGTAGCCTTGCACGCCCCGGTCGACCTTGAGAAGGTCCCAGCACCTCTAACAACGACTTGGGCCTTTGAGAGGGGCCAGTGGGCAGGGGGCGAGTTGCTGAGGCCGTCGTCTGTCGGGGTAGAGGAGTTGGCTTTTCTGGTCGTGCCCTTTCGAGAATTGGGGCCAAATCTGTCTGAGTCTCACCAAGACGCTCCCCAACTTCCACCATGACACCGCGGTCCAGCTGGATCTCGACACCCTCAGTGAACTCCTCCTCTTGCCTGTAATGGAGGTCCCCGATGTAATTTTTCGCGTCGTCATAGACCATGACGCGTCGATTGAAGGTGTGGAACCGCAACGAGCCATCATGCCATTTCTTAGCTTTCTTGTGCAGGTCGCGGGTGTAGAGACAGCGGAATTCATGGACGGGGGCGGTGTTTTGCGTGGGAGCAACGGTCAACCTGGCAGAAGCAGACCCGCCATGGGTGGAAGTGAGGCTGCTCATGTTCACAGTTGCAGCTGCACCTGGAGACAAGGGGATGAGCTGAGGCTGAACGGGTTGTCAGCGACATCCTGTACAGAGGCACCCAATGGAGATGTCGGCGGAAGAAGCAGCGTCGGTCATCATGAAGAACGAAAGAAAAGTCTCGTGGACGCCCAGTGACAGAGCAGGCAGCGCAGGCACTGCAGGCACTGCAGGTCACTGATTGAACGTGAGTGGATCGATGAGTGGGTGGGAAACGCGCGTCAACTGAGGCTGTAAACTCGGGTGTCGAGGAAGACGAGAAACCGCAGGTCTTAAGTCAGGGAGGCCCAGGCTTCATCCGCCCCCGTTAAGCCCCCCTCCCCCCGCCCGATGATCCCTTTAGTTAAACCCTACCCAGTGACTGCCTATGATATGAAACCCTGAGTTACTGAGTTCCCCCTACTACGTTTTGTTAACTTGACATTTATTATTTACTGCTGTCCAACTAATTTTCTCGCATGCTCCTCGTGTACCTCTCTTAGATGAAAGCCAGGGTAAACTTTTTGGACTGCTGGTCAGTTACCTATCATACCGATTTTTAATACTCGATTTTCTTCTCCTTGCCATATCCGCCGCCGTTCGTTTTCTTCCAAGCCTGGCCGAGCCTCTTCACCGTCGATCGACCCAGACTCCGACTACCGGGAGGAGACTTTGGTGGCAGCGGCAGTGGCAGCGGCAGCAGTCTTGTGCCACCAAAGGGCACCTGCGCTCTGCTCGTTCTCGAGTGAACTACTAGGGTCTGGCAGCTGGAAATCACATCCGCATCCCGCTTTTGTCTCGACACCCTCATTCTGGCCTCCTCCAAAGAAATTCCTCAGGCCACTGTGCTTGTGACGGTCTTGCCCTTGCCCCGTAGCCAGCAAGCCAGCAGCCATCATGCACAGTGTCCAGCGCCATTTTGGCAAGTACATGAAACGGTCGGCCGATGAACAACAAGTGTCGGTATTGCTCAAGGACTTTGAAGAGGCGGACAAGTTGTTGACAAAAGTATGTCCCTCCCCATCTTCTCTTGCTCGGCCACCCCTCTGACCTTTATCAAGATTATCGAGGCTTCCAAAGCATGGCGAGAGTCGTGGACCTCCATCCTCACCCACCAACACCGCGTGTTTGACGAGTTCAGCATCCTGTACGCTCCGATTGTCGGGGCCAGCGAAGATTACCACGGCCATGTCCCCGCCCAGACCCCCGATCACGTTGTCCGCAGGACCGCAAGGATCAAGGGCGAGTGCGAGGATTTAAAGAGAGATCTTACCGAGGATTTGGCCCAGGTTGAAGAGAGGCTCATCAAGCCGGCTCAAAGTGCAAAGGACAGCCTGCACAACATGAAGAAGACGATCAAAAAGCGCGAGGACCGAAAACTCGATTTCGAAAGGTATCAGAGCCGGGTTGACTCTCAATTGAAGAAGACAAAACGGTCGGAACGAGACAATGTGGCCCTGAGCAAGTCCCAGTCCGAGCTGGAAGCGGCCATCGAAGCATACCACGCCGCCGATGACAACTTGAGAAGCTGTCTTCCACGGCTTCTGACATCGGTTTTCTCGCTGCTTCCTCACTTTTTGGCGGCCCAGATCCAGATTCAGAACAACTTGCTCGGACACTATTACACGGTGCTGCACACGTACTGCACAGAGGAAGGATTCCCATCTCCGGCTCCGCCCATGGATGAAGTGATCCGACTGTGGAACGATGCATTCAAACCAGTGCAACGCGAGGCTGAGTCATTGGCCATCTTGGCCAATGGAAAAGCAGCCAGGTCGTCCATGGAGAATGGCAACCCTCCGGTCAATGGCTTTCGCCGCCCAAGTGGTTCGGCCCTCACTGCACATCGCCAACAGTCGGTCTCCCCAGCGAGGGCTCTTCCACCGTCGCCATCTTTCGAGCCGAAGTCCAAGTTGTCATCCTCGCCGGCTGCGTCGTCTATGCTCAGTGCAACCACTCCACAGGAATTCATCGCCAGCCCGTCACCCTCGCAATCCGCATACCAGACTCCGATGGCATACTCTCCAGCAGGGCCGAACACAGACTATTTCTCTCGTGATCGACAGCACTCTGGAGTATCGGCCGTCTCTGCAGCGACGGCGGCGGCGATTGCGCAAAAGAAACGACCTCCCCCACCTCCCCCAAGACTACCCTCGCAACAAACCACCTTTGTAACAGCACTGTACGATTTTGACGGCCAAAGTGAGGGCGATCTGGCTTTTCGAGAAGGCGATCGGATTCGGGTTATCAAGAAGACTGAGAGCACTGATGACTGGTGGCAAGGCGAGCTCAGGGGAATGAAGGGACCATTTCCGGCAAATTACTGCCAATGAGGTCAGTCGTCTAATGGGACAGGAAAGGAGAGCTCGATGGAAAGACTGGCCAACTCTATTGGCTTGGATGTATTTGATGTCTTTTTCTTGACGACTTAGCAGGGGGAGGATGGAGCTGAACAGGCTGAAACAAGCCTCTAATAATAGCAAGCGACCGGCATAGACGTGAGCAACCGAGCAAGCGAGCGCGCAAAGCATGATTTGAACACAAGCAACCTGGAGGGCATGTGAGCATAGCAGAGGGCACGGAGCAGGCTGTCGACATTGTATTGCATGCAGAAAAGGTGCGATATACCCAACAATAAGGAGCAACGGTTTCGATTGGTGATGAGTTCGGCGTAGACGGAGTGAGTGATGTCGTTTGAGTTCTGTAGAGCCTTGTCCATCGACTTGATTGACCGTGGAGGAGGAGGAGGAAGTGGCAAAGGCGCAGAGAAATCATGTCATTCGTCGTGAAAATGGATACAGACCGAGCCGGAGAGACTGATTGGCTGAATTGATCCAATATATCAAAGAAGAAAACATGACATGACATGATCGACTGACTCTTTGACCATGTAACGTTGTATCATAATATTCTTCCTCCCACCCACATTGTCTCGCCTTTATACGTGTACCACACTCTGTCGACCACCCAAAGAAATGACGTCCCAGAAGTCACAGACCACACCGTCAGCGTCGACGTCAACGGCGCCACAACCCGAAATCCTCGTCCGCGGCCTGACGTACAAATTCCCCGACGGCTCGACCGGCCTGGAGGACATCAACCTCTCCCTCCCCGCCGGGTCGCGGACGCTGCTGATCGGGGCCAACGGGGCGGGCAAGACGACGCTCCTGCGGCTCCTGTCGGGCAAGAAGCTGGCGCCGTCGCGGGCCATCGCCATCGCGGGCGTCGACCCGTTCGCCTCGGGCCTCGAGGGCGTCACCTACCTGGGGCTGGAGTGGGTGTTGAACCCGATCGTGCGGACGGACATTGCGGTGCCGATCTTGCTGGAGAGTGTGGGTGGAGGGCATTATCCCGACAGGCGGGACGAGTTGGTCAGGATATTGGATATTGATCTCTCGTGGCGGAGTTAGTCCCTCTCCTCCCCTTTTTTTCCAATGCCCTGAATTTACCCCCCCTGGTGCCCTACCTTGTTTCCTTTTTCGAGAGAGAAAAAAAGAGCCAGCGATAGCGATGAGGAAGACGCATCAACGACTAACAAGAATACCCCTTCTCGGCGGGGTGGGTGTGACGAACAGTGCACATGGTCTCGGACGGCGAACGCCGCCGCGTCCAACTGGCCATGGGCCTGATCCGACCGTGGGACGTGCTCCTCCTGGACGAAATCACCGTGGACCTCGACCTGCTCAGCCGGAGCAACTTCCTCGGCTGGCTGCGCGGGGAGACGGACCGCCGCGGCGCCACCGTCGTCTACGCGACGCACATCCTCGACAACCTGGTCGGCTGGCCCACGCACCTCGTGCACATGCACCTGGGGCGGGTGAAGGAGTGGGGGCCCATGGACCGGTTCGACGACGAGGTCGACGATTCGACGGCGAAAAGTGGCAACAGCAAGCTCGGCGAGTTGGTCCTCAAGTGGTTAAAGGACGATTTGGCCGAGAGGGGTCCGCGAGGACACGGAGTCGTCGGAGGAGGAGGGGGAGGGCAGGCAAAGACGTACGAGAGTTTCGAGGGCAAGGCTGGCTATGGGCTCGAGAAGACGCCGGAACTTTGACATGATTGTGACGATGGGAATGGGGACAGGGACAGGGACAGGGACAGGGACATGGATGCGTGTGTGGCATCATCCCTACTGTCCTGGAGGTATTTTGTGTTTGTCCTGTTCGTTCTACACGAGAAACTCTGAACGGCGATACCCCCGTGGAAGACCCCGGGGGGAGTCTGAGTCCGAGTCTGATCTTCAACAAGATCACCCATTTGAGCATTGAGCACTGAGCATTGGGGCATTGAGCGAGCGCATCTACGCATCTACTACACACTGCATTTTTCGCTAGGCGCCGGAAAAGAGTGAAGAGGGAAGAGTGAAGAGGGAAGACGGGAAGAGGGAAGAATTTGGTCTTAACACCATGTATGTCTTACATCTACATCTACTCGGTACATCTACATATATCTACAGAGAACTTACAAGGAGAAAAAAGTGAAAAGTGCGAGGGTGTGAGTTTAGTTTGAGTTGGTGTGACCACGAGGCTGGTTCTTTGGGATCCACTACCTAGGTATTCTATATCCAACTCTGTGCCTCTCTTGTTCGGTCGATGCGATCAAGAAGATGGGAAGGAGGTACGAGTCATCTAAACCCTCCAGAGTCCAGATATTCGTGATATCATTCCTCGGTCACCCTCCGTCCCAGCTAGGCAAGCCAGGTCAGGTCAGGTCAGGTCAAATTCCAGGGGTTTCGTGGAGAATGGAGGCTGAATGAGTGGATGAGAAAAGGACAGACAGGCAAGACCCTTCTGGGCCAGTCGTTCTCCTCAGTCTCCTCAGTCTTACTCGTGGTACGAGGTAGGGTTGTTTCGTTGGACATGAATACGAAACAGGGGAAGGTCGGGCGGAGAAAACCAGTCCTTGGACAAGGCGTAAGGCTGAGAAGCATCGTCGAGTCTCGTGCTTCCGCACTTTGGTTCGTGTCAAGCGCCTTCGCCCTGCGATGTAGTCGTCAATGGCTATATCCGGGCCCTGGTATGTACGGCTAAACGTGGTGAAGCTGTGTGGGATGAATCCCCTCGTCTGCTCTCCAAAGGCGCGTGGTCAATGTGCCCGCCATGCCAGGTCATCAGAACAGCTCCTATTCCTGCGGACAAGCATGCTCCACGTCGACGTGTTGCTCCATGGGGGCACAATGTGCAAGCGAAGCGGCGCTCAGCTGATCACAAAACAATGAAACATGCAAGGCATCTTCTAGATGGTGAATAGCTCATCTGCCCATGCCCACGACGTCTATGCTCAGAATACGTACTGAGCCATCAGCCGAAGCCACGGCTAACAATTGGTGACTCTGACCATCACCGTCGAGTCCTCTAGGCTGCCACGCCAGCCGGTTCACCGTCTTTGACGGACAGAGGTGTCTGGGAACCTCGACCGTGTGCAACAACCCCAGGTCGCCGTCCACGTCGATTCTATGTAGTGAAATGGTGCCGTCGTCTTCGCCCACCGCGAGGACTCCGCGCGGGCCGTCAGCACAGACGGTAGATGTGGCAGCAATAGCGGTGACGGGGCCTTTTCGCGCGATCGAGGAGCGCATTGAAAAGTTTGTCTCGTCCTCCTGGTCGGCAGCTCTTGACCACACCTTGACGAGTTTGTCGCGGCCGGCGGTGGCAAAACTTGGAGTTTTCGTGCCGCCCACGAGCCATGTGGCGTCCAGAATCATCCGCGAATGTGCTTTGGCGTTGATGGCGACGCGGGCCCAGCTCTTTGAGGTCCCGTCCGCCCGCTTGAATACGGCCCATTGTCGATCCCGTCCCACACTGAGCAGATACTCTGGGTTCTGTGGTGAGAAGGCAAGTCTCGTGACGGTGAGCGAGTGCGCCGACAGAGGCGGCTTGATCTCGTTCCAGTCCTGTGTGTCGTAGAGGCGGATCACGGCGTGGTCAAGGGAGCTCGCTCTGCACGCGGTGGCGAGGACACTGCCGTCTGGGGGTGTCGCTGCCTCGGAGATTTCTGAGCCGTGGCCGTACAGTTTCTCGTGCTCGGGCCACAGGGTGTGCCGCGCCAGCAGGTCTTCCGTGGGTGGTTCTTGGATCTCGAGCAGGGAAGACCCTGCCCCGTTCGACATGGCGTTTGGATCAGTCGTCTCGTTCTCAGCGCCATCGCCGGTTTCCTCGCTGTCGTCCATGGCCTTGTTCGAGAGACCCAGCACAGGGATCGCCGCGGTGTCCGGCATTTGGCCTACTTCCGGAGGCAACGGGATCTGACATAGTCGATGGAGCATGTTTGCGATATCTTTTGGTTCGTTGAACACGCGCAACAGCTTTTCATCCGCACCTGAAGAGAACTGATACGGGGTCGTGCTCGCGATGCAGTTCAGGTCGTACCCGTGGATCTGAGGCCGCGAGAACTCGTGCCAGCTCCGTTTCTCCCCTCTCTTCCACTCCGCATGCAACCTGGTGGTCTGATCGGAACTGGTGGAGAGCAGGTAGGTTCCGTCGGGGGACCAGCAGATCCCGTTGACGGAGTTGGTGTGTCCACTGACGCCGAACCTTTGCGTCCAGAACTGTGATGCCTCGTCGTACTGCCACAGTCGCCAGCTGCCTGTGCGGCCGAGACAAGTGACAGTCTTGCCATCAGGTCCCCAAAGTCCTGTCCAGAAGCCGCCAGCAGAGCCGGTCGCAGTCGTGGCGCCCTTTGCCACACTGATCTCTCCCAGACGAGACATGCTGATCCATATCCCCGACGACGGGTCTGGCTCCCATATAGAAAGAGATCCGTCGGCCGATGCGGTCAGGAGTTGGGTACCGGTAGGACTCCACGCGGCTGAGTAGATCCAATCTTCGTGGCCCAGAAGTAATGCCTCGAACGTGATAGAATATTTGTGTTCTCCGGCAGACACGGTCTGGATCTTTGCCGACAAGGTCCTGTTTGCGACCGCGACCCCGTTCTGCCCGGCGAGTGGTTTTGTCGCGCTGCTTCCTCCTAGCTGAAAGCGCCAAAGACGGACATATTTGTCCTGGCTTGCAGAAGCCAGCAGGATATCGCCGTCGGGAGTCTGTGTCAGTGCCAGAGATCGCACCCAAGCTTCGTGTCCGGTGAGAGTGGCGTGGAGATGGAACTTCGGGGCGGCTGACAGGCCCTCAATGGCGTACACTTGGATATCATTCCGAGTGCCTCCCACGACCAAGTAGGCGTGGTCAGGAGGAGACGTGGATGGAAAAGTACGGACTGCGAGAGCCAAGGCGATGAATCTCGGTTTGAGGGACAGCGTGGCCGAGGCTTTGATTTCGGTGTCCCGAACTTTCCAGAGCTTTACTTTCGCGTCGGCCCCTCCGGTCGCCAGGACGCTGCCCCGACCCAAGGAGGCGATGGTGTTGACGGCGCCTTCATGCGCTGCCGTCTTCACCAGACACCTCCACTTCCGGTCACTGGCCTCCTGTCTCCACACGGCGATTTCTCCATTTGCACTACCAGAGACCAACAGTTCAGGCGAGCCGTCTTGGTCGGGAGCCAGAAATCTCACCGCCGTCACCTTCCCCGTGTGCCCGGAGAGCAGGGCGGATATGCCGTGGCCAGAGTCATTCTGCGGCGACCACACACCCACATTCTGGTCGGCTCCGAAGGCGAGGGTGCCCGAGCTGGCGGACCAGTCGGCCGCTGCGCTGTGTCTGTTCCCGCCGGCGCTGAGGTACTCGTCTTGAACGAGAGGAGGAGACATTACACCCAGAGAAATAAAACTGGAGGGAGTGAGTGAGCGGGAAAATTGAGGCCGTTTGATGCGACCAATGAGGACAGGAGTTTAGCCCTGCGAGCCGAGCTGGGACATAGAGTAACTTCCTCTGTGCGCCTCATGCGCCCCTGTCAATCTAGTTGATATTTCTTTGCAATTGCAGTGGACTAGGCGATATGTACGAACCCAAGTAAAATTTCTGTTTCTTGCTAGTGGTTGCGGCCGCCAAGCTACTAGCGTAGCGCTACATATTGATATCTCTTATGTCAAGATGCGCTATAATAGTATAAGCCTTTTAGCTTAACCTTATTCCTGGTATGGAGCCCGATATTTACATCTATACAAAATACACATAGAGCCTTGGTATACAACACATACAGATGGATGGAACCCTGTCACAGACGAGCAACGAGACTTTCCTATTCTGTAGAAACGTCCTCACCAGTCACGGATAAGTTCTCCCCATTCTGCGACCTTGAGAACTCAACCACATGGCCATACCAGTTCCTTGTCAATCCATTGAAAGATGAGCGAGAAACTCCTGCCCGTTTTGGTCCCACCTTGCGCCTCGAAAAGATACCCGCACAGGTGTCCGATGTTGAGAACCGCAATTCGCAATGCCAGCCAACTCCGACACAGAGAAATGACGGAAATCCGCTCAGTATTCGTTCAAGGGCACCGCAAATCCATCGTCATTTCCAGTCGAAAGCACTTTCCCCGGATGCCACACATTCATGACCACCAAGGCAAAGACCATCGGTATGCCGTCAAAGACATACTCGCACCACTCGTGGTTGTTGATGTACGTGTTCAGGCTGCTGCCTTCGCCGGAAGAGAACTCGACGATGCGGTAGACGATGCGGTACTGTGCAGGAATCTCAGTCTCCAAACCAGACAAATTTTCCAGAGAGCATTTGACGAATACATACGGTGATCAAGAGCAAGGAGATCTGCACGGCATAGACTCGCATTTTGGCTTCCTTGGACGTCTGGCCGCGAGGCATGACCCAGTCAAGCTTCCGCGTCAGTCGCACGGTCAGAGCAAAGAAGAAGACGATCAGTGCCTCTTGAAACACCACCCCAAACGTCACAATGTGAATCCCCGTCTTGGCCGAGTTTGGTGTCTTGCTCAGGGTCAAAAGGCCGCCACCGATCTGGATTATGAATGATCTGCATTGCAACGTCAGCGAGGGGCAATCGATCTCGCAATCAGGAAAGCTCCAGACATTATATCACAACAGACAAAGATCTTTCCCATGATGTTGCCCCCCAGCCCAAAGACCTTGGTCTTGCGCAGAAAACACCGGACCAGCCGCGAGATGATCATGTAGTCAAAGGCGTTGACAAAGATCGGGGCCAGAAGGTTCAGGAGGAAAGACGCATCATACGCTCCTTTCTGGGTGGGATGTTTGGCCGACAGGAACCGGAAGGCAAAGGCTGCCGTCTCCATAAAGGCACCGATGACGACGACAAGACAAAAGAGTTGTCGGTGGCGAATAGCCTGGTATGTGTGGACGACGGTGGTGCCCAGGAAGAGGATCGCGAGGATCAATGCTGCAGCGGCGGAGGGGCAGTATGGCCACAGGTTCGAAGGGTCATCGAGGGCTAAAGAAGCGTTCGTTTTTCAGCCAAATTTGCACAATTGACGAGAGACGGGTCGATCAGCACTTACGGAGACATTTCGACGATGGCATTGTAGAAGGACAACCTGTGCTTCGAGAGTCAGGGAGGTGGGAAGGTGTAGTCGGTCGGTAGATCGGCAAAGAGACAAGCTTTTTGTTCAATGTCTATTATCCAGAATCAAAGACGAGCTCCATGGTTCTCGGCGTCGACAGATCTCTTTAAGAGGAGAGTGTTTCCCCTTCTGCCTGTCCTGAGACACAATTCCATCCATAAACCGGGCCATCTGAAGGAACGACACCACCGCCGAACTACTCCCCCCAAACAGCCAGCGATTCGGCGACAAGCCACTGATAACAGCTGAACCAAACCCCTGTGCCCCGTCAGGAAGTATGCCTTACACCGCATCAAGTCCCGTCCTGCAAGCCCAGGTCCCAAGTCACAGCACGCGCGCTTGTGGGAGGCTGTGCAAGATGGGGAAATAAAAAGAGGAGAATAGCGCCCGTTCAGGTATTCCTTTCGAAATCAGCCTCTCTCGAGTGTTTTATGCTCGCCAGTGCAAAGAGAAACGGGACAAGGCGATTGGGCCGGTAAATGCAAGGGGAGGAGCATCGTCGACGTCGAGTAAGCAAACAATTCATTACTCGCGACGCATTCCCGCTTTGGGTCGTTGCCGCCAGCTAATAAGTGACAAGGCCTGGCCGCTTTTTATGCCGAACATGGCCCATTCCGCGATGGGAGGGTCCAGTTCGGTACGATCAGGGGTAGCGGCTATCATGGGTGGCTCCGTTTTCGGTCGGCTAGTACTGTGGCAGTGCATCTCTCAATAATATCTAACAGAGGTTCGGTATTGGGGCTTGTCTTGCAAATATGTCTGCTTCTGCCTTCCCACCGGAATAGTCCAGAGCTCCCCTAAAGTGCCGAACTTGGTCGCAACGAGATTGTTTCCTCGGCGATCTTTGAATGAGTTGCCTTGTGGGTGATCCAAAGGCCGCCAGCTCCCTCCGAGCTCCCTCCAAAATGCCAATGCTTCAGGTCTGCCGTCTTGACTTGTACGGCGCGTGGTCGGTGAGATTCCCTCACAGCCTGTGCCATCCACTCGAAATTTCCGGTCGGAGTATTCTCTTGGATCCACCTTGCGTCTTCGACATTCATGCGACCGCTCAGGACTTTCAACCTGATGACCATTCCGAGCCAAAATAAGAGCAGGAAAGCTAAGAGAAGCAGTGTAAGGCCGGAGAGCATGAGGAGTTCCCATAGGATGTGCGTGCGTTGCGTCAGGCACCCTTGTGTTTCTGATGAGTGCGCGGTGTTGAGGAGGTAGTTGTCGCCCCCTGCAACCATGGTCATTGAGTTGAGAGTCTGTTCCAGGATCCCTCCAGTGTTGTTGGATGCAGGCGTGCCCGTGCCCTCGTATACCGAGCCTTGGAACATTTCGGCCCAGTTCTTGAGAGTGTCATGGGAATGTATCATTTCCTGGATTGGTTGTAGGTAACCGTAGGTATCATCTAGAGTGCATTGGTAACTTTGCATGTGCTTCGTCACGTTACCATATGGAGTGATATCGACCGAGAACCGTACGTCGAAGACTGTGCCAACATTCTCTCCAACAGACGTATCAAGCACCACTAAGTGGGATATGTTTCCGATCGAGGCGGAGACGGCATACGGAGTGTCGTACAGGAGATCATGTTGCTGTAGACTGGTCACTATGTCGTTGACCGATACGTCCCAGGGATAATCCAGCTCAAGCGAATTCCTGTCGCAGTGCCATCCGCCAAGCAAGTCATTGGCATCGGCACTGAAGTTAATGTCTCGATTTGCCTTTTTGTAGACTCCTTTCAGGCCGTCGTTGATCAGACTCGTCGTTTGCGCTTGGGATACGACCGTATACGGCGCACCATTCCACGGCACCAGTTCAATGAGGGCACTCGAGACCACTAGACCGGTGCCGAACTGACAACGGTCGTGGACAGGTACCGACTTGATGAGAGCTGAAGTAAAATCCGAGCTCAGGTTCAAGAGGTAAGCAAAGATCATCAGCAAGCTCAGCCATCCGCCTGGCAGTGTCTTGACCACACGCAAAGCATACAAAGAGTCGAAGCTTCCAAGCCAAGAAGTCATGTACGGCAGTGGAACCGTCCGCCGCTGGAGGAGTCTGAGTTTCGCGCGGGCGGCCAGACATTTGGTCCCCAGAAGGTTAATGAGGATAAATGCAACAACGAAGAAGATACGGAAGAATAGTCGAACATCAGAGCTCGAATAATTGAGAAGAATCCTTGCCATGTCGACCGTAAGCCTCGGATTGTTTGGATAGGAAGAGGAGCCTGACTGAAAACAATCGTTAGCGAAGAAGGCGAGTGCATCGTATTTCTAGGTGGCCGGCATGATTCCACGGAGGCACTGCCGACATAACTCTGTTAGGGCTGCATAAAACTGACCAGTATTGTCGTGGAAATTCCAGAGTCCGTCAAAAGTCCCTCCCGTGTCTGGACCGAATGTGGCTTGCTGAGTCTTTGTTCTGGGCTGTTTTTAGCGAGAAAATCGACCGATTCGGCGACGTAGCCTTGTGTTCGGCAAGGCTAATTGGCGTGTGACAACCTACCATTAGTACCAATCTGGCCACGGCTTGCAGGCGATCCAATCTAGTCGGCCACGCCGTCTGTCTCTGTGAGTACAGTTTTTCATGGGTGTCAAGGGGTTGCGCGAATCTGCACCCGATGTGGTTCTGGCCCTTTGCGATAGTCTGCCCTCGCGTGGAACAAAAGTGCCGAGTTCGAGTATAAATCTTGGAACCGTCTCGCTGTGTCGCGCGTGTTTCAGCCTGATCTTGGATGTGACCAAACTCTCGCCGCGGCTTCTCTTGCAAATCTAACCATGGCTTTTGCTCTCAAGTCGAGCGCTGTTTTGAGCAGCCTTGCAGGTGTTGTTGTCGCCCATGCGAATGTCTTCCATGCCCGACAAGATGTGCAGACCACATCGGACCTTTCGTATTCAGCGTTGTATTCGTCCTGCACGAACTATGCGGCCACATGCCCCCCTATCGTGAGCTGTGAGTGCATCATGTCACTCCTTTGCAAAGACACCCCTCGGGGACTGACTGTCACATAGCCTGCGTCGGCAACTTCTGCGCCTCCTGTGCTTCCCTAGGAGGTAGCGCGTTCATCTCATGTTGCGATCAAACCACGGCGGCCGATTGCTTCTCGTCGCTGTTGTTTGCTACCACGACGACCACCGACGATAACACTTCTTCAAGAGCCGGGACGGGGTCAATCACAGGCACAGCATCAATGCCCGTCGACTCGTACTCGGCCAGTTGTTTGCAGGTCTTTTCCTTAATTGAGTCATGTGCTGCTGCGACTTCTGGTTTCACTTCCTTGGATGATGGTGATCAAGCCAGTTGCCTCTGTTACTCCGGCTCAGCCTATAACCCAGGCCCATTCGACCAGCTCCAGAGCGCATGCATTACCTACGCATCCACTGCGGATCCAAGCGGTCTTTCCGTATATCAGGCGGCGGCGGGGCTCTGCACTCGGGTCGGGGATGTGAGGAGCGCAACAGCAACCATCAGCATCACGGAGCCGCCAGCCCCAGCCCCTACCACGTCTATCCCTGTGGCTACTCACACACTGTCTTCACTTACCTCAAGTACTGCAACAACCTCAATCCCCGTGGCAAGTGGGGCTTCTTCCAGACAAAATGTGAGTACTTCTTCCGAGGGATATGCATCTTCTAACCAAAGGTTCAGGTTCCTGCGGGTTGGCTCTTGCTCCAATTACTTTGGTTGTTCTGAATCTCTTCCAAGCGTACAGCTGTTGGAGCCTACTCGAACGAACAGCTCGGTGCCTTAGGCCGGATGAAATTGGCTTATACTCCATTGACAGTGCAGCGGATGGAATGAGAGAACGGATGGTACATCATATGGTGGCGATCTCGCGATGTTTAACAGCAGACGAAGGAAGAGACCTTGTTCCCAATGACCAGGAAGGCAGTTTACATGCCCACGCATGCCTTGACGTTTGAAAAAGCCATAAGCGAGTACGGGTGCCGAGAAGTACCAAGTAATTAAAATGAGATGCTTCGAGTCTAAAATCGGATCCCGAACCTGACGACGCCAATGTCTGCCACGTGATGAGAAACGTCCCTAACGTCAAAATAGGGACTAGCTTGCTAATCCCCGGAAAATCTATATTCCGCCAAACGGCCCTGGCGATTCGGAAAATCCAAGTCGCTGCGCTGTTCTCCAGTCACTCAGTATCCATTATCCAGAGTCCAGGATATCCTCATTCGCAGCCCTTCTAACAAGCATCGCATCTGTACATCTCGTCGTCACAGAATGTCCGAAACCATCGATATCACAGTCGAGTTCACGTGGGTCGAGCTTCCCCCCCCCTTGTTGATCGCTCACTGATGGAGCCCAAGTGGTGGCCTAGAGATGCTCTTTGATAATGTGTCAAAACACTCCTTGTCGCTTGCCAAAGACGCTGATGACGGGAAACCCCCTACTGTCGGATACCTGGTCAAGTACCTTTGCAGTAATCTGATGAAAGACTCGAGAAAAGAGCTGTTTGTCCTCGACGGCAATGTGTATGTGTGAGAGTCCCGTCGATACTGGAACCACAGCGCTGATACGGCCCACTGGAAGTCGACCAGGGATTCTCGTCTTGATCAATGACTCTGATTGGGAACTCGAGGGCGAGGACAAATACGAACTCGCCAACAAAGATACTATACTCTTCGTTTCTACCCTCCACGGAGGCTGACCAGTGGACCCGATCACTATACAACAGCCCACACTGTTGAACTTATGTCATATCGCATAGATGATACCTTACGTCGAACACATGGCCGCACAACTCTCGCAGCTTCCGCTCCGAATCGTCTCGTGGCAGTCCCCACCACATCACACCACATCGTGCATCCTCACCGAGAGATTCTCAGAGTCTTCTGGTGTCTTGTACCCAGAGGCTGGTTCTGGAGTACTTCTCCCAGTCCTCGGACTAGCGAGGCCACTGCCCAGGCCTGGGATCGGGGTGGCGAATCCGCTGGGTGGCGCGGGCGCCTTGATGCCTTCCGGCGAGGCAGGAATGATCTCGGGTGGAAGGTTCGCAATTTTTATCCGCTTTGCTTCATTGTTGTAACTGGCGGGGATAATCTGCACGGATATCAGTGTTGGTTTCAAGATTCTAGTGTTCAGAAATCACCTCGATTATCTCGTCTCGTGGGAACGAGAGGAAGGGTATGTCTGGAGCATTACATGCCATCAGATACCCGTAAAGCACACGGAGGACGCTTTCGTGTGCAATGATGAGAAGGTCGTTCTGCTCCCTTTCCAACTCAAGAATGATGGGCTCCAGCCGAACTGCAACATCGTGGTAAGACTGTTATTGTCAGCGCAACCCAGTGCATCGAGACCAAATCGTCCCTCACCTCTGCTCTAGGGAATCTGTGGTGGTATGGGTCCAGATCGTGCTTCACCACCTCTTCCGGATATTCCTGGCGAATCCTACGCTCTGATTTCTTTTCGCACACGCCAGGGTTAAGCTGGCTCATCTGGGACCTTTGCCTCACTTTGAACCCTTTGTCTTGTAGGTATGCTGCAGTTTCCACTGTCCTGCGTCTCGTAGAAGTCCAAACGATGAGTGGTTTCAGCGGTGTGTCAATCCCTCCCTTCTCAATCAAGGCCCGTCTCTCCTCTTCTCGATGCTTGAGCAACGTCTCACTCATTTTCTTGGCGTAATCCTTACCCTGGGGTGAAAGCCGCGCATCAGCTTTGAAGGATTCCTCTTCCAAGGTGGTGCCCGCACGAGCAAAATAGGTATGTCGAGATTTGATGTGGAGGTTCAACAGATAGAACACAATCCGATGTGACAAGTAACCGAAGCTCGTGTTATTGACCACTAGTCTCTCCCCCGCGTTGATCATCTTGATCCAGTCGAGGTCCGGCTCCTCCATGGTCTCGAAGTGCGGAATCTTTGCAGTTACTCGGTTCAGATAATGTTTGACTGCTTCGGCCTCGGGCCAACCTATGTAGTCGGGTGAGGAAATTTTGACACTGCGGACGTTCTCTTCGATGATGCGCTGGTCGTCGCAGCTTGACTCAATAAACAGACACTTGATATTGTGTTTCGCGAATTCTTTGGCCAGTGACCTGCGACCAGCAGACAGGGGGTTGACTGCGTCATAGATGGCAATCTGACCGTTTTCATGGTTGAGGAAGTGGTAAATATCCTCTCTGCACTTCTTGAGGATCTTCTGCCTCAGCAGCACCGACGACGCCGATGCGTTGACGAAGAAATAATCATCTGGGACATCCTTTCCTTGACCTACAATAGCTCTGCGATAGTCTCCCAGGTGAAAGATCCGGGTTTTAACACCCAGCCATCGTAAATAGCGAGCCAGTGCCACCGAGATGTGAGTCTTGCCGCGAGCCGGCAGCCCTACTGTAGTAATGGCAATCCGACCAGCATGGAACAGTCGTCCGGACTCGGTGCTGTAGAGCTGGGCGGGAGCGAGTTCGCTCTTTTCTGGGAGATCATGTATTGCGTCGACAAATGTGCTCGACTTGCGTCGGTAGCGAGGTGAATTGACCGCCGATTCGGCGGTTAACAGAGTATCCATGATGAACAGTGAGGGCTCGCTAAAGAGTCCCAAGTAGGATGATAAGTCACAAAAGCCAGGTCTGAGTTATGAAGAGTCGCGCACGGTCCTGCGGATGTCTCTGATCTCGTTTAATGCTCGGTCCCAGATCGGGTGTGTTCCTTGACAACCTGCCAGCTGGAAACGCGGAATGCCTTCTCGTTGTTTCTACACATCCATAGTCAGATACAAGCCAGATACTTTCATGAATGTCGATGTCCGATCTAATAAGCCGTTTCGAAAAGGATGAATGAATGACTGTCCATGGAACTGCGCAACGAAAGCAAACCGGGTCGGTGATAAGGCAAGAAGAAATATGGCGTGGAGGTCCGAGGTTGTTGCCGTCCGACGATAGCTTTCTCCACATTGCCTCTCATTGGCTGAACAGATTAAAGCAGCAGCTAATCTGAAGTCCTCGCGACGCCGCTTTCCCATTGGCTGATGACTTCCCTTGGCACGGGTTGCCTGCGGTGGACTTGCCTAGTACGGAGTTACAGGCCAATTCTTCATAGATTTCCCTGCGCCTGCAAAAGTCGAAGCTCCAACAGACACCAGATCAGCGCAGTCACGAGAGCATCTTCTGCCCTTCACAATCTTCCTCCTCCCCTTCCTCCATAACCTGATCGATATTCCCGTCCTCTCCCTCCTGGTTTTCGCAAAATCAGACGGTTGCTAGTGCGTGCCGAGGTGCTGCACTTCGATCCTGAAAGATGGCGGTCGTGGTCGAGGAGAAATCATCATCGACATCTGTCTTGTCGTTCCTGACAGACAATGCCATCGCCGCAACCATTGCAGACTCTTACTCCGGTCTTTCGGCTAGGAGGAAGTTGTTAGGCCTTGAGAATCCCGGAACAGTCGACAATATCTCGCGCGAAGTCCAAAAGGATGTTCTCCTGTCTAACTTCATGTTCTCCGGCTTGCGCTGTGACTTGCAAAAGGTCTTCAGCATAAACCCTCTGTTTCGCCTACAACATGGCTTCGCCATGGGCTCCCAAGCTCTACCGCCCTGGCAACTAATGGCGTTGTATGGCAACTCTGATGTAAGTCTTCCTTTGCCATTCGGCTGACGATAATGAACCATGAACCTCGACTTACCGGTTTCAATAGGTTTTCATGCAAGCTGCTTACTCGAGCGACCGGTCTTTGACGGCCTGGGGAAACCTTAGATGGTCTCCACGATTCGTCACCAAGACGCAGACTTCCATTGATCCGCGACAATCCCAGACCATGGTACAAATCGAGAACGAGTATACGGGTAGCGACTTTTCGGCGTCAGTCAAGGCCCTCAGTCCATCAATCATGGAAGGCGGTGTCACGGGTATTTTCATTGGAAGCTACCTGCAATCAATCACACCAAAGCTTGCACTGGGACTTGAGGGTGTATGGCAACGACCCGCCTTGAACAGCAAGCCTGAGACTGCGTTGTCATACTGCGCAAGATACAAGAGCACCGACTGGATTGCTAGCGCACAATGGCTGAGCCAAGGCTCGTTGGGAGCTACATACTGGAGACGGTTGACCGACAAGGTCGAGGCAGGTGTTGATTGCCAACTACAATTTGCCCCTGGTTTCGGAGCCGGCATGTTTGGGGGACCGCGACGAGAAGGAACGACAACCGTGGGCCTCAAATACAGTTTCACTAACTCGGTCTACCGCGCGCAAGTCGACAGCACTGGCAAGTTTGGTGTGGTACTGGAGAGGCGTGTTGCACCTCCGGTAACATTGACCTTTGCCGCAGAGATCGACCAGTGGAAGGTGAGTTTGAACCAATATTCCATGAGCCAATCCCCAATCCCTTGCAAGACCCATGCTGATGTTCTTTCAGAACACCCACAAGCTAGGTGTGGCTGTCTCACTGGAAGGTGCTCCAGAAGAACTGCAAGAGGTCATGGAGCGCCCAGAGAACCAGAACGCAATCCCACCGCCAATTTAGCGCATGCGCGTGGTATAACTTCAACAACCTTCGACGATGTTTTACTACCTCTCCTCTTCACTCTCAAGCACACGTGCCCTTGACAATGCCGGAGCACAAAATGGGTCTCATACATTGGCGCAGTGAGCAGCTCACGGAGGCACATCCAAGAACTCTCCACAACCACCAGACCTTGTCTGCGGCCGGTCACTCTACGAGGTCGTGATCCTCCTCCATTGTTCAAGGGACAAAAGAGGAGTGTTCTACCTGTTCACTTTTCTCTATGTATCTGTATGTACGGGCAGAAAGACCATGACGAAGTTGGTGGGCGAGACGTGTTTGGTCTAGGATGGCCACCCTCGCCGCATGAGATTCGACCACGACATCTATCGATACTGCATAATAGAAGAAAAAGGGGGCCCTGTATCAATAAAACCAGATGCTGGAGTTTTTGACTGCTTTAAAAAGTAGCCCCTGCCCAATAACCCAAAACCCGCCTGTTTGTACATTGGCAGATGTTAATCACTTCCATAGGCTTCTACAGGTGTGGCCAACAGCGGTTCGATGACTCTCCTTGACCGTGCATTTTGCCTTCGACTTCTGCCGTCAGTGCCCAGCCTTACCTTGGTGCCTGTAGTTTGATGCCTGTCTCGATAACATCCTTGCCGCGGGGTTTGGAGTCCCGCAAGTTCTGGTAACCCGTCGTCGCGAGAAACAGAGGGAGACTGATTCCAGGCAAAGGGAATCTGGGGGAGAAATTCTCGATTCAGCTGGTAGCCAAATGCAGCCTCTGTCCCAGGCTGGACAGCACCAGCGCTCAAAGCAGAAGATGACAGCAGCAGCCAGACGAATCAAGGAACGGAAGGGGAGGGAAGGAGATATATACAGACCGCCTTTCTCACCTCCGACAAGGCAGGACGGCTTAGCGAGACGATTGTCATCCGTGAGGCGTCTTCGACACAGCCTGATGGATGCGATACCGGGGGTGGTAGTCTGACCCCTGGTACCAGCACACCCTTCAGGTATTCGTGCAGGACAGGCTTGTGTCCGAGCCGTAAAATGCGAGGGCATGTTGTCTGAATAATTCACGCCAATCTAGAGTAATGCCAATACATTGACGTGAATTGTTTTGGTGTTTTGGGAAAGAAGGTGGGAGGTGGAAACAAGGGATGGGACAGACCCGGGTAAAGGATCCCTGTATTGGGCGAGTCCAGAAGGGACAAGCGGGCCGTCCACATATTTTGACCCTTGATGGAGGATGGAGTCATCCTTTTCCGAAGTCCAACTCACGCGGTAGTTGGTTGATGCAGCTGTGTGGGAACGGCGAATGACTGACGCATTCAAGTGTACGCGGTAGACGAGGTTGCATGCATTGGCTGGCCAGAACAGGGCCGACGTCTGCCTCGTCCACAATTGCGCTCGTGCATGTTGCGCTAACCATAGTAGGGAGGACTGTATGTTCCCACTGGTGTGGATGACGCCCCTTGCCTCAGTAGTCTTCAACAATTCTTGCTGCAGTTCATGCTCGACTTGAATAGGAGGGCAGGGATGTGAGTGATGATGCATCGGGGGAGATGAGTGACTCGTATGCCTGGGCTAGAACAAAAGCGGTTGGGAACTCTGGGTCAAAGCTGAAGAGATGCGACATCTTTCTTGGGGGACTTAGGGTCCTATCATCCGAGCTGTTGAACCCTGTTGGGCACGTTTGACATTCGATAGCCTTGTATAATCGTAGGAAGGAAGAACAAGGTACGAGGTACTAGTACCCCATTCAATGGTGGTCCACTCAGGCTGAACGAAGTTCGAGGGGGTTTACTCGTAGACGGAATTGAATCTGCAAAGGTTGAACGGACGAACCACACGGATGTCGGTACAACCTCATGTTTACCCGCATTAAGTTTAGACGAATCTGCAAGGGTGAAGAGAGTGAGGCGAGCTGCGGGTGACAGCTGAGGTGCACGAAGGGCACTTGTGAGTCGTGAGACGGGTAAGTGTGACCGAAAAACGATTCAACCCTTCGAAGAAGAATCCTGTAACGAGTACGAGGCATGGCGGTAAAGCTCTTGAGCTGTTCAGCCTTCCTGCTGTATTGGTTTGGTTCGAATGGATACGATCAAATCTTGGTGATAGTGGCCTCGTAGCACAGCAGGCCTGTTAGCTGCGTAGAGGCAAAGCAATTTTGTTCATGCACATCATCCGTGGGTAAGTGGACGCAGAGAGTCAGGAGCTGGTGTCATGATTAGTCTGTCCGGATCCCAGATCGACAAAGGGATCATGTGTGCAACACCAACCTTTCCCGTCTTGCAATAGGAAAAGGGGGGGATGCTGGATGGTAAATGCGGCTGAGCATGTGAGTGGGTAGATTTTCATGGTACGCCTTGGTCAGCCCGACTGCTCTCCTTGTATTCTTTGGCTCGCATCGAAAGTTTTTTGACTGTCTCGTGCTTTTGTTTCGAATGCTGATCTTGCGCCAGGTGCCTGTTGGTGGTTTCAGAGTTGACCTTGAACAGCCCATCGTGGTGGTGGCAAGGCTCGGACCTGAGCGAGCGCGCTGATATTATTGTTTAATCTCACCAGACATTTTTGTTCCCTCGCGCGGCCACCACATTCCCGCGCCATGGGGTCATGGTGCTTCTGATCTCCTTTGCTAGCGACAGTTATTCGCGCCGACCAAGGACATTGGGTTGTTTTGGATTTTCTGGGAATTGACACAAAGCATGAGGAACAATTTTCCATATTCCCCAAAAAGTCAAAGACGGTGGTATGGGCTCCTGTCTCCATGGACGAAAAGATCGGTTCCAGTCTCGCATTGCTGGCTTGAATACCGCACTTGGTCCTGGAAGGCAAGGTCCCCTTTTTTCCCTTTAAAGTTCCGGAATGCTCTAAGCGTATGCTGAATGACGTTTTGGCATGTGTGCCCGTAGCAAATTAGTCCTTGGCCCGGGATCAACCATGCTGATAGGACAGGTCTGTCGAGTGCGAGCCGTTGCACCCATGTTGTCCGCAAGCCTGGTAGATTACCTGGCCCGTGCCATGCCTGCTGCTCTGTCAGGTCTCCCTCGAGCTTCTCTATGAGTACGATGAATTGCAGGTGGTCAATTTGTGGGATCTGGCAGGACGGCAAGAAGAGCCGTGGCTTTGATCGTGCATTCGATGCAGGGCGCGGTAACACCGAACTAGCATGAAAAAAACCATGTTGTGTCACCCTGAAGAGAGAGAATCTGGGCCGCAAGAAGGTAGGCGCCGGCGAGGACGGGTGGTGAGACCAACAAAGTCATGGATCAACAGGCGAGAACGGTGATTCATTGGCCGTGTCGCCGGAGGGGAGTGACCAGACAACCTGTAAGAGCACGTGGAGAGAGGTCGAGAGAGGGGGGCGTGTTTTTGCCCAACTTCCGTGGCAAGCTGTTTGAGAATGGTTACTGACAGCACTTGGCCTTTCACAAGAAGCTGGGTATGTGTGGCTGGTCAATGCTGCTCTCAGGTCCAGGGCCGGGGGGTGGCTTGCTCGCAAACAATAACTTGGAGCTTAGCTGGAGGGGCAAGTCGACGGCAGCCCGGGGGGAGTCGAGTGGATCTGGATTCCTTGCGGGCGAGCCTAACAGGCGATTTGGTGCGAGGTGAATGGGCCCCCAGTTAGTAGAGGTTAAACGGAGATGGATCCCAGCGTAATGGAGCCATGATGCAGTATAGCTGGCGGTAGGGTGGTGGCAGGGCCTTTGACAAGGGCATCATCTGACCTGCGACCACTTTTTTCCTCGTGCCTTTATTGACTGTCAATGGCTTTTTCTGGGTTCTGATGCCCGCTCTGGGTCTCGCCTATTTCCTCCCAACCTCAGTGCGTCTTTGTGTCGTCGTGCTCTGGTTCCCACTGGCTATGATCCGTTCGAACTCTTGACCCTTTCGACCCCAGTCAGTGGCCAAGGAAATAAAGGCGGAAAGAGGAGAGGGTCCCTCGTGGTCAGCATCATCGGACATGTGACGGAAAAAGTTCTTTGCGGATGATGGGGACGTATGTAACTTGTATTCGTGGAGGGGTGATCTCTGTTGAATCTGATTGTTCCGATACGAATTGAGCCATTGAGCCATTGAGTCAGGGGAGAATATGACAGTGACCTCACCTCTGAGGCTTGGAACAGGAGTTCAAGATTTAACGAGGATGGTTGACAACGCAGCTTTCACCAGCAATAATAGTTTGTGCATGTTGCATGCGTGAGTGAATGGAGGGTTGGATGAATAATTGGCCCCCCCTCCGCTGGTGCCTCTGGCTGCCTGCCCCTCTAGGCCCCTCTAGGTCTCTAACTCGTCTACTCGTAGGTCTTCCTGGCACTGCGCCTGCATCTAAACTCACGCGGCACCTGCACCTTAAGTTAGATGCGCTAAGCTGCCCCAAGTAATAATCCAAACTGCTAGGTACGGCGACCGTGGGCATCCTGAGTCCTTGACTTGTGAACCGCTGGTGAACTTGAACTTAACCAGTTAACGGATTCTTATTATTATTATTCCCTGCGTCGTCTCCTGCGCTGCACTTTCCTCCCCTTCCCTCGACCTCATTTCTGACTGACCCAAAACTGAAATCACCGAAACTGCAAGACTGCAAAAGTTCCCTGATCTTTGAAAGCCCTTCTCCCGCCCCCTTCGAACTTCAACTTCCCCGTCCTTGACCTAAATCCATCCATTTCGTCCTTTTCAACCCACCTATTTTCCTCCTCCCAAGACGCCCTATTTTCCCATCCTTAACCCAACGCTGCGTACGCTCAACCCTCTCCACGGAGGTAACCCTCCTTTCTCTCGATATCCTACGGTAGAGATGCTTCCATCTCACTCCCTTCTTGATCAGCTGGTCTAACCAAACATCTCCAGCAACCCCGGTTTCATCATAGCGGCGCGAGTTTCCACACCTCATTTCGAAAGCCTCACCAACTACGCAAAGTGGGGAAATTAGCGCTTCGTCTGTCAAACCCAACCCAACTCTCCTCCCTCCTCCTCCTCACCTGCATCGCATACCTATCCCTCGTCTTCATCCACCTCGAACCATCTCTTCCTCTCGAGAACTCGATAACGTCTGCCACTGTGGTCATTACCGCTTTGACCTACTTCGAATCCAGGCGCTGTCCGACATTCCTTTTGCTCTCTTTCGCCTCCTCTACGCCGCTCCCTCTTTGCGCCTCTCCTCTTAGGGCTGAGTTTGCTGTCCTTCCACATCCACGACCCCGTCGCCAAGGTGGATTCCAGACACCCTTAGTGCTCGACTATGTCACAAGCAAGGCCTGGTGGAGTGTTCTCTGGTTTGCGCATGGGTGGTACGTCTCCTTGTGTTACTTGACAAAATCACAAACGTAGCAACCTTCTCGAAGCACGTGCGCTGACACATTCTTGCAGAAGTGGTGCGTGAAAAGGTGCAGGATGGCCTCACCGGTGAAACAAGAGAGATGCAATATACCCAGTGCAAGATTGTTGGCAATGGTTCGTTTGGTGTAGTCTTTCAGACGAAGTTGTCGCCCAGCGGAGAGGATGCTGCGATCAAACGGGTGCTTCAAGACAAGCGGTTCAAGGTAAACACACGTTCCCCCGTCCCTGCGTTGTAGTCCAAGTACTAACGGACGCCAGAATCGAGAGCTGCAGATAATGCGGATCGTCCGACACCCCAACATCGTCGAGTTGAAGGCCTTCTATTATTCCAACGGTGAAAGGGTACGAGGGTTGCTCCCATAACTGCACTTTGACGTTTGACTGCGAATTCTAATACAACTTTTGATAACAGAAGGATGAAGTCTACCTCAACTTGGTCCTCGAGTACGTCCCCGAAACCGTCTACAGAGCCTCTCGATTCTTCAACAAGATGAAGACCACCATGCCCATCTTGGAAGTCAAACTCTACATCTATCAGCTGTTCCGTTCGTTGGCCTACATTCATTCTCAAGGGATATGCCATCGAGATATCAAGCCCCAGAATCTCTTGCTCGACCCGACGACTGGAGTGCTCAAGCTGTGCGATTTTGGCAGTGCAAAGATCTTGGTGGAAAATGAGCCCAACGTCTCATACATTTGCTCTCGATATTACCGTGCCCCGGAGCTGATCTTCGGCGCAACGAACTACACAACCAAGATCGGTGCGTAAATGTCTCGGATCGTTGTGGATGTACAAAACCGGTATACTGACTAAAAGCAGATGTCTGGTCCACTGGCTGTGTCATGGCAGAGTTGATGTTGGGTCAACCCTTGTTTCCCGGCGAGTCGGGCATCGATCAACTTGTTGAGATCATCAAAGTGCTCGGCACACCCACCCGAGATCAGATTCGCACCATGAATCCAAACTACATGGAGCACAAGTTCCCTCAAATCAAGCCCCATCCTTTCAACAAAGTCTTCCGAAAAGCGTCTCCCGATGCCATCGAATTGATTTCGGCTCTGTTGGAATACACGCCAACGCAACGATTGTCGGCCATCGATGCGATGTGTCAGCCATTCTTTGACGAATTGCGAGATCCAAATACTCGTCTTCCTGATTCACGCCATGCTGGTGGTGCTTCACGAGACCTTCCACCACTCTTTGATTTCTCTCGGCACGGTTCGTGACCAACCAGGATTTTCCCCTTGATTGTTTTGTATGAGACTAATTGGTCAAACAGAGCTTTCGATTGCACCTCACCTCAACAATAAGCTGGTCCCACCGCATGCGCGAACTCTTCTTGCATCTCGAGGTCTAGATTTGGACAACTTTACTCCCATGACAAAAGACGAGATGATGGCACGACTTGATTGATTTGAGGCTCTGCCAAAATTTGTAACGACATGACGCCGAGGAGGATTTTGTGCGTTGACATGTCCATCATTGCATGCATGTTTCGGTTGGTGACCACTCCAACATGCGACGAGAAACCCCTACGGGTAGCATTCCAGTCATCATGTGTCTACATGGGTATCTTAGCGCAGGAGCAAAGATATCTTGTCACGAAAAAGCAACGGGCTTTTTGCATGCAGGTCAGCAAAATGGGCTGGGCTGGCGGTTCGCTGGTTGACAACCCTACAACAAGGGATGAGTATGAGCTGAGCGTTTTACAAAAAACAAAAAAATTCGGGGACCTCTTCAGGTCTGACTGGGAATGTGTGCTCTACCATGAGGTCCATCATGTCTTGAGCCTTACGAAATGAACTGGGAGGGTTGAAATGAAGGGGCCGGGCGGCTCACACGACTTTGGCAGCTGGCTATTGTGCTCAGAATATGCAACAGGAAGCGTGCAAGCTGTGCGTGCGTATGTTGCTACTACGTCCGCGTACACCTCACGGAAGAAAGGGGAGGCAATGCCTTCTTAGACGATTGGACCACAGAAACTCGAGGGCTGGTTTTGGTCCTCAACATCAGTCTGTAATTTTTCCTCAAAAAGATAGAAATTGTGCTCTAACCCATTACCACCATTTGACCCTGCATCCGCAACCATGCAAAGCTGTTTCAGACAGAAGCCAGACTGCCACACAGCCGTCACAGCCAGACAAACCTCGTGCGCATGCGGAGAAATTGCCAAGGTTTGGTCGAACTGCTCGCGCCTCACCCCCGATCGGGAAACAGGGTGATGCCGCCCTTGCTCACCCCCAGCTCGCCCGAGCCGCCGAGCCGCGTGCGCGATCACCCTCAACTGACCAGTTGGAGGGGCGAAATCCTGGCAGGAGACTAAGGGCGACGGTGACGGGGGTCTGGTGGATGGTAATTACCAGCCTGTCTGCCTTGCTGATTGGGGTTGTGCTGAAGAGCCCTGCGGGCGAGTGATAGCCTCACAAAGCAGCGTCGGTTCCTGGCATCTCACGGGTCATTTTACTCGAGCAGATCGCGCAGTCACATTTTACTCCCCTCAGTCGTCTGGAAGGTGGTTTCCGATTGTCGCTTCTCTCCTCTCTCTATATCTCTATATCAACGCTCGACGATTACAAATATCCTTCTACAATCCCGTCCCGCCTAAGATTTAACGACGTCTTTCCATCCTCGAAAGGGCGCGACCTTTGAGAGAGAGGCCGTTGCGAAGGAGGAGCTCACCAAGGTCTACTACTCACCTCTATCCACGTACCTACCAAGTTGGATCAGGTTACTGCATTCGTGAACGTTATGCCTCCGTCACGGAGAGAGTGACACTGGGATCAACTCCCAAATCCCAATACCTGACACGAGTCGCGACAAGCCATTCACGAACACCGATACAATCCAGTGGTCCTGTTAAGTCTCACACTCCGCCGCAGGCTGAGCGATTGACGGCATATCCAGTGTGCGCCAATGGCAGAAATAGCTCATAAGAATCGAAGCTCAACATATATTCAAATGAGGCTGCTGGCGTTGCCGACACACACCGCTGCGGACGTGGCGTCATGTTCACGGCACCAGCTGCTGAAACCCCCTGAAATCTGGTAGTAGGATCGGCCGCAAATTGATCACCGACCTGGATTCTGCCTTGCGGGAGGCTGACGCGGCGACCGAATCCGCTGGAGGAACGAAAGCAGGCAGTGGAAGCGGCGGCATGGCCAAGGAGGAGTTGCTTCGGGCGACGACAGGCATAAACCTCCAAGAATGCCGGCGGCTCCTTCGGTCTGTAGATCCAGGCACCAGTGCTTCTACCTGAGATGACGGATGTCCTGATGATGAGAACGCGAATAAGTTCGAAATCCTCATTCTTCAGCTACCACTGGCAGCGAAGCGACTGCGCAAACTACGGCAAGAACCATTTGGCTCCTGTGTTCAGCTTTCCACGATCAAGAGAAGCATGGCTCTCAGCGCCCTAATGAAACGTAGAATGTGTTCCATCGCTGCGCCCTTGATGGTTCTCATATACAACACAGCATTGGCACAACTACGCGCAGAGGTTTTCCTCCGCTAGAGTGAAATCGATCTCTCTGCATCATCCGAGTCAGAGTTTTCCTTTCGGCCCGCGCTCTCATTCCCTCGATATCTTTATCGACGGTGAGAGGACGCGCAGTCCTTGCCCGGCTCGGTTCTTTGGCTCTCTATCAATCTGCCGAGAATCTCATCTACTCGATCACCAAATCTCTCTGTACAGCTCCGCTGTTTGCCTATATGGCATGCTCCAATGACCTCCACGCCATGGCTTGAATCTATCCCTGTTTGTCGGATAATCGCTGTTCAGGTGGCTGCCTCACCGAGCATACAGCGAGGTACGGGCTTGGATGAATATGACCGGGCGGTCGCCGCAAAAGCCCGTCAAACGATTTCCTTGACATTGACTGGACCATCATTCAGACACGGCTAGAGACGTGGAAGCACTATCCCCATAGTGGAAAAAATTGTGTGTGAATCTCTCCTTACATTATATCCAGGTAGGCGCCCTGGCGACCAATCATAGGGCAAAATAGGGGAGACAATGTATCGAACTGTTTGATTTGTCTTATTTCATCGGTGGGATTATAGCCCTGCGCCAGAAATATGAGTACCTCATATCCTATCTACTTTGCTTCGAAAGCGTGCAAAACGGAGACAGACCCTATCCTGGCGCCATCCTCTCCGTTTACTCTCATCCCTCCCCACGACTACAAATCAATGCCGCATTTCCGTCTGAAGATTTCCAATTGCAACAACAAATCATCGAATTGGGTGTCGTTCTCAAGATCTAAAGAGCTACCTTTCTCCACAAGAATCTCCATGGCCGTACGAATCGTTCGACCTTCAATTGTTTCAGCCTCTGGGAAAGGATCAGGCGAAGCCGAACGGCGAGTCAGCGAAATATCTCTCATGATCTCTCGTACCATTAGCTCGCACAGTTCTCCCTGCTCGTCTGGAGGTCGGGTGTCGATGCAGCTTCGAGCTTCGAATGACGGTCATGGAGGTTTGGCCCGATACGATTTCTATCATACTGCTCAGCTCCGAAGACTGAGGGTCTCCTCCTTCCCCAACCAATCCTGGCATGAGGAGCAGATCGATTTGAGACCACATGGCATTCACGCGATTCACACCATTGCGCGAGGCCCCTCTGTGACCCACCGGAGGGCTATCTGAAGAGACTCCTTTTACGTTTAAAGTCATCATCAAATAACTAGCTGATCGGCGCGATACAGGCTGCAGAGCTTTGATTTCGAAACCGCTGCAATCCACTTCAAGGTGGGTTGTTATCATTACCCAGATGCATCCCTGCAACAAACAAGTAGATACGTAGTCAAGCTGGACCGCTCTTAAATGCATCAATTCCCCATCCCCCCCCCCCCCCCCCCCCTTGGACGCATAGACCAATACTGCCAAATTGGAAACCTCTACTCCGTGACAAAATAGTCGCTTTCATCAGCACAGGGACTCTTGGCCGTCACAGAATCGGGCTGTCCGAACAAGTCACTTCGGGGAAAACAGCATCGAGCCCACTCCAGAAGAAGGTAGCTGGGCTAACATTACGCCCAAAGGAACCCCAGACCCCGTCGAGATCATGGATGGGGTTGAGCAGATTGGGCTCAAACATGTCCGACACAGTCTGCGTATGCTTCATCGGGTGGATCGAGGTGGGCGAACCGGATGGAACAGAGGCGAGGTTTGTCGCGGGAACGGGCGGGTGGAAGAGGTCTGCTAGAGACGTCCCTGCACAGCTAGACTTCAGGACGTCGAGCATTCGCCTCGTGATGGGAAAATGAGGCTGTACAGCCTCCAAGCTCTTGACCAGCGAGCGGATCCACGTCTGATCCCGCCGGCTGACCGCATCTGGCCCGTGCTGTGTTCGCTGAACATGTCGAATCAAAGCGGTCGCTCCCACCACAGCGTTGTCGAGCATAATCGACGGGATCTTTTCCACTCCAAACGCCTCGCGATATGTGACCACCAGCCGCGCAATGCGGAGCGACGCTTGATAGATGGTGTTCCCAGAGTCCCTGGACATGACGTCTGAGACGCCGTCGCCCGAGATCTGCGAGTATCTGCGTTTCCGAACATGGCGGGGTCGGGCCCTGGCCTGGCTCAGGAGAATCTGGACTTTGCAATACTGCGTGTGCAAGCCGTACCCCGCCATGTCCAGGTTCGTCAAGTGTTTTTCGTCGTAGACCAGTTCAGGCGGGAGGTTATCGTACCAGGCCTGCACTTGCGCACAGAGGCTTTGCAAGCGTTGCGAGGACGAGTCTGAGGAGTCGCCGTAGCCGCTGTCCTGATTGTTCAGGACGTGGGATATCTGGCACATGGGCACGCAGAGTCCGAGCCAGGCGTTGAGAAGGGGAGAATCCGACCGACGGCGCTCGCGGCACCGTGCGGCAGCAATGTCCATGATGGACGCCGGGATGGAGCTCGGCCGGCCCAGGTACAGAGTCCAGACACCTTCGTAGGTGATGCAGGCCGACAGGAGGGAGTATGCTAACGCGCTCTCTCTGGCGGTCTCTTCGTCCATCTTCCCATCCGTATCGCCATTGCGGTGCGCCAGCTCATGCAGACCCAGGTCAGAAAGCATTCGGCACGCGATACCTATAAACAGGCTTAGTATACCGGGGAAGTTTTGAGGGAAAGCGCGCCGCTGGTGTCTCGGTCGATTGGGGGCAATGATGAGCACACTCACCACAGAAGATCCACCCCGGTCGGTCGTTTCCCTGGGTCACTTCGTATTCACTGAGAAGCAAGAACCCCTGAAGGTTGGCAGGCGTTGGGTCGTGCAGAGCCCCCAACACCTCGTTTTTGGCCAACTGGGCATATTCACGTCCGAGGGAGCGCACCGCGCTCGACGTCTGGAGCCGGGTCGCGCACGCCAACATGGTGTATTCAAGAAAGTCACTGTACCAGCGACTGTGAGTGCCCGGCTTTCGGTGCCCCGAGAAACATTCTTTGTCGACAATGTCGACCCACAGTGTCTGATACTTGAAAAACGACTGGATCAAGTTATTTCTCAGCTGGGGCGAATTGGCACCGAGATCGATGCTCAGCGCCACCACTTCGTCCGCACAGGCCGTCATCGAGCTGTCCGCGGAGATCTCAACCGGAGACCCAACATGAGGGTGGGATGTCAGACCGAAGAAGCTCGATATGTCGTCGGATCCTTTTTCTCGAGGACTTCCGGCGTGAACTGGATGGAATATGTTGGACCGTCGCTGCTGAGAGTCGAGCGAGGTCTCGGCAACGGGCTCAGATTGTGGGTGGCTCAAAGCAGGAAGCGGTGGAGAATGCTGTTGGGTGCTCGGAGACTGGTTCGCACTTTAGGCTGTCAGAAATATGCACAGTGCGAGTACGAGATTCGAGCTGGGGGTATCATCGCCCCCTTGGGCGTCAGTGTTTACTCGTGACTTACGGGTAGTCGGCTGGTATTGAAGTCCCATCTTCTGCCGAGCCTTCAGCATTGTGGTTGTTCGACTGTGAAGGCCGCTCATCCGCTTGTCGGTGATTGAGAGACTCAAGGGCACGTATCCGCTGCTGGAGCTCGTCGACGTACTTCCAGCTCACAGACCTACAGTTTACCGTTGTCCAACGTCAGCTGAATGGTTGGAATTGCGCGATTTCCCTTGGTTTTTGCGAACCTTCGGCCGTCCGACATCGGGTCTAGCTGGCAGGTTTGTCCTGTGCGTTGACACGGGGAACAGGATTGCGTCGAGGGGAGAAATTGCGCATCGCACTGGAGTGCTGCTCTCAGTACGAGTAAATCCACGAGATGCATCAGCAGCACAATTTGACCAACCTTGACTTTGCGCAATCGACAGGTTTGACAGGCAATTGAAGCCCGAGCGGGCTTATGAGCGGCACCGGCATTAGAGCCAGTGTTCCGTCTGGCCATGAAGGAATGAGTAGTGAGATGTTGCGAGATCCAAGCACAGGCTGACCCAGAATTGCAAAGGAACGGTGAGGTTGGAGATGGGAAAATGGGAAAATGGGAAAAAGCGCGCACCAGCGGGAGGGGGGGCTTACAAGCCCAAGGGCTCCGTACTATTTCCCCGTATTATGTCGCAGCAGGTGGTGATGGTGGGGTACCCCGGTGCCCGGCTGTGCAACCATGTCCTTGTTATGTACTCCACTTCAAGTCGCTGAAGTCGCCCCGGACCAACTCCTACTGGGCGAACCCCTAATGGGTCTACCATCTAATGGACCGCTGTCGCCACACACAGACTTCTTATCAATTTCTTCTAGCCTTGTCGACGTCGACATCGACATCGTGTCCGAGGACCCTAATTTGTGCGGACTCCCTTTGCCGATATTTGCCGTGTGGACATTGCAACAGATCAAATGTGATCGAAAAAGGCGTTGTAGGGCATCAGGCGAAGCATTCTCAGCGCGGAGGTCTCCAGTGTTTCTCCCTACATTTCTGATGTTATATCTGGATGGCCAATCCAAGAAGCGATAAATCCAGTCAACACTATCCCAAGAGGCTTCTCCCGAGGCTTGTGATATTGGCCCTACCCTGCGAATTCGCGGACTTCAGCCAAAGGGGGATGGGCGCCAGTGGTAAACGAGATGGGTACTACCGTCGAATGAGTAGTGCCTCTTGTATAAGGCAGAGTGTATGAATGGCGCTTTTCTCTTGCTTCTTGTCGAGTACGGCCGAGGGTGGTTCGACTGAACGACTAGGAACCCAGAGGACGCGACAACGCCGACTGCGGTGCAGCTCAGTAGGATTTGTAGACGAGTCCAGTCGACTACTATAACGGATACAACCCCGGCTTTAGGAATGCTCTAGCATACCGCGCATGTCCAGGCTCTCGCAAGGGATCTCACGACGAGATATCATGAGACCGTACCGAGTACTTCGTGGCTTCACCTCGAAGGATTAGACTTGATGATTCCCGGTTACCGCGGTCATGTCTTCGCCGCATTGATCCACCCGTTTATGGCTGTCGAGAAAAGATTTAGGTGTCGGGCTCGAAGACGGGAGGATGAATTCGGGTGGGTTTTCCGAGATCAGTCTTGGCGTTAAGCCGTCGGAGATTAGTGCCGGTAATTGCCGATGAGCGACCGGACACGTGACACGTGGTATTCTCTTGTGCAACACTCGGTAGTCAGCGAACTCGCCTCCAAACCGTGCACTTATCGGCGTAGAACTGCATTCGAAGCACATAGACATGTATTCAGAAACACATCTTCACGGATGTCTTCCTTGTTCCGTGCTTTTTCTTGAAGGCGTACTCTAGTTAGTGACGCATGAACCGCTCCTTGGCGTCGATGTCGAGCCCGTTCATGCAGAAGGTTATCGGGACGTCAGCTCTCGGTCTATGCCGATGCTACTGGAGTTCGTCCAGTCTAGCCTGACGCTTGGCTGTCATAGAACCACCTCGATCCCTTTTTTTGCAAAAGTGTATTCGGCCGAACGGTGGTGATGTTGAGGAGCCCGTAGAGCCACGCCAGTAACTGAAGAGATGCACCAAATTGGAGATAGACCTGGATGATCTCAGCCTGCTGGCTTCAAAAAAACCTCCCCGGATAAAGGGCGCCTCGTAGATTTGCCCCCCACCCCTATCCAAACCCGAACGCCTCTAGATGGTTTTAGAGCGTTGCCACTCTGTAGGTTTGACAGCAATCCAGAACAGATTTGCGTGCAAACAAGACATTATCTCCTCTCCCCGTTATCGTCTCGAGCAAATCTTCTTTGCTGATCACGACCATGAGTGTAGCTCCGCGCCTCAACTTCCCGCAAGGGATGCTAGCAGGTAAATGTGACCAGAGGCTCGAAAGAACAGAAACTATACAAGGCCGCTAACCGACGATTCCAGGGCAAACGGCCATCATCACGGGCGCGGGCCAAGGCATCGGCGCTGAGACGGCAGCAGTATTTGCGCGCGAGGGGTGTAAGGTCGTCATTGCAGACATTGACGCTGGTAACTCCCACCTTGACCAAACAATGGTTCTTTCCAGAGCTGAGAGTGATGTTAATGCTCGCCCTCCGGCTGGGCCCTGACCACCAGCCAAAGCGGAGAAGACTGCCCAGGCCATCAATGCGGATGGAGGCGCTGCGATTGCCGTCGCCGGAGACATCACGGTCAACCAAGACATTGACAAGCTGGTTCAAAAAGCCAGTGAGTTTGGCCGTGGTAAGGTCCACATCATCGTCAACAATGCAGGTTACGCATGGGACGACCCGATCGAGAAGATTCAGGATAAGCAGTGGGGTGAGAGTGCATTGTGCATTGTGCCTTGTCCCGTCCATGGATCTAACGGCACCCCCAGAAACCATCATCACACTACACAACACGGCGCCGTTCAAGCTCATCCGGGCCGTGGCGCCATACTTTATGGTCAAGGACGGTGAACCCAGGAACATTGTCAACATCTCTTCTACATCTGGCATCTACGGCAACGCGGGACAGGCCAGCTATGCTCTGGCCAAAGCCGGGCTGGTAGGCTTGACCAAAACACTGGCCCAGGAATGGGGCCCCGAGTACGGTGTGAGAGCCAACAGTACGCCCATGCCCCCCTTGTTCTGTCGACAAGCCATTTGAAAGACTGACCACGATTCTTGTTCTTTTTGCCCAGCGGTCGCGTTCGGAGCTATCAAAACCAGACTGACCCAAGCTCCTGCCGGTGAGTACGTGGTGAGGCCCGACGGCACCAAGCATGCTGTCGGATTCCACGGCGGCTACGACGAAGCAGAAGCGAAATGGTATGTGTAACGGAGATGCCCCAAAAATCTCCCGCAAACCTTCATCGTTCGAATCACACTGACCCCTGGTTCCACAAACTCACATAGGGCAAGCGAAATCCCTCTCCGCCGGATTGGGACTCCCACGGATGCTGCACGCGCGATCCTTGGGGTGGTCTCTCCTCTCTTTGGATATGTGACTGGGCAGGTGAGTTCTAAGCAATCAGTTTGCGGCGAGAGGACCGATTGCTAATGATCGGAACTTGACAGACAATCATGGTAAGTCGAGTTTATACCAGGTTCACAGTCATCGGACTTCTAATCACCAGTGAAGGTATCCGGAGGGAGAGGTGGCATGTAATTTTCAAGTATAGCCCTTGCAAGCGAAGTATACAACAACATCGTTGGCTCAAAGTATCCATCTGGAATAGATGATTGGATGATCTTGGTTTAAAAAAGAAGGTATTCATCAATATTTTAGATATTTCTTGTTGTTTCTCTCAAGTCTACAGCCGTTCTCCAAGTTCTAAGAAGTTCCCAGATTCAGACGTCACCACCCACCAGCTGGCGCGAATCGATCGTGATATCACCGTTCACTCCATGGCCATTCGGGACTTGTTTTCCAGCAGCGCCGAAGTCAAGGCTCGGCCATCCGGCCTCTCTCTCGTTCTCCAACCAAGCTGTCCATGCCGGGACGCCGCCAAAATAGAACAGAATATCAGAAGCCTTGCCGGGGATGTTTGCGCCGACGAACCAGGCCCCGGCGGCCTTGGCCGATTCGGCGAAGAGGGTGGCCTCGAACGCTTCGTGCAAGTGAGAAGACCACTTGGCCATGGCCTCCTCGGACACGTCGACCTTGGCCAGTCTCTTGTCTTCGATATGACGGATCGTTTGGCCGATCCATTTGACTTGGATGTCCAGCACGACCGGCATGTTTCCAAAGGGGATGTGGGGGCCACAGACCAAGAACATGTTGGGGAATCCACGCACGAGGACGCCGGCATAGGTTTCGAGTTGCTTAGCCCAGACATCGCCGAGTGAGACGCCCTGACTGCCTCTGACGTCCATCTCGCTCAGCGCACCGGTGGCGGCGTCGAAGCCCAAGGCGAAGATGATCATGTCGAATTCGTATTCCCCACCCGAGCTGGTCCGGATGCCCTTTTCGTAGAACTCAATGTCGTCGCGGCTGATGTCGACCAGCTCGACGTTGGGCCGATTAAACGCCTCGTAATAAAAGTGGCCGCACGGCGGGCGTTTCGACAGGAAGGGATACTTAGGGCAGAGCTTCTCCGCCGTCTCGGGGTCCTGGACCACGGCGCGAATCTTCTGGCGGATGTACTCCGAGGCGGCCTCGTTCGCCTCTTTACTCGTAAAGAGGTCATCGAACGTCTCAAACTGAAAGTGGAAGCCACCGCACTCCCAGCCAGCGTCGAAGATCTGCCTGATCTTATCGGCATCCCCGACACTCTGAAGTGTCCGGCCCGATCTATACATGGCCAAGCCCGAGCTCTGTCTCGATGCGTAGTCCCACGTATCCTCGTGCTTCTGCCTGATGTCTGCGGCCTGATATTCGTCAATGACGTAGTTTCGACCTGGGAGCACGTAGTTTGGTGTCCGTTGAAACACGGTCAGACGTTGGGCGGCGGGCGCAATCTTGGGGATGATCTGGACGCCGGTGGCCCCCGTGCCTATAACCGCGATCCGCTTACCGCGGAAATCTATCTTCTTCTTGGGCCAGATGGCCGCCTGGTACCACTCGCCCTGGTAAGATTTCAGCCCGGGAAATGGGGGTTGCTTTGCGATTGATAAAGGTCCCGTGGCCGGCAGAAAGTAGCGACAAGTCGTCGTCTTACCATCCACCGTGGTGATGGTCCAGATGTTATCTTCATCGATGTGTGCGCTCTTGACCCGGCTTTCAAACGTGATGTACTGGCGTAAATTGTACTGATCTGTATTCGGTCCTGTCAGCAAACGAGGCTCTTCTTCCATTCGGGGGCCACCACAATCAACGGACCAGTAACATGACTCAGATGGCGCTGAACGTCTTGCTGCGACGGATATCGCTCCTGGTAGCCCCATTCATCCTTGATTTTCGGATCAAAGTTGAGTCGGTAGACCCAAGCCTCGCTGTCAGTTCGAGCGCCAGGATAGCAATTCCAATACCAGGCACCACCGACATCCGACCCGGCCTCGAAGCATTTGACCGTCAGACCCAGTTGGACCAGTTCCCAGATGGTCCGAATGCCACTGAAGCCAGCGCCGACGACGACTGCATCGTAGTCGGCCTTCTTGGACACCGTCATGAGCGATATAGCGACGGGAGAGTTTGCTGGTATTTGTCCCCTCACGATGATCACTTGGACAAGAGCAAATTGCAAAAGTTCAGTGAACAGTAAAGCGGCGGGGTGTGGGAAATAGGCATCTGATATGTCACGGGTCGTTTATATGAGTCCTCGCTTGCGCAACGTATACCTTGGGCAAGTTGGTCTCCCCGAACCCAGGTTAGCTGCCGTAGATAAATCCGGGAATCTTCGGTCGGTGAATGCCGTGCCCCGCAATTCTGACCTGCAAATCAGAGTTTCTTATCGGCTCCACAGCTGAAGCGCGTTTTGAGGCATCCACCGAGGCTACATAGTCTGGGGTGTTGCCCTAGCCCCATCAGGTAGGTTAGCCGAATAATCTCTACCGCGGCACACAACTAGTCGATCAATCAAGGTATTCTACTTAGATGGGGCCCTCCACCTAGCTCGCTAGATAGTTCAAGGTATAGTCCCGGTCAAAGATCCGGCCCACATCCTTGTCTACCTGTTCCTGATATGGGATTTGGGATACATGTGGCTCCCATGTTCATGTACTCCACGCGCTCCAGGGTCTATCATCCCCGCCCGATCATGTATAACTTGGGGCAACCCCAGCTTCTGGGTTCTGCTCCCATGATGTCTGCCATAGTCTGGCTCAGTGGTTGACGCAACTCCATACCGCCGCTGCGATGGAAACCTACAGCTGGTATAACATCCGAGTAAGTCTGAGCGCATCGTCTAGTCAGCAGCATCGCGTTGATATCGGCCACAGGTGGTGTGTTTTGCCGCGTTTGGCTCTCTCTTCACTGGCTACTCCCTCGCCGTCTTCGCCTTTACCCTGGGCCAGCCGACGTTCTACTCGTCACTCAACCTCGTGGCATCGGCGACGCTACCCGGATACGGCCATACCAACGACATCTTGGGTGCCGCAAATGGCGTCTTTTTTGGCACGGGGTTTTTTGGCTGCTTCTTAGCCGGGTGGGCAGGAAATCACCTAGGTCGAGTCAACGGTTTCCGTATCGCTGCCGTGACTGGCGTCCTCGGAGGGGCGCTTCAATGCGGATCGCAGTCACAAGCAATGGTTCGACCCCGACGACCTACCTCCCCTCTCACGCATGCGTTCTCTGACTAAAATTTTGAACAGTTCCTGGTTGCACGAGCAGTGGCTGGACTGGCGGCAGGCCATACCATGGCCGCCATGCCGACGTATTTCGCCGAAGTGTCGCCTCCTCATTCTCGAGGTCTGATCACGGGAGCGCACGCCATCTTCATCAATTTGGGCTATTGCCTCGCGGGGTGGATTGGGTAATGTGCCCAGCAATGTTTAGTACCCGTGTCCATGGCTCACCAAGGATATGTGTAGATTCGGGTGTTATTACACCCCCAAGTCGGTCTTCGCATGGCGATTCCCATTTGCCGTGGTCGTCATCTGGGCTCTCTGTCTTTTGGCCGGATCCTTCTATGGTGCGTTTTCGTTGCCTTTCCCATGAACCGAAAAAAAAAAAGGTCGTGTCAGGAATTATTCACATCCCTCGAAGTTCCGGAAAGCCCTAGATTCTTGGTGCAGCACGACAACCCGGAAAAAGCCCTGTCAATTTTGATCCGACTTCACCATGACCCCAAAGATCCCACCGACGCCTTTGCTCACCGAGAGCTGCAGCTGATCCAACAGCGGTGCGAGGCCGAGAAGATCATCATCGCGACCGATGGCCCATGGCGCTTGTTCAGCAAAAAGGCCAACCGGCAACGACTGCTGCTGGCGTGGCTGATCATGGTCGGCGGCCAGAATATTGGACCGCTGGTGATCAACAACTACAATGTCCTGCTCTACAACTCGCTCGGTCTCGGCGCCACAGATTCGCTGCTCTTGTCCGCTGGGTACAACACCCTTGGTTTGGTGATTGCTTGTATCGGGGGCCTCATCTCGGACCGTCTCGGCAGGAGGAAGGCCTTGCGTGAGTACAAAATAGACCCCTCGGGCCAGTTGAAATGATCTGACAAATACTGCGCCAACAGTCACTGGCTACATATTGATCACCTGTGTCTTTGCGGTCCTCACCGGAATGATTGGTAAATACAACACGTCGCCGTCAAAGGGCTGGGCGGCGGCGGCAACAACCATGATCTATGTCTACGTCGTTTGGTAGGCTCTCCCCACCCCCCAGAGCCGCACAATTTGCGCATGCACGAGCTAATACCTTTTTGCATCGGTACGAGCAGCTACAATTCATTCATCGATCTCAACCAGTTCACCGCGGCGACCGAAGTCTTCCCCACTCACATCAGAAGCCAGGCGTCGGCGGTTTCTATCAGTGGTCTGTTCCTCTCGGTGACCCTCTGGTTGAATCTCCTGCCCACGGCCACAGCCAGTATCGGCTGGAAGTACTACCTGGTGTTCAACTGTCTGACCGTGGTGCACACAATCTATCTGTTCTTCTACTTGCCAGAGGTGTGTACCGTTTCCTTAACCACCGGGACCAAATGACCCAATGCTGACATGCGCCTGCAGACGGCCGGCTGGCACTTGGAAGAAATGGACCGTGCGCTGGCCGACGACCAGCATGGTCATTTCGAGGCCCAGGATGTGGTAGAGATGAAGCTCCAGGCGGGATCGGCCCACGTCGAGGCCCTCCCCCAGGTTACCCAGGATATCCATACCAAGGCTTGAACGTGGTGCTGTGGGTGTTGAGAGGCTCGGAAGTCTGATACCTGGCATGTGATGTGACACCTTTTCAGCTGGGCGGATGACTGGCCATTCAAGAATGAAAAAAAGCTCAGCACCATATACAAATTATCTACTCGATAGACATCGAATCGTTTTGACTCTGCAGTACGATAGCCGTAGGCGTCTGTTTCGGTAACACCAGGAATATCGGTCAAGCACCTGGGTGACATATCTATAGGCAATAATCCAGCTTGCGTCAATCGGGCTCTACCACCTCCTGCAGCCGACCGGGTCATATTTACTTGAGCTTTTAACAACGTGATAAAGCTCGAGGGTTACTTACTGCTTTAAAGTTACTTGGCGCCGCCACTTTTGCTCTAACCCTATCGGGTATGTTAGCCGAATAATCTCCACCACGGCATATGCCTAATCAATCAAGCTATTCCACTTATGACACGTACTGGCCATTCAGGAAACAGCTTGTTGTAGTGTTTGGGGTTCTCAAAGCCGCGTCACCCATTGAGCTCCGTCGTTCAGACATGGGGGATTTTGTTGCTAAAATGGCAGAAGCCAGCCAAAATCAGTGCACTTAATAGCTGGGAACGAATGGTTGATGGAGCTGTGCGGCTTCCCGGTCCGAAATTAAGGGCATCGCCGAACGAGCTCCAGCGCCACCGGGCCTAATACATTGCCTCTTGCTTCGGCAATCGCCCGACGATCGGACTCGACGAGGACGTGGAGTTATGGCTGCGGGCACCTAGTTAGTGGGCTTGCTCCATGACTTTGCTCCTCGGGAAGAGCGGACGAACCTCTGGAATAAATCTGTCCGGAATCGAATATCTGGATGTATTAAGCAGATAGTTATTTCGCTTCTGTCTATTACAGTGCCTCGGATCGTCACCTGACCGATTTACCATCGAGCACAATGGCTGACCAAATGGACGTCTGGGCCCTGACCGAATGGGGCGCCCCTCTGCAGAAAATCCGCCAGCCCGTGCCAAAGCCCACCGGCAAGGAGGTTTTGATCAAGGTCACTCATGCTGGGGTGTGCCATTCAGACCTTCATTCCGCCGATGGCTTCTACGACATCGGGGGAGGAAAGCGATTCTACGTCAAAGACCGTGGCATCAAACTGCCGATCGCCCTGGGCCATGAGATCTTGGGAGAAGTCGCCGCCGTGGGGCCAGATGCAGGGTCGATACCGCTAGGATCTCCGCAAATCGTGTATCCTTGGCTAGGTTGTGGCTCCTGTACACGGTGTACCCAAGAAGAAGACAACCTGTGCGCCGCGCAACGGGGGCTAGGGACGTTACGCAACGGTGGCTTCGCCGAGTACGTAGTGGTTCCTGATCCCAAATATCTGGTCGACCTCGGCGATCTCGACCCTGCCGTGGCATGTACCTTTGGCTGTTCTGGGATCACTACCTTCAGCGCCGTCAGTAAAGTGATGCCCTTACCGCCGGATGAACCAGTCCTCCTCATTGGCGCGGGAGGCCTAGGTTTGGCGGCAATAGCAGTGCTAAAGTCGTATGGGCATAAAAACATCATCTCGACCGACATCAGCGACCAGAAGTTGGCCAATGCGCGCGCGGCCGGAGCGACAAAGACGGTCAATACCGCCAACTCGGCCTCGGCGGCCCAGGATATTCTCGCGGCGACCAACGGGCCGGTCATTGCGGTGATTGATTTTGTGAACAACTCAAGCACCGCCAGTCTGGTCAACAGCCTGATCGCCAAAGGAGCCAAATGGGTGCAGGTCGGCGTGATGGGAGGGTCGATCGAGTTGTCGCTAGTGACCAACATCTTCAAAGGCCTTACAATCTATTCAAACATCACCGGAAACTTGGAGCATTTGCGAGACGTCGTGGAGCTGGCGAAGCAAGGAAATCTCGCGCCTGTGCCCGTCCAGAAATTGCCCTGGGACTCGGTCAATGAAGCGATGGACTTACTGAGGGCGGGCAAGATCACCGGACGAATGGTCCTTGTAAAGTGAAATAATATTGGGCGTAAAACTAGGCGAAACAACAGGAAAATATCGCACCCAGAGTCTCTTGCTAACATTTTTCCATTCGTAGATACCGGCAGAGGCAGCCACTGTGGCTATTGGTGAGATGTTGAAAATCAGTGACAATCTCTGAGTTGACATTGCCTCAAAAAGGGTGTGCTTTGGGAGGTGTCGCTCGATGGGAACCTAGCACGTTCGACCGAATTGAGCTCTGTAAAGAGGCAGGTCGAGTCAAGTCTAGCGCTCTCGCTCGACTGCTCATCACTCCAATACCTCATTTACTAGCCTTGTTCGAGGCGAACCTCTCGATCACAAAGTCTCTAATATTCGCCGCAATTTCTTCAGGCTTCTCCATTGGCGACCAATGCGCCGCCTCGACCACGACTTCCTTAAAATCAGGCAGGAGGCCTAAACCTTTGGCCGGCGTCATTATTTCCGGCTGACAGACGGCATCGTCGGAGCAAATCACAAACAGAACCGGCACCTGAATGGCCAAACGGTCCTTGGGGATGGTCAGATCTGACTCGAACTGCACATTCGACGCGGTGGCCTTGTACACCTGCAAGGCCGACTCAAACCCATCGGCCCTGAATTGCTGCAGGAAGTGCTCCTTCCATTCCGGCCGCTGGGCATATGCTTTCAACGGGACGTTCTCGTCTCCGAGGAGGAACGCGCGCATTGCGCCCGGAGTACAGAACAACGTCTTCATCCAGTCCTTTACGTCACCGTGTAACACCTGCCACATCCGCTCCAAGTTTGCATCGATGATCTCGGAAGCATCGGGCCCCAGGAAGAATTCCCAGTATGAAAACTGAGGGTAGCCCCAGGCCTGCTTTGTGAGTTCATTGACGGCGGCGAGATCGAAAGGCTCGTCCGACGGTAGCATGTATCCAGTGTTGAGTAGGACCACGCCGCTGATCAGCTCTCGCTTGTAAAGATAGAGGCGCTGGGCGACGACGCTGCCCCAGTCATGCCCGATGACGATGGTGGACTGGGATTTCTCGGCCTCCAAGATCTCGGCAAGGTCGTCTACTTGATGTTTGTACGCGTACATCTTTGTGTCTGTTGGCTTGTCGGTGCCCCCGTACCCTAAGCAGTTGGGAATGATGATCTGGTTGGGTAGATGGCCGAGTTGGGCCACCACATCTGCCCACAGCCGCGCCGAGTCTGGAAAGCCGTGAATGAAGAACAGCGTGGGATGCTGCTTGGAAGATTCACCGTGACGAGACACATAGTATGTGTATTTGAGTGAGCGCCGCGTCACAATCGTTTTCCGCTCGAAGGTGTCCATGACGTGTCTCAACCTGAAGGGGCCGAGGAGTTTTGTCTTTTGTTCCTCGAGCAGCTGTGGGATCAGTCAAACCATATGCAAGTCTGAATTGGTCGGACTCTCGACATGTGTCTGTATACGTAAGCATTATGCCGAAGGAGGATTGGTTGAGTTGTGGGTCCGGGTCTGCAAGATCTGCTCGGGCCCGGGCCGCTTTTCCATGTGGGGTACTTTTCCGGAGTGTGTCTTATGTACGATCCTCTCGGATATACATCCCATGGGGTATCAGGGGCGTCCAGATCTCGTTCTCCAGGGCTTCTCCGGCACCCCCGGGGCTATCCCACACTTCCAAAGCCATGAAGTGTCGTCCAATTTGGAAGCTGAGGCTAGGCAGCTGAACCCGGGATGATCATCGACCTCAATGTGTGAAGATATAAGACGGCTCTAGGTATTCCCACGACACGGAATCATTCGGTATTCTACCCTCCGTTCAAGAGAGAGACAAAGCTCGACCATGAAGGCCAAGAGCGATTTCAGAGTTGTGATCGGGGGCGGCAGCATTACTGGCCTCACCCTGGCCAACATGCTGCAGCTCTACGACATCGACTTTGTCGTACTCGAGGCATACGACGATATTGCTCCCCAGGTGGGCGCCAGCATTGGTCTTCTGCCGCACGGGAACAGAATCTTGGACCAGCTCGGGCTGTATCAGAAGATGTTGGAGCTGTGCCCGCCTCTGGACTCGTTCCACTTTCGCGATCAGAGGGGCAATATCATCGCCGAATTCCGCGGCATGAATAGATCTATGCATGAGAGGTGAGGGGCTGCACCATGGCCAGAAAGAATTGACACCGCGTCTAACTCGACGACGACCTAGGCACGGCTATCCCATCATATTTTTGGATCGGCAAATGGTCCTCCGTGTCCTCTACGAGAACATACGGGACAAATCCAAAATTTTGACCAACAAACGGGTCCGGGATGTGGACATGTCGGATGATGGAGTTGCGGTCACGACGACCGACAACTCGGTCTACAGGGGTGACATCCTGGTCGGGGCCGATGGCATCCACAGTCAGGTGAGAAATGAAATGTGGAGGATCGCCAACAAGTCCTCTCCGGGCTGGATTCCATCCGACGAGCACGACTGTGAGCCTAACCGCCCGCCCCTGCTCCCTCGTCGGTACGCACTAATGCGTCGAGAAACCAGGTGTTCCCTGCGACTATGGATGTGTATTTGGCATATCCAACCCCTGCAACGGGATTGAGCCTGGCGCGTCCAACTCGGTGTTCAAGAAGCATGAATCCTACATCATCAACGGCGGCCCGGAAGGCCGTGTGTACTGGTTCTATTTCTTCAAGTTGGCGCAGCGCGCCTACGGCAGCGACATTCCAGTCTACACGGACGCGGACCGAGATAAGGTGCTCGCGCTGCGAGAAAACGACGACATCACGCCCAACCTGAAATTCAAGGAGATCCTGGCCCAGAGGATCACGTCGGTCCTGGTGCCGCTCCAGGAGTACGTCTTTCGAAAATGGTATTTCAAGCGCATCATCACCATCGGCGACGCCGCACACAAGGTAATGCAATGCGTATGAGGCTTGTTTCAGCCCGAGCTCGTCTTGCTAACCAAGGGGGTGTTCTAGTTCCATCCCATTGCCGGCCATGGTGGTAACGCTTGTATCGAATCCGCGGCCACTTTGGTCAACGCACTGCGGGATGAGCTGGCAAAAGCCCGACCCGGGAAGCCGACCCTGGCCCAGATTGAACACGCCTTTGCCCATACCGAAAGAGTCCGACAGGAGCGGACCGAGACACTCAAGTGCCATTCTCACGAGCAGCAGAGAACCGAGCTCCTCGACACGCCTCTCCATTCCTTCATCGCCTTCCATCTCCTGCCCTTGACAAATGTCGAGGATGTCACCTTCAACTTTTCCCGCAACATGCCACTTGCGGAAAAGCTCAGCAGCCCCAAGATGACCCCGGTCCCGAGACTCGTGCCCTACAAGGATGAACTCCTCGGCACCCCGTTCCCCAGGGGAGCAAAGAAATGGTACTTTATCGCCTTCTACCTGCTTATTGGCGCACTCGTGCATTACGGCATGTGGGTGCGGTCGGCGCATTACGATCTGGGAAGGCACTTTGGAAGCATCCTGACGACAGGGCGGTTTTCGTACGATCCCGGATTCCCTCTCAAGCGCACATATACTCACATCAAGCCCATTGACGACTACCTGACGTTCCTCGCCGTGGCGTACATGCCCGCTGTCAACAACTGGGACCTGAGCTTCGCGACATTGCATACGTACTTTCTCGGGATGCTGGTTCAGCCCATAGCGGTGTGGTCGGTCGAAGCGTACCGGAAGCGAAACGCGCTGACACCCATCACATTGTGAGTATACGCTCAGGACAAAAATTTTACTTGGAATTCCTCGGCTTACCCATTTATCTAGCATCACAGTGTGGTTCACCCTGGTCCAGTACGCCGGCGTGGGAATCTACATGCCCATCTACTATGCCGCCTATACGTATATCTCTGAGCCGGAAACGTACTGGTGGCCACTCAACCGAGAGGTCCCGATTCAACATGCGTCCTCGCTGATGTGGGCAGTCTTGATCGGTTATGCCCTTCCAACCGTCCTCATGTACGTGCCGTGGAAGGACCCCAGCACAATTCAAATCTTCGAGTCTCTTTGGCAGCCGTCCCCCGTGTTTGTACCGCTCATCTGCGGTGTTCTGGGATATATTTGTGTCAAGAGACACAACATTGTCCAGGTCTCGCGGAAAGCCAACGAGCCGTTTCCGGACATCCCGTACTTGAAGAGCCTTTACTTCGTCACGGGCGTGCTGGGCGCCGTGCTCCACGTCTATTCTCTCAGCAAGATTTTCTTCTCGCCGGACCTGAGCTTAGCATCGGTCTTCTGGCCCGATTTTTCTGCCCAGCCAAAGGACCTGACGGAGGGACTGAAGAGCCTGTTCTTGGCTGATTTCTGGGGTTTCCAAATCGCGTCGTATGCTTGGCTTTGTATGGCGGTCTGGGATATCAAGCGGATGGGCCGCACCACCGTCGACTTCGGGGCGGCCTCGGCTCTCATCGCCCTGGGCAGCCTCATCATCGGCCCCGGTGCCACCATGTCGGCGGTGTGGTACTGGAGAGAGATTGCCATGTCCAAAACGACCTTTGCCACAGGTCTCAACTGATGGAATGGGGAGACGTCGAGGAACTCGCCCGTTCCAAAACCCCCCACACCCAACGAGACTCTATGGGCAAAAAAACTCCTGGACAGACTGGGGAGTATTGTCGGTCTAGAATTAGACATTGTGTCAACGGCGCAGGTCGAGTCTTGACATCGTCCACGCCAGTGGAAGTAGGAACTTATGGAGCAATTTAGAGCAAAGAGAAATGTCGTTGCTAGAAGGCGTGGTTTGTGAGCACTTGCCATGAAACCAAGCGAGGCCAAACGAGGGCGTTGTTACCCTTCAGCTCTAATACGTCTTCAACCCTTCCAATCCCCAGCCGTGTTTATCATTGAACTAAGCAATAATTCCCTCCCACACTATGAGTAGATCTCTATCAATGTACTCTCATTTACGTGTGATATGATCTACCTTTGAAAGTACACTCTCCCAACAGTTCCCCAAACAGTTCAAGTATCTTGGAACTTCCTAGGCACTAGCCACTCCAAATTGCCAAATTGCCGCCTGGGGCCGCTCCACGCGCACTCTTCAGTCCATCCTTTTGGAATGTTTTCCTGAGCTTCAACGTTTGCTCTTCTCAAGTGTCTGAACGTCGGCGCCAGAGTCATATTGAGTCTTAATCATTGGTAGGCGCGTCATTCTGGCCAGATTTCTGCTCAGCGATGATGCAAGCTATAGTCACTGGCAGCTTCTATCAAGTTGATGCCCTGGCTTGTTTGCTGCCTACGTGGATTTGTTCATAGTTCTTTTATGCCTAATTTGATCAACGATGCCACTGTGCAAGTATTGTGCATTGCCAATAACCTTCCTGAGAGTCTCTTGATGGGAAGCAGATTGATACATTCCTCCCCAGCATTCTACATAGTTCGATAAGGAGCTTGTTGTTGCCCTAACCCTATTGGAAAGGTTAGCCGAATGATTTGTCGCCGCAGGGTGCGCTAGCCTGGCTAGATAGAGTTTCGACCCACAAGGCTATACCATTTGTGGCATTCGTCTTGAGCTTGCATTTTCCAACCTGTCGGGTCCACATATATCTTTGCTTCTCGCAACACCAACTCCAGGAAATCGATGGAACAACCCTTCATTGTACGCTAGATTTGCGGCTCGGTACTATTGAGCCATGCGAAAGACGTGAAAGGAATTTGGTGCTCTCCTCGTTCACTGAGGTCTGAATGTCAGACCTGCTTCCATTTTCGTCTCTTGCTGTGCCCCTTGTTCTATTGCAGGTTGGAAGTCTTCCAGAAAGGTCCACCTGATTCGTTGGTCCAACTTGTCCTTTTTCCAATCATTCAGAGTTCCATCGGGGAAGAATTTGAACCCGCTATTCGGTTCTAGAGGCGCACAGTCGTGGGCAATAATGACCAAGATGTTCTTCGCTGCGTCGAACTCCTGCATGTGATGAATCGTCTTTTCTGCCTCTTGGTAATCTTGGGGGAAGTTGGGCGCCATCTTGTAATATTCTTCAACCGCCAAGTTATGGCGATGCAAATTTTGAAACACACTCCCCGGGCAGACTGATCTGCCTAGGATAGGTTTGGTGGGAAAGACCTGTTTGGGAAGTGGAAGATACTGGTTGGGTCTCCATTGTCCACCTTTATCAAGGTATCAGACGGCTTCCGAGTCGATGTTGAGGGATATTCTACACTTACCGTGGTGACATGTGTCTCCGCCCATAAAGACAAAGGTATCGTCTTCCCCTCCAGTCCCTTTGGAGACGCGAGCAAGACCGCAGACATGACCGATAGCATGACCAGGCGCATCTAGCAGATAAAAACTACCGTCGTCGAAGTAATCAATGGCCTTGAATTGACCCAATTTCAGGCGTGCGTCAAATTCCAGCTCAACCAGCTCTCGCCCTGCCCAATCCGATTCCAGCAGGTGGCTGTCCTTGTTTGTCGGATACCCCGGTAGCAGACCGCTTTTAAACCCTGGACCTACGATTAGATTGACACTGGATGGAAAGGTCTCCATGTTGCCAATGTGGTCAACTGCAAACGGGTGATGGTCGTCAGCATCACGGCCATGCCACAACAGAAAAGCTACTACACACAGTGCCAATGCGACCAAATCACCGCTTCAATGCTTCCCGTTGAAGTTGCATTTGCCTCCAAGATCTCTGCAACGTCCTTTTCCACTTTGAAATGCCAGCCGGGTGCAGACATCATGCCGACGATGGATGGAGAGAGGTTCTCAAGGTCTTTGCGGGTGCCGAGGTCATACAGCACTTTGCGGCCGGAGGGATGCTCAATGAGGAAGGAATAGGCTGGACAGAAAAGGTCGTCATGCCCGATAATCTTCGGGCCCATTTGCAAGCTCAAGGGAACTTTGATGGTGGTGGTGGTATCGATGATCTTCACGCTGACCGTAGCACCGGAAGGGATGTTCAAAGGCGGTGCTTGTACAGCCGCCACCAGAGGTTCTTCTTCTGAGGACGACATGGTGGGTGTTGGTGTTGTTCTTGTCGATGTCGAATGGTTGGGAGAGAGGTGGCGAACCGATAAAAGGGGAGGATAGCCAAGCGAAGTTGGGATGTGGATATCAGAATCACGAGGCACTCCGTGACCAACCCTCCTTTCAGGTATAGCCAGTCTCAGTCCTACTTGCGTGGGGAAGAAATATGGAGTATACGCGGGATAGCCAGGCTGGGACGGCAATGCTCGAACGTTGCCTGACTTGTGCTTCGGTGAACGCCGCAACACTGATACCCACAGTCGAGGAGAAGAAGGCACGTTCGGGGCCTCCGGCCCAAGAGGCTCGAGAGACCCAAATTTTCATGACCCATGCGAGTCTCGACCACGAATAATGCCCAAGTGGCATGAAATTCCTCCTATGCTTCGGTGAAAACGGCAGCGCGAGTTGATGGCCGACGATTCATCCATCCCGGCCTTCGGTGCCCGGCGTATCTGGCTTCTATCATCTATAACAATCTCTGGACCTGCCTCAGTCGAGTGATGCCGGTCAAATCACAAGAGCGAAAGAACCAACAGCACAACCAACGTCGCAACCATGATTGCAACAACGCGCTACAATCTCACGGTACGTGGTCGCCTTTTAATGTGTCGTGAACGTGGTTGATTGACTCGTCGTGCAGATTGTCCTGTTCGTGGCCTTGAGTGCCTTGACCTACGGATATGCCTTTTCTGTATTCTCCACCTCCATTGGCCAGGCAGGATTCTACAAGTACTTCAACCTCGACCTCGAAGGACCCGGGGCTGCCTATACCAACTCCATCCTCGGCGCCATCAATTCTCTCTTCTCGGCCGGGGCGGCCTTTGGCGCTCTTTCCGTAGCATGGCTACCCGACTGGATGGGCCGCAGGTTCACGATCGTTTTCGCGGCCGCGCTCTCGCTCGTCGGTGGCGCGCTTGTGACTGGCAGTGTGAACATTCCGATGTTGGTGGTTGTGCGATTCCTGCATGGTCTCGGGGTCGGCCAGTGCATCACCATCACTCCCATCTATCTGTCGGAAGTTGCGCCGCCGCAGCAGAGGGGCTTTCTCACCGGCCAGAACGCTGTGGCCTTGGTGTTCGGTTATCTTCTGTCTGCCTGGGTGGGGTACGGGACGTACTTTGCCAGCAATGAGATGTTTGCCTGGAGGTTCCCGCTGTCGTTGTCGTGTCTGTTCCCGTTGATCCTGCTCATCGGTTCTCCATGGATCCCCGAATCGCCGCGATGGCTGATCTGGAAGGACCGCTTGGAAGAGGCCTGGAAGATCACGGAGCAGCTGCATTTCGATCCAAACGACCCATCCCAGCGCCAGGCCAAAGAAGAATTCTATCAGATGCGCATGCAGATTCAGTACGATCGCGCCGCCGACCTGTCCCTGTCGTACATGTTCAAGAAACCCAGCCTGCGCCGACGCCTTCTCCTTGGTTGCGGAGTGCTTCTAGGTTCACAGTCGTGTGGTCCACTGGTCATCAACAACTACGGCGTGGTGCTGTACCAAGGCCTGGGAATGACCGGGAGCATGCCTCTGCTCATGTATGCCCTTTACATTGTCGTCGGCCTGTTTTTCAACATCGTCTCATCGCTGATCATGGACAAAGTCGGCCGACGGAAGCTATTCCTGGGTGGCTGGACCGGCACGACAGTCACGTTGAGTTGCGAGACGGCGCTCGTGGCGAGCTTCGCAGGCACGGACAACAAGGGTGGGAATGCTGCCGCCGTCTTCTTCCTCTTCGCATTCGTGACCATGTACGGCTTGTGCATTGATGGGACTGCGTACGTGTACTGCGCTGAGGTCTTTCCCACCATGTATCGTGCCAAAGGCATGGCACTCGGACTGTTTGTGTATTACGCTGCCTCGATCGCATATCTCACCCCTGCCGCCACGGCCATCGAGAATATCGGGTAAGGACCCCCCAGCATGTTGAGAGTGGAACACCAAGACACTAACGGGGCGCACAGGTGGAAGTTCTACTTGGTTTTCATCTCTTGCTCCTTCGTCGCAGTGGTTCTCACGTACTTTTTCGTGCCCGAGGTAAGTTGCCATCCGAAATCAGTTTTGCGGGAAGCTGACTATGACCAGACCGCTGGCCTATCGCTAGAGGAAGTCAACGAACTCTTTGGTGAGAAAGTCTTGGTGAACTTGACCCACGCCTCGGAAGCAGAAAGGAACGATATTGATAGAGCGATCGAAGAGAAGCAGGGGGTGGTGACAGAAACCATCGAGAAAGCATAGTAGAGCAAACTACTGGATATGGGATCTCTGGCCAGCACAGTCCTATCGCATCCAGTCGAGCTGGTCACACACTGTAAATAGTTGTACGAATTCCACCCTGCACTGAACTGGGCATTGGTGCTGTAGCTACTTGTATAGGACAGCCTCTCTTTCAAGTGTTGGCTCAAGTCTCTTTCACGCTCAATTTACGCAAAGGGGCGTTCCGGAACTACGAAAGGAAGTCAGTTGTCGGCTACTAGAGCACGGAGGGAAGAGTTGACAAGGAAACTTCAGGATTTAGAGTCTGCCGTGCGGATTTTGAGGAAACTGAGGAGGCAGTGTCGGGAATTCGATGCGGTCTTTATCCAAGTCCATGCAAAGGTGCCGAGGAAAAGGGTTCAATCGACATGGAAAAACACACTAGATAAGAGTCTTAGTAAATCTTCTTCGCATGCCGCCGCAATGTCTTACTGGAGTACAGACACACGACTACGCTCTTGGGAGACATGGTGGACCAGTGTCCGAGAACATGCCACAGACTTGAACAGAATCTCCAAGTGACAGTTTCTGCAACCCTGTCAATAGCTCTTCTGCTTCTTGATCCTCCTTGCCCAAGCTCGGTATCTGAGAAGCTGCACGCTTCCAAGTCATGTACTTGCGGAGCTCCTTGTCCTCAGGCAGGACTTTTGTCCATTCTGGCTCGTCCACATCGAACCCTGCTTGTCTATAGAGTTCATCCTTGCAGAAGATCCTCCAAGCATCACTCGCATATTTCCCAACACCCTTTAAATGAGCCACCTCCGATTCAACGGTGATCTTCCCGTTATATGACTTTAGATATATAACGCCGGCTTTGGGCGGCTGAGATAGCCAGTCTTTCGCCAAATCAATGACCCATCCGGCTCGACGATGTAATCCCAGGTCCTGGAAGAATAAGACAGTCTCATCGTATTTGGCTCGTGCAAGATGTTCCGGGTCTGGAAATTGTAGAAAAAAGCGTCGGGCTGCAGGGATGGCGCGCTCGCCTCGAGTTCTATTGAGGAAAATACAAAGAACCAGCAGTTGAAACTGAGACAAACCATCGGTTCAGTCATTGGGTGAGACTTGACAACGTTGGGCGCAGTCTTACCGGGTGGTCAGCGTATTCCTCTTCTGCGAGTCCATAGTGCTGCGTTGATTCTGGCATTGGTCTTGCCGACGGAGGTTGAATCAGATTCATTTTAGAAGATATGGCGGCTGTTATCGGTACTCAGATACTGCCAGGAGAGTGTACTGAGCACTAACGGTAGCCAGGCTCAAAGCCAGCGCAACATTTGCCATATATATAGCTGGGCCTTTCCTCAGTGCACGTGTGACAAATTAATGGGCGGCTAGGTATTCGATCTCACTGGCCAACGCATGCGAAGTGCTCTCGAGGCTGAGCAATGTCTCCGAAATAGCGGTGCATTATGCGGGCTTCTTGTATGAATAAAATGCTGTACAGAGCAACGCGTCTCTGCAGAGGGGGAATGCGACTCTCTACAGAGATTTAGCAGAGTATCGAGTTCACCGTGCCGTTTATTGTCTGTTGCCAGTCTGATGTTTTGTCTCGCATGTGTCTGTCACCTTTCAAGGTACGTCGAGCTTTAAGACCGGTTGCGAGGCGATGAGAGGAACGACAAAGTCGAAAATGGAGTCATTGATGAATTGAAACTGCATTGTCGGTGGTATGCAGTAGCAAAAAAATCTTGCCGTTAAGGCACTTGTGTTCCTATCTCGGGAAAAGTTTCAGACGGCTCTCGAGCGGGTCAAAGACAAGAAGCACTACGAGCTGGCAATAGAGGTTCTGCAAAATCCAGGGTGTGGCGACCAAGTGTCAGGCACCCGTTTGTCCTCCGATGCACAATCTCCCGGCGCCAGAATGTGCAGATTGAAAAACTTTTGTGCCAGATGCGAATATATAACGCGATAGCAAGAGTAAATCAAAGATCCAACATTCAGTGAAGTGACTTCTTCCGGCCTCTTCCACTCTGTTGCTTCGGTGTTATTACTGCCTTCTTCCCTTTGGGACACTTGCTTCTCCTTTTGGCGCCTTTGGTTCTGCGATGGCCTTCTGGAATTTTGACGCGAAGCGTAATCTTGAGCAGACCGACTCGCAGTCGTATGCGAGTGGTGTTGCCGGCGGGGAGAGCAAAAGATCGGCTTGCGTCAAGTGCTGTGAGCGTTCGACAGCGGTGTGTCGCCCTAACGTGTAGAATTAACGTGGAGGGCAGGAACGTCTGCCGCGTGGATATGGTGTAGGAGCTACAAGGTGTCTCCGGGAACGCTGAGTGAGCGGGAGGCTTAAGGTCAGCACCGTTTCCCAACATCCGCCTAATGGCGTGGATGGACAAGCTCCAAAAGTAGCCGGCGTTGATCACTGTACTCTTGAAAATCGCGAGAAATGCGCTTTTCGGCATCGGGTCGGTGGTCACCCCGCCAGTCCTCGTGCATTTCCGCAAGATCGGTTGGTCCAACGCTGCATCCTTGAGTCGGAGAATCATTTCATCCTCGCCGGCCGGAATGGCCTGCTGACGTAGGTCGGCGAGAGTGTCGTACCCAAATATGGCACCATCGGCAATTGCCAACTGGACCAGGAGACCTGCGTCGTTGTAGATAGAATAGCCCTGTGTGATCCTTGGGCACCGCTCCGACGCTGGACCACATCACAATGTCAACACGTGAAGGAACAGCGGACGCGGAGAGAGTGCTCGAAGGACCTAAGGCACTTGAGTCACGTTCTCAGGATCGCGGTTGTTTTGCACGCGGGGCTGATCGACCTTGTATACTAGTCTCCAGTTCCGGTCGTCTTCTGTGCCATCGACACATTGCAGGATCAGCTCGACGTCCTTGGAAAGTTAGCTCCTGCCACACATGGTGCCGGCCCATGGTGGTCGGCGTAAAAGCACAAGGAGTTCGGCCTTCGTCGGTCATGAAGTAACAGTGGACGGAGCGAGGAGAGACAGCCGCTGGAGGCTGCAGGATTCGAAAGAGAAGATTGTAGCCTGGACGCTCAGAGGCGAGCGGGACTCCATTTTGTATCCAGGGTCGGCGAGTCGACGAGAGAGGGGGGAAGCAGCCGTCCTCAGGTCTGGAAGTCAAGACCACTTCGTAGGGATCCAGAAATGGAGCCCCCTGGACCGTCGCCATTATGGAACTCATCTTAGGACAGGGCGTACCAGGGGGACTGCGACCGTCGCCGCGAGGGTGCGTGAGGGCGTGAGTAGGAGGGTGAGAAGAAAGCGAGACTTAAATGCGGCACCGTCTGCGTGAGCGCGCCGACAGCTCGGAGCAGTTCGACCATTCCTTGTGTTGCGAAATTGCCAAGCCCTCGATGATTCGGCTGCGCGACTGAACCGAGTTTCACCCCATATCTCCAACGCGTCTCCTATACTTGTTCTTCGCTACCTGACTTGCGATCATCACATATCCAGTCTTCGCAATCACTTTCTCCACTAGTTCAGTGTGCGATCGACTCTCACCATGGCAGATTATGACCGGCGACGACGGGGTGGTGGTGGTGGCGGAGGAGGTGGAGGAGGAGGACACTTCAACAACAGAAAAAGAAGATACAGAGGTAGTTGATCCTTCCTTGTGTCCGATGACCATTCCATTCTGATGATTTTCCAGAGGATGACTACGAAGATCGTCGTCCACAGCGCCGCCGCTACGAGGAGCCACTTGCGGTGACTCTGCGCAAACAAGTGCTGTCCATCGCAGAAAGTGTAAGCCTCGTGTGCTGCTGGATTGTTCACCCACCCAAGTGCTGACAAAACGGTAGCCTGTCCGAAAAGCAGAAGATGAAGCTGCAACGATCGCAAAGACTCTAGCGGCGAACTACTTTGATACCGATCTCACTTCGGGGTTCTTGGAGCTCGTGGTGCAGTTGTAAGGCTTGCTCCCACCATCTCTTCATCTGCGATCTATCTGACCATTGCAGGCCCATCGAACAACCCCTGAAGATTCCCTTTGTCGCGGCCGTCCTCCTTCTAGCCAATGTGCAGAAACCCGAGTTTACGTCTGAAGTCTTGGTCAAAGTCGGAGAGGCCTTACAAAAACAACTGAATATTGGCGCATGGCGTGAAGTCAAGCTGTATCTGCGCCTTCTCGGTTGCCTTCAGGGCATGTTTGAGGGAGATGGCATTTTTCCATTGCTTGAAGAACTCTTCTCCCGCGCAGCCGACTTGCAAATGAAGTCTTCCGAAGACGTAAGCTTTTTGACGGTGCTGTCTCTGAACCCTGCACTAACCCAGCAAAACAGTCCTTGGGCCTCGAACTTGTCAAGGTTATCTTGATGACACTTCCATACGCCATGGCATCTTCGGCAACGGGTTTCGAGAATCAGGCCAATGCTCTGCTGGAGAAAACAGATATCATTGCCTCGACTGCCCATCCTCTCGAGTCGCTGGTCGATCCATTCCCGAACCGCGAAGTCGGAGCGCCTGCTGGTTCCGAGAGTGCTCTTGCGCTGCTTCAAAGACACATGCAAGACGAGGCCAAGAATGCTTGGGAGTTGGCCTGTCTGCCTCGGCCGTGGAAAGGGCAGCGCTCGTCTGAAGAGGAGGATGCATTGGGTGGGGCGCAGAAACACCAGTTCCCGACCGTGACTGTCCCAGAGACTGTTCCAAATGGCCCTCGGCCACTTTTCCCGGAGATTTATTTCTCAGTCTATCGCGAACAAGATATTGAGACGGTCCCTCCTGTGTCTGATCCCGCGGCACTCCTGATTCGAGACGCTTTGTCCGACACAATCAACGTCCTCGACTTCAATCGAGCGGTGGCCGCCAAATTTCTGATCGATGTCGACTGTTACTTTGCGCCGGATACCTTTGTGAAAAGGGCCACGCCATTTGACAAGTTGCGGGAGGTCGCCGGGGACAAGGCAACCTGGAAACCAGAGGATGTTGTTGTGGACGCGGCATTTTCTCAGCTGCTACAGTTGCCTGGCCCTGAGCATAAGTTGGTGTACTATCATTCGGTGCTCACTGAAGCATGCAAGCTCGCGCCCGCTGCGGTTGCACCAAGTCTGGGACGGGCAATCCGCTTTTTATACAGGAACGTGGACAAGATGGATCTGGAACTCTCTCAGCGCTTCCTGGACTGGTTTGCCCATCATCTCAGTAACTTCGGTTTCACGTGGAAATGGACTGAATGGTATGCTGCGACCCCTGCCACTGCCTTGAATCTTCTAACTGTCTTAGGGTCGATGATGTCAATCTACCTGACGTACACCCAAGAAAGGCTTTTATTATGGACGCCTTGGACAAAGAGATCCGACTCAGCTTTTCGAAGCGCATCAAGGGGACCCTACCAGAACCTTATCAAGCCCTGATCTCGGAAGCTAAAGAAAAGGACGTGCCTGATTTCAAATACGACGATGAATCCACGCCCTTTGCTGCCGAAGGAAAGGAAGTTGCGCAATTGATCCGACGCAAAGCCACCAGCGAGGAATTCGATCCCATCCTGGAAAGAGTGGAAGAAGAAGCAGCAGCGTCAGGACTGTCCGACCCTTCTGTTGTATCGACGGATGTCTTTGTTACTTCGATGTGCTGGATCGGATCCAAATCGTTGTCTCACGCTCTAGCTTGCATTGAACGGTGCAAAGAGCGTCTGTTGGCGATAAGTGCTACCAGCCCCGCCTGCAGGAAGCAAATCATCACCTCCGTCGTGGACTACTGGAAAGATCAACGTGGCATCGGAACTATCCTCGTTGACAAATTACTCAACTACCAAATCTTGACCCCCGAGAGTGTTATTGAGTGGGCGCTTATTGACCATGTCTCCCGCGGCACACTCCTCGCCACCACATGGTGTTACGAACTTGTCAGCAACACAACTCGCAAAGTAGCCGGGCGGGTTCGCAGCATCGTGGCCGCCGTCCGCTCGCCTGGTCTCTCGGACGAACAGAGGTCGGAACTCCAGCAAACATTGAGTCGCGAACTCGAGACCATGAAGTCGCTTTTTGCCACGATCGAAGACGCGGTGGTAAGCATCAGGGACGGGAATCAAGACGAGATGATGGAGAGTTCTGATGCGTTACGTGCCGAAGACGAGGAATTGCTGAAGGCGTGGGGTGGGCGATGGGCCAGGGTATTCCATCGAAAATACGCGGTAGAAGAGAGTTGGGTTCGGGATGAATTAGCGAAGCCACTGCCAGTAGCGGCAGAGAAGCCCACTGAGGATGAGGTGATGAAGACGGACGAGACGGAGAATGGGGCGAATGGTGTGGCGGCGGTGGTAGGCGCTGGAGAGAATGGAGCAGCAGATGCCGCCGATGGAATTGAATAGATGTGGCACAGGGGTTCAATCTCACAATCTTGGGAGGGCGGAATCTCCTTGGGAAGTTTTGTCCGGGCGGGTGTCCAGGTCTTGGACATCCAGTGTGTGGAAGCCCATGGGAGGAAGACGAAAGTGCCTCGAGCCGCATCCTGGTGAAGCAGGAAGGAAAGAAAGACTGTCACCATCATTCGTTCTTCTACATACAAGATTCGGCCTCTGGAACTGTCACGACTGTCAAGGAGGAAAGGAAAACTGTACACCAACTAGCCTAACTACAGATGATTTTTGCACCTTTCTTGTATCACGTTGTTTTACCATGACAATGGCGATGGCGATGGCGATGGCGATGGCGATGGCAATGCAGAGAGACATACAAGACATACAATAGCTATGTAGCTGCAGCGGAACAACCCGTTAACCGTGAGACTAAGCCCGTGCCCTTCAACCCCTTAGCCGACGCCACCGACAAACCCTCTG